CCCCCCCATAACTAGATTCACTTTTCTGTTGAAGATAATCGAAGTATTTTTACTGTTTTTAAAGGCGATGACAGGCACAAAAAAATTAAAATTTAAGAATTTAAAAAAATACACATCATTGAAAAATCAAAACAACCATTGCTCCGCTCAGAATCTAAAATATGATTTACGTCGTTTACGAAAACAATATAATTTTAAACAGTAGGTAATTGAAAGTGACTCAGAGCAACCATTATAACATCTGACGAGGCACCCTGTATAATATATAATATCATTGATAATATTATGTACCCAACACAAAATAATACGCTTGGCAGAGACTATTGGACACGCCGACCGTAAATAACGACGTCAAAGCGTAACTCTCGGGAAATCGCGTTTTCCGCGTTTTCTTTGATAATAATACATAGTCGTCTATATTGGAGGGTATTTCATGTATATACAAAACACGCAATCGATGAGTTGCAGTTTTTAAAATTTCGCGCCAAAAATCTGGCGGGGTGGATCACTACGTAATATAATATTATAAATACAGTAATAGACAATAACGCATAATGGGTACCCACATACATAATAATATTTATTATCCGTCCTCACGAAATCCCAGCCTGCAACATTGTGAAAAGTGAATTTAAATAGGTAGATGCTGATGTATTCGTAAAAACCTTTTTATATTTCAATAATTACTTACTACAGAGATTATCCGTACATTGTATGTGTAAATAACCCAAGTGCGGCCCGCGGAAGATCGAGTGGTTGCGGTGCGTTCGCGGTTCCTACCTTCGACCTTCCTATACCTAGGTACAATACGATATACCTATAGGCTATAGATCAGTTCGTTAGTCGTTGGCGTACATTTCGGGTTCGGGGCGCAACAGTCTTCCGTCGAAAAGCGTGCTCGCGCGTCGTTCCTCCGTTTACCATTATTGCTGTGCACATATTTTATAAATTAATTATTATATATTATCATAAAATAATATTTAATATACTTCATCGGTTGAGGCCTATTATATGTAAGGCCGGTACACACATCGAGATTGATAATCATCATTATTTTAGGACTTTAGGTCTACCTACTTATTAATACGACACGCAATACTCTATAGCCGCGCCAGTATACCTACCATCCTGTATATTTATTATTTATAATAAAATGTCAGTCGGCGACTTGAACTTTACCACGGTAAGCACATCACATTTTATAATTGACATCGTTTTACACGAGTGAAATTTTACGTTTTTAAGTAGTAAAATATAAAGCACATTACCTGCTATATCTATATACCATTATTACGTCGACAACGAAAATAGGTATATTTTTTATATGAAAATAGAATTTATTACTATACATACAGCATGACGTATAGGTATAATTGTACGTAAATTTGGAAATTAAAATTAACAGAAATTAGCCCATATAACTTACTAGTTATTACTTATGAGTTATGATTATCTACTATAGTTACTCGGATATATTATCATCCACGCCAGGCCAATTTAATTGTATGAAGCCTAGTGCGAATGCACTGGAAGGTATAGGTGATGACAATGCAATATAATTAAATGATAATTAATTATAAATATTTCCCTGTAGACAAATTACACATATACGTTAGTAAATCGATAAATTAAAAAATAAAATGTTACAAAATAAAATACTTTTCTTGCTTGCATATAATATTCTTAAAAATTATTTAAGCGTACCTACCTAGGTATATTATTATATGCTCATAAGTATTATTTTTTACAATAAATATTCTCTATTTTAAGTCATTAATGTTTTTTAAACATAAATTACGATAATTTAATCACCTATACCCGAGAACATCATTTGAACATCGCTATAGGTACAACTTGTCCTATTATAATAATTATTATTTACCATGTATTGTGTTCATGTCATTTCTCGTCGTTGTAAGAATGATTTAGACGAAATGACGGCTTAGACTATAATTTAAGGATTTAGTTGAGTCAATTTTAAAAAATATGTAAGTAAATATTTGCTTGTGTATATTATTTACTCCATGGTATATTGGTAAGGAGTAAGGACACCAATTTTTTACACACTGGAAATTATATTCAATAACCATTTACATAGTTATTTTATTTACGACCCTGTTTTAATTTGTGTTAGGTATTTCATACAAAAAAAATTAATTAGGTACTCATATCTTTTCATGATTTGAAAAAAAAGTAAGTACCTAAAAATACAATACAGAATAATTACATGGAACCAAATCATCAGGTTAAAAACCATTTCATTTATAGAATAAATAATTCGATTAAAACGAATCCGTCATGACCATGAGCCATGCACAAAAAAAATGTTTCTGTTTACAGGAGTCAGGAAAACGTAAAATTAAAAATACCGACAATATACATAATAGCTTATCGAAATTATTATTATATGCTTCAATACCTAAACGGTAATAATAAGACGTTATAGGCTATAATCATAGACCATAGTAGTGGTTACTGGTTATATATATATATATATATATTAGAGTTATTGAAAGTAACCAAAGTATAATATCGATTTATTTTCTATTTATATTAATCGGATAGGAAGATATTTAAAATCGTCCATGACTTTTATCGAAAACAATGTGTAACAATTGAATTGAAGGGCAGTAGAATACAATAGCACTAGTCTTTGTTTACACTTAATTCAATATATACATAGACAAAAGTATAGAATAACTTACTCACTATACTTGTGTTTGCAGTATAAATTCGTTTGGTTCCTATGCGACGGCCACCCCTCAGGTCTGTATGACTGTAATATGATGAATGTGATCAGCAATAAGGCCAATAACCCATTATAATCGTAAACCGAGGGACATATCTTTGTATCTATACCTATGTATACCTAATATTCAATTTGCTGTAAGTCTATTAAATAAGTAGGTACAATAAAAACGGAAACAAATCTATGGAACAAGAAAATAAAAGATTTTTTATTTTGTCCGAAGACCTTAGGAATACAAGTTTGCTGTATAAAATATGAATAAGAATATACGATACAATTCATAATAATGTTTGGAAAGTATTTATTTCAAAACTATTATGAGTATCGAATTTCTTAGGTATTATACTTTAATATTTAATATAATCTGTTTATACCTATTTCCTATAATTAAATTAATTAAATTAGATAAATATCGATTTTTCAAATTTCAATTACAGAAAAGGAAGGGCTGAGCGAATAACAAGAAGATTCCATTTAAAATCTTTTTTGAAAAACATCTAGTTTATTTTTAAATTATAAAGTAAAGATTTTAGTTTTTACTTATATTATTAACTACTTATTAATTATTATTATTTGAACTAAAAAATAGTAGTTGCAACTGAAAATATTTTATATTCTTATATGTTTAGCTTATACATTTCACCTATTATAACCTACGACTTTTATCGTTCTAATAATTTTCGTCACCTTACTGGCTCGTCTATACTTTGATTTTCATAACATTTATTATATACGCAATAGGTATTATATATTTATATAAAGTCTCTATTATTATACTCTATTGTCTGTGTTTCGAGAAAGAAAGTGTTATGCAACTTAAGTAGCTATAGGTAACAACTGTAATAACAGTATAAATGTATAATATATAACCAATAACCATAGTTCATATAATAACCAATAATATTAGTATCATTAACTAGAATACATTTATAAATATTATAGGATATAACTCAAGCGCCTCAAATAGTTCAAAGTCATGGCTTCTCGAATTTTTGCTATAAATTTGCCATTTGCGTATAATTTATGTGTATCACATCTCAACAACGTAACTGCCATAATTTACAACTCGTTGCGCACACTGATTTTTAGATTTAAATATGCAATTCAGACAATTCAGTATACAATTATTATATACACACACATTATACATTTTCATTATTCGTTTGAGAAAATAGCCAATTTTCCTTCACACTTTAGTAGTTGAGTCTTTAATAGGCTTATAGTAAACAGGACTAACTATCTACTACTGCAAACAGGCGTGATTAAAAATGAATGTTTGTGTTAGAGTGTGAAAATGAATGTGTGATTTTTTCAAACTCTATGCTGCAATTGTTAAAATGATTATACCTAACTGTCAATATTATAGAAGTATAGATACTGCTAAATATACTTATTATCATATTGATTTTTAATGGTCGCATTTAAGTCCGTTTTTTTAAGTTAAGCCATCAATAGTTTTGCATATACCTGTCTATTCATATATTTTTTCAAATAATTGATAAGTAGACCTACCTATTTATGGTATCTTATCTTTTAAAATTATTGATTTCATTTTTTATCAAATTAATTTTCCAATCAGTTTCACTTCGTATTTCAATGAAATTATGTCCATTACTTGATTCATATGTGGATGAGCAGTGTAAAAGTGACTATCATAATAAAATATCTATGAAAACTTTCCGCACCAATTAGTGGTTTTAGAATTGTTATTCGGATCATCGGATCATAAGTTCCAATCATATACTATAATCAATAATAGGTACCTATCTATTATTATAAGAAAAATATAATTAAAAAACTTCAGTATTTAATGTGCACCAACAACTTGCTTTGATTTTTTAATTCTATAATCGAAAATGTCGATAAGAAAAAGCGTTTTGATTAGAATATTCTAGGTCAGCTACCGCAATAGTTAACAAATATAGGTACACATGAATATATTAAAAGGTAGGTACCAGCTGGAAGCTATAAATATAGACAGATTTTCGAATAATGCAATTTTTGTAAACGTGCCTGTTACGTGCATAAATATAATACTACTTAGGTATTATTATAGTTATTATACCTTAATTTTAAATAAAGCAATAAGCATGAATTATTGAGCCATTAAAAATATACTTATACCTACACATAAAATGTAGGTATAATCGCAGAATGTTTATGTGTATACACTCAAATTACTTTAAATATAAAAAATCGTAGTAATTAGGTTAAACGTTTTAATAACACGTTTGAATTCAATATAGGTACCGGCGTGGCGGCTTATAGTTCCTTTTAAACAAATTAATTCCTACAATTTACTTAATATGCACATTACTTGAGATAGACTACACAAACATTTTGCAGACATTATACTGCACCATAAGAAACGATTTCTCCCCTGCGTCGTCTAGAGGCCTAAACAGAAGATTCTAGACCACGGAAAGCATTAAATATATTAAATTAAATTGGTCTCATTAAATCACTTTTATTTCAAATACATACATTGAACAAGCAGTTGATAATAATATTTTTTAGTTTTAGGAGAAGTTGATGGGGGATACAACATTTTGATAAGCAATCCCTTGGGTGGTTTTTGCAGGAAGTTTTTGGAGACCAAAATATAACGTTTTGAATCATTTAAATATATGTCACTAAGTACAGAAATAAATCTATACGACTTAATGAATTCCGTTTTTTCAAGGCCAAGCCGTTAGACGTCAACAGGTATGCGACCAAAAAAACCATTGCTCAAGGGATGTTGGACATCGCATTATTGACGGCCAACGCAAACCAACTGAAATACATCCTCCAAGTGGGTGAGAAACACGAGTTCTACAAGCCTTTGTTGGTACTGATAGCTACGTCTATATTTTTACAAGTGAGTGGGCGCATCTATATATAATATATTATATAATATAGATTATAGGTGTATACGAAATATTCTTATGCATATACAGTACATAAATTATATATTTATATACAGTATTATGGACACTCGTGAGACTTGGCCTAACCTATAGTTAGAAACATTCGAGATTTACAGTAAGGTTTGAAATTTTTTGACGCGTGAAAACAAATTACCTATAATTTTTAACAGAAAATTTCTTAAAATCGAAAATAAAAAATAAGTAGCTAGTGCATATATTATGTTACATTACATCGTTTTGACCATCACTGACATTATTGCTGCTGAAATACAAATACTATACGCGTCCTATATAGGTGTTCATGGGAATGATATTTCTATCACTAAATCTGCTTCGGGACTGTCGTTTCCATTTGATCGAGTACAAGACATCGTCGCTGTTCATCAATCAAGTGCCGGTCGTGTGCACGTTTATGGTGTTTACGATCAACATAATAATAGGAGCTTTCGATTCCGGACTAGCCAGCATCGTACCGACATCAACGTTCAACACGCCGTCCGTCCCGGCCATTGGTTCCAATTGATATTTTATGTATAATATACTAATTATATTATAACGATTACAAAAAATAAAAATCGGAGACAATGCAATATATTATATTATTATTACACTACAAATATTATGTACATCTGACGATAACAATTTGAATTAGTTAAATATGTATTCCCAATAAGTGGTCAAGTTCATCACATGCTGACGGTTTATAGGTATACAAAATAAAAGACAAAAGTACTAAAAATGTAAGAAAAGGAGACCGTGGTACCGACTAGAGATTAGAATACTAGATCATATGCATATTGAAATAATTACTGCCTACGGGTGGGTCACTGAGTTTTTGTATATTTTGGAAAATATTTAACAATTCATTAGGTACTCGTTAAATTACCAATTGGGAACATATATATATATACATAAATCGAGAATTATTCAAACGAAAAGTAATTTTTCAGGAAAATAATTGTTTAGATACCTAAAACCCTGTGGAGGAGTGATATATCCAAATGAATTACATAATATATACGAGATTTTAATTATAAATCGTAGATTAAATTACTAAATTATTAAATTACATTCCTAATAAGGAATAATTTGTTTGTATTATTTTTTGAAACCGTTTTAACTCATTACTCTAAGGAATGTCTAACTAAGTGACATAACAATATTCAAATACAATTTCATGAAAATAACAATTCTAGATTATTTTCCTGGGAAATATTTTGAAACTTGAGAGAAGCCCTGCTTTTATTATTTCTGAGAAAAGCTTTCGATTTACTTGTAGGTATACTTACATTCAGAATCTAAATAGGTTGGCAATTGTAATATTACAGCTGCAGATATAGGTATAATTTATATAATTAACCGGTAAACTATATGTTCTGTTCTATATATAGGTGCTCGTTGGTGGGATATTCATGGTTGTCGGAGGGCTGGACATTAAGAAAGAAAAAGACCAACGAAAATGTTTGATTTTAAACGACGTTTCCGTCATCATGGTTTTCTTGATAACCACGATCAATATAACCATATCAGGTTTTGGATTCGACGTTAGTTCGTCACCGGACACAAATTTGAAAAAACAAACCTAAGTTAGTACCTCTTTCACCTTTTCTCCCCCCAAAAACTTTTCAAGTAAAATACCTAATGATACTTATATGATTGTATATTTGAAAAATAAAGATTATTTACACTTAAGTAAAATAATGGTTTTCTTTTCACCTTTGATATTTAATTATCTAACATACCTAATTTAAACTTAAGAGCAATATTAGGTAGTGCCCATATAAAATAAAATCATTGATGAATTCTATCAAAATTCTAACCTCGTACAGTCATAGATATGTATTGTGGATTTAAGCTCGACTGTTTTAAATTACACGATTAAAAATGTAAGTAGTTATTACCTTTTCAAGTTTTTTTATCGTGAGAACAATTTTTTATCAATAATCCTGACACTTTTGATTATCCAATGTAGTGGGTATTTTTCTAAAACCCGGGGTAATCTGAAATAGTGTAATCTACACAGCGAGGATTATTTTCACAAGTCACAAATAATTAGAAATAATATGTGTAAGGTACTTAGGTTTTAAAATTATGTAACTATTAGAAAGCAGTTTTTTTTTCTAGTAGTTTGTAAACATTTGATTTTAAATTATATAGCTATAGAGTTTAGAGTAGACATAAAATATAAACTGGGAACAAATTGTTTTTATTCTTAAAAAATATGATATATTTTGTTTTTATCATTTCATAAGACAATTCTCAGTTAGATACCTACCTATAAATTGTTGCATTATTTAAAAATAATAGTGTACGTATAGAGGTACAAGGTACTTATCAAATTTTAAAATTATTTATAATTTTTTATCAATCTTTAACATTTAATTTGTAGTAGGTTTAGACTTTCTGTAGTGTAAATTGAACCTAGATAAGCTACTATTTTCAATATACCTACATATAATTGTTAAAAAATGAACAATGATAAAAACAATTTACATTTTTGAGCAAACCACCTGTATGTGGTAAATGTATAACGTTAAAGCACTCCTTAACGCCCATCAAATCACATAGTTGTATCAATGATTTTTAGTTTGGAATTTTTAGATATATTATAAAAAAAGTCAAAAATAATATCGATATATGTTGATAAAACTATAACATATAAATTCCTAAAAACCTAACCTTTACTATAAGTTTTCGATTTATAGTAATTGTAAAGTATCATGTGTGTAAATGACATTAATTCATTATCGTTAAATTTATACCAATGCCCTCGATAATGAGATAAAATACAATAATTATTATATAAATGAATGTGTGACGAGACCACCGTCGGTCGCATTTGATTCTCAGACATTATGGTGTATCTCTTGCGGTGTCCCACACGTCCTGTTTTTTTCTCACACAGCAGTGTGCCAGTAATAAGTGTATCGGTGACCCATTTTTATATAGTAACAACAACAACAACAACAACAATAACAATAGTAATAACAATAATAAATAATGGAGAGCAGTTTTGTAGTATACGATACTGTCATTATAATATACGCTTAAATTGTACACCTACATCACGCGCACAGTCGTAGACGCAATAAACCAGATTTCTCTCGACATAACAATGACGGACACGATTATCGCGGCGGACACCAGTCTGGAGATGGACGACGGCGAAAATAGCAAACGTTCCGCCACGCGACTGTTGTCCAGGTCGTTGAGCAAGGTCAGCAACGTCACGTACGACACCAAGAAGAACATGGCGCAGGGGATGATGGACATCGCTCTGCTCACGGCCAACGCCAATCAGCTTCGGTACATACTGGAGTTTCGAGGGGTTAACTCTGCGAATTTCGTTCTGCTGTTGATGCTGATCGCGTGCAGCCTCATATTACAAGTGGGTACTACGTTGAGCGTATTAATGAATTTTCCTGCGGTGTGTTAAATAAACGGGGGAAATCGAATGCTTGTATACTATGGCTATACATGTGCAAAAGTTCAGTCGATTTTTATGGGGTTAAAATTGTGTTCAAATAAATTTAAACAGACAAACAAATTCGCGTAACCCTCCTGGTTCCGCAATCAATATTGAAAATAAAGTATTGATCCATTTATTATTATAGATATTAATTATCGGGCATGAATATAAAACGATAAAAAAAAATAATAATATTATATACATTATATATGTATTGCAATAGTCTTTTTTTTTTTTAAATATCATTAATACTTTATAAAAGCAAATTAACAAACATTTAATTTGCGGTATATGAAGGTTTGATCCAGACAAAAATATGATCCAATTTTTAAATAATTTTAATATTATTATAATAGCTTTGGACAAAAACTGACAGTATCTCGAATATATTATAAAAATAAAATCATCTAATATACTGCACCTTCTTTATCATGGCTTAATGTACCTACCCTAAATCTAAAATAATGTCAGTTATAATATGTTTAATATGAACTAAACGTTTTCAAAATAGGTGTCATTTGTTTGTTGAAGTTGTGAAAAATTATATTGCCCAGTTCATGCAGATCTTTTCGATTTGCAGAATTAGTTTGATCCAAGAGACCATTTAAAAAATTAGTCTAAAATAGATTGTAGTCAATTTTTTTTTAGATATTTGAAGTTCAAATTTTGATAAAATTGGATATTCATCCGAAAATAACTATTATGGTTAATTCTTTGTAACTCAAAATTATTATCCGCAGGACCGGAAACATTTATTTTACGTTTATCTATTAATGTATTTTATAACTACACAATGAAATATTTATAATATAGGCATAGAATCATTTTAAGCTATTTCTCATTTGTAGGTACCATTAACCTTCGTATTCACACACCCTGCAACAGTAGGTCGGCATTGACTCAAAAGTTAATATAGATACTAGATACCTACAGAATGTAATAGAAAGACCTGACAAATAAAAAGTTATCAATTAAGATACCAATTAGTTAAATGTATGAAAAAATATGAAAATGATATGAATGATAAGTAGTCTGAAAATTCCCAAAGTTATTACGTTTCAAATGAATTTACTCCAAAAAAATATTGATCTTTAAACAAATAACTTATTGACTTAAACAAACATTTTCAGATTTACAAATTTTGAATATTTCTAAAAAAATTTTTTATTTAATTTAAAATTGTTTGTATTAGAAAATAATTATAAAAAATTGTATACTTGTTATGTAGCACGGGCGTCTATAAATTATTTTTTTTTAACATTGATTGGAACAAGTTATTTTAATGGTCAGGTTATTCTGTTACACATTGTATAATAATTATTAGTAATACTATATATATAATACTTAATATACTATAATATACTATACAATGTTTTCAACAAAAATTATTCAACACATTGTCACATTGTGTTATTAATTAGGTAGTAATTATATAGCAGTTTACATTACTCAAAGTTGAAAGTAAGAGCATTTTAATATTTTAATGCTGGGTTGCATGAACAATCACTTCATATTTAACAAATCAATACTGAGTTGATAGTCCCTTAATCACGATTTAGTCATTTTGGTCTATTCAATTTTACTGAACTATTAAATTAATACATTTATGTTGGAACCTGACATGTTATAAAACATAATTTAAAAAAAAAAACACATTTTTGTAGAATTAAGACATTTATTGTTCCACACAGAATTTTATATAAAAACAGTAAAAAATATTCATTATAAATTAATATTAAATATAAAAATTAAAAAATTAACTCTAATAGGAGATAGTCATAAATACTTCTAAAAACTAGGAATTTAATATTTTGTTTATTAATTTATTAGTAATGAAGAAGGTTACACTAAAATCAAGTTATGTAGAATATTATTTAAAAAGTTATAACTATAAATTAAATATTGATTTACAACTTATAATCCTACTATAAATAGATTCATGCCTTCGTGGTATATCGGGCATTGGTTATGCATTACAAAAAAATATTCTACATATTTTGAAAATATGATTGTGTATAGTACATAATACATGGCATATTATGTAATGGCAACAATTCCTTACAACTAAATTTAAGATATTTTTTTGTTTAAATAGGTATGCATTTTTATCAAATATAACTTTGATGTGTTTAAAATAAAAATGTTTTGATTACAAGCAGAACTTATGTAGAACTTTGTTTTAAATTGTTGAGCCTTGGGTCAAAGCAAATTTTATAAATTCTCAACAACAAAATAATTTGCAAATGTTCATGATTTTGATAACATTTGAACTTTGAAATCTTAAATAAAATCCATCTTGTGTTTCTAATACTTTTAAACTGCTAAAAGAAAAAAATAAGAGGAATATAGTAGTAGTTATTCAGTTTTCAAGTATTTTAACTAAGCATAACAATTTTTATTAACTCTTGAAAAAATAATAAAACTAAAATAGTTCATATGTCTGTAATAGCTTAAAATTAGTCTAAATATTTTTTTGAATTTAACTGAGTATAGAAAACGATAATTTAAGTAAATATGGAATGTTTTAAGTTTCAACAGTTAAAATTTTAAAATTAAGACTGTTTAATGAAAATTCATTAAAAATATTATACACCCTGTGTTTTTACCATTACTTATATAATATTATCTGCATTACAGAAATTATTTAGTATACTTCAATTGTTTTAATGTGTTGCTTATGGCTGACATCGTAGGTGATTGTTGGAACTATTCTCATATTCAAAGGTCGCATGGCCTGTATCAGTAGCGGCACATCCAATGAGATAACCAAAGTGGATGCCATCAAATTGAACAACTATGTTGTCCTCGGAGTTTTTCTTATAACCGTCATCAACATATTCATAGCAGCATTTACAGTAGCACCGGCCTAATATATTACTTAACACAACAAGGTAGCACACAGCACACCACCAACTAAATATTATCTGTACTGCAGCATAGAAGTAGCGTCCGATCCGTGATCTTCAGTTATATAACTTTGTTGTATAATAAATTAACAATTACTATATTTTACTTATTATATAAGAAACATCCATGCTTTATGGCACAGCTTGCCAATAAATATGTGTTGGATTCCAATTAATAAATTCAATTAAAAATATATATAAATATAAATTGATTTCAGATTGCATTTTTATGCTATATTTCAATAAAAAAAAATGATTACAGTATAGTGAGTATAAAATAAAATACAGAATCATTAAATAAAACCAGGGGTGGTAAACGTTTGAAAAATGAAACTAAAAAAATAAGCGATTCAAAATGTTTTTGTAAAAACAGAATTATTTGGCAGGATAATTCAAATTAATCAAAGTATTACGTCTGTCAATACAAACATATTGTTCTGTGATGAGTAGAATTTTTAACCTAAGAATAATAACAACATCAAAAATTCTAGACAATATTAAGTAACTAAAATTACAATCATAATCCCCTATATCATTATTATTTATTACTATTGTAAAATTATTATAATTTTTATTGTAAAATCAATTGAATTATGACTGTGAAATTATCATAATTATTTCAAGCATTCTTATTAACAAAAAAATATATTAAAATATTAATACTGTTATTTTAAGTAATTTAAAAATATTATATGAAAAAAAAAAAAATGATTTTATAAATGTATACTTGTACTTACAATTTTAGGTAAAATGTCTTAAAAAGTTAACAAAAAAGAGAAAAATAAAAATGTTTTCCAACCCCTGATATAATTAATTTAATAATAAGTGAAGAATATGGACCTAATATTTAATAGATGAATTAATTTTACTATTGTTTTATCTTAAAGTCTTAATGAATTAAATACATATTAATACGCAAATAATATTATGTAAAAACAAAAACACATAAATAAATACATTTTAAATGTATAATAAAAACATTTATTAAATTTAGGCTTTTAAAAAATATATTATTCTTTTCTCCATGTTAAAATTTGCATTAGTAGCAACGTAGTCTCGTGTTTTTTTCCTACTATAAATTTGATATGAATATAATCATTAGGGCCCAAGAATATAATATGCATGTACATACTTATTTTTATTAGTTTCACAAGAAGCTAAGCGTTATGATAAAACATTTGACATATAACATTTGATTCTTAGCTTAATAGTTTGTATGTAAAATTGTATTTTGTATACTTCTGAATACTTAATTTTATTAAAAATTATTTGGTATATTTTAGAATTTTTCAAAACTACAATGCATGCATTGAAAAAATAAATAATATGAAATTAATACTATATGTTCACATTACAATTATTTTTACCTATTTATTGACCCATTGACCTTTCAGTTAATAAATCATTTTAAATAATCGATTGATAATAGTTCATCAAGTTATATATTATTATCGTTATAATAAAAAAACAAAAAATTAGTATAAGACTTATTTAATAGTTGTGTATACTTTTAGTATACAATGGCATCTTCAAATTGTTGATGTTTTCCTCGATTTAAAAATAGGTATTTTCTAGAAAACAGAAGTGAATTTAAATTTGTTATGTTCCCAAGTTTTAAGTAGTCAACTGTAACTCTACGGGTAATACACACACATATTATAGAAATGTACTTATGTTTTAAAATGTATTTTTGTTCATAACTTATTATTCAGATGAATACTTAAAATACAATATGCAATGCAGTAAGTGAATGAGTTATACAAGTTCAATATGCAGTTCAATTATTTAAATTATTTAATACAATTGATATGTTTTTAAATTTGTTTAAATTTAATGAGTAAGTTTTTTTTTCATCTTTCATAATATCTTTTTATTGTATATAATTTTTGGGCCCTAGTAATTATATTTTTTTAAGTTTCTCATAATAACCTATTTAAAAATTGAATTTTAAATATATTTTTCTGGTCTAAAATAAATGATCATAATATAAGTAATATTAATGTTAAGTTTATACCTGATTAATAGAATTTCCATCATCATTTTAAATCTTAAATAAAAGAATGCACAGAGACTATATCATAATCAGCGTTTGAATCAGTATCATCATTCTCATTAACCACAGGAATGACTTGAACAAAATTATCAGCATTATCATCATTTAAAGACATTGTCTCATCAATATCAGACAATGTATGGACATATATTGTTTGGACATTGTCGTCTATGAGTGAAGTCTGATAATCTTTGAAATCTTCATCTAATTGATCTGCCATTCTACTAAGTCCTAGATCATTTTCATCTTTAACAGGTACATCTAGCTGCACTTGTGGTGATACTTTTAATGGTGAGTGTAAGTTTTTCATTACTTTTTTCGGAGTACCTAGGTCTAATAATTTTTCAGATTTTGGAGGATCAGGATCACTCTCTGAAGCACAAGCATTTTTCCACTCTGGAAGTCTATCCTTTCTGCCGGAATGCCCAAATTGAACATATTCTGGATGATCAACTAACGGCTTTAAAAGATCAAATTCCATTCCTTTATCAAAGTCTGGAATTCTTGAATTGTTTATACTTTTATCTTTTATGTTCATTGCATTGATTTTTATATGTTCAATATTTTTTGAACCAGTATTCATTTTTACTTCAATATCTGTACTGTCAACATAGAGAGGCTCTATCTGCTCAATTTCAGTATCCGTGAATATATTTTCATCTGTAGGATATTGAGTTTCAACTATAACTTCTTCAATTCCTGACTCAATTTCAGTTTTTTCTTCTTCTGTTGTTGTGTCCATTTCTGTCGATAAAACACTTTCTTCTACTTCAATAGTTGAGTATTCTTCTTCCAATTCTTCGGGAGTGAACGTTTGGGTTTTAATTATATTGATGATTTGCCGATCAATAATCTTTTTCAAATGTTGACATTTCTTTAAAAGCTTGTTACGTCTATTAAAAACATCATTTTCAAAATGTTGAATCAGTTCTCTTATACCACCTTTTACACCAATCTGAAATGAATCATAAAGATTTAATTAATTATTCAAATTTGTTTCATTTAAATTAATAATTCCTTTGATCAGTTATTAGTTAGATTAAATTAAGTTTTAAAATTTTGAAAAGAATAAAAAAAAATGATGAATTATTGCAAGTTAAGTTAAGTCTGGTGGAAACTAGAATACATTTGATTTTTATTACAATTATTTTTAGGTTATTCAGTTACGTTCGTTAAAACCTTCAATCAGACCTATACACTACTTAAGCTTTACAACTAGTTAAATTGTTTAATAAAAACGAAAAAATTAGTAACCTATTTGAATTATAATAATATACATACGTAAACACTAAACAACAACAAAAATAAATAAATTCACTAGGTTAGGTACTAAAAAAATCTATGAACACAAACAAAATATATTAAAAACATTTGTGTACCTAATAATTATTTGTTCAATTTTAATTTAAAGAAATTCAAAATGTTTGGTGATGAATTTTATTTTTAAGCCAATCGTAATCGCATTGAATAACAAAAAAAATTAATTAAAACTTTGATTTGATCTAATGCTGTTAAGTTATAATTATTTTGTGTTAAAATATGACTAATTTATTTATTGCTACCCATATTATGATTGTATAAATTTGTTTAGATTAAAAACAACTATAAAAAAAATCCAAGTTTTTGAAAAGCCTCAGGAAAAAAAAATTATGAAAAACAGAGATTTTTAGGTAAATCCAAATCGATTTTGTTTTTTTCGTGTAACTCTAAAAAAAATAACCGTAGATACATGAGATTTTCACTGAATGTCTATATTAACATGAGCACCTAAAGTTAAAATTTTTACAAAATTTGTTAAAATCACAAAAACTTGTAAATTATTTGAGTTTGATATTTATACTAATTTTTCTATTCATATCAAAGATTTGATAATTGAATAAAAGATTCCCTATAAGGTTTTCTACATTTAACAAAAAAAAAGTTAACTGGAAAGTTCAATAATTGTTTGAACTTAGACATTGGATATTCATCCATAAATGAACAAATTTTCATAGAATGATTTACTAATTTAGTGTTCAAAACTAATAAGCTATAAGCATTAGGTATTTTGTCATTTACTAGGAGTAATAAAATGTTCAAAATATTTTGACTAGGTTTGAGCTATTTATAGACATTTGAAATTAGATATTTTGTTAGTTTTTTTTTTCTACAGGTCAATAAAATTATTTTCGTTGAGTTGAAATGCTTGAAAATTTAATACAAGGTTTCTCATTATTTTTTATAGTAGTTGAGAAATATTAAAGATCTATATGCATGATATACCAAATTATTTTGAAGTTAAAAATTTATAAAATGTTAGGTTGAAAATTTAAAACAAGGTTGCTCATAAATAGTTCACTTTAATTAAAAAAAAATATATGTAAACAGTTTTTTATATAAACTTTAAATTCAAATTTGGATGAAATTATTATTATTTGGTTAGGTATAAATAATAGTTAATTGTTTATTCTGTGTTGACAGTTTATAAATATTATATATTATATATATAAATGTATTTTTTAATTATTTGGGTGAAGTTCTAAAATGGATACTAAAGAGTTTATTATCGTATTCTTAAGTACTATATCTAAGTTTAAACCACGATAAAAAGATTATATCCACCATCATCAATTAATTATGGATTGAATGAACCTTTAATATGCTAATGTACATTGTTAACCCAGACTTCTCCTCAGAGTCCTCTTTCTCTATTTTTACCTAATTAATTAAAATTATATCCTGTAAAACTGAACAGTTTTTATGTTTTTTTTTGCTAAATGTTATATGCTTTTATTATACTTGTTTCTGTATACATTGTTAATAAATGCAACGTCTGCAATTGTTTTGCTTTATGATTATTATGACTATTGTAATTGGTATAAAATTAAAATAAATAAAATTGATAAATAAATATTATATAAATATTAAGCTCACCTCTTGAAGACTATTATCAATTGGATCAATACTATCTGGATATGGGTTATTTGCTTGGATATCGAAATGTTTTTTCATAATAACAGCCAATCTTTTTACATAGTCAATAGCTACATCTGCTAAAACATATAAGCTTTCTTCGTTTGCTATACTAAATCCAGCATGAGCTGTGAATACTACAGATCGTTTTACCATTATTTTATTCCAGTCATCGCGATCAATTTGATACTCCCATTCTGAAATACCATTTGCAAATCTAAAACGTTCCTCTTCAGTAAATTGTCGACGTGGCCGTTCAATTTTAGGAATAGGAGGCAATAGCTTGTATTCAACCAATCCTGTTGGATCATCAGGTGTTTTTAACACTTTCAAAGCTAAAAGATCCAACTCATTATAATATTCATTAAGATCAATATTGTACATTATATCGGGGTTAACAATATCTGGATCTTCTACAAAACATTCAGCATTTTCGGTTTCAGGTTCTTCATCGGTATTTTTTAAATGTGTGTTTCTCGATAAATATTGTTTTACATAATTACAATCTTCTAATTTTGATATTCTAATACGTTTAGTTAGTTCACTACTCTTTTGTTCATCACAATTGTTCAAAAATAATTTATTATAAAAACTACTTAAAAGTAGTGCTTGTTGTTCTCTACTCAAATTTATATCATCTGAATCCAATAAGCTAGGAAATTGATGTAAAGAAACAACACGAGATGGGCCAGGTAAGCTGGTTGAACATGATGGACCAGGTATGTTGGTTGAATTCGATGGACCAGGTAAGTTTATTGAAGATGATGGACCAGGTAATTTGATTGAAGACGATGGACCAGCTAAGTTGGTTGAAGATATTGAACTAGGTATGTTAGTTGAAGTCGATGGACCAGGTATGTTGGTTGAATCAGATGAACTGGGTATGCTGGTTGAACATGATGGACCTGGTATGACGTTTGAACGTGGTGGGCGATATAATTCGTTCAAAGTTGAGTTAGTCAAATGCTGTACACGTTCAAGCAATTTTGCAGATGATAAATCTGGATCATCTTTAGTTTCCTTGACATCAGAAATTGGTTCATTTATCTTAGAGCCGAAGGTAGAGTTTTTTATTTTTTGGGTAACTGACCTTGGTGATTTTGAATTAGTATTTATATCCTCCTTAAAGCCCTTACAAGATGAGAAATCAAAATCAGATTCAATAGAGTGATCACTACCCTCATCAATTAACCACGCATCTTCTCTTTCATCGCATAAAGTTTTTTCTGCCAATAAACACATATTGGCAGGCATTATTTGATTGTCTTCATCGACATCAATATCATCTTCTTCATCATCAAGACAAATGTTTTCTTTTTTAATTTTTTTTTGTGTGACACATCCCATATTATTAAAATCTATTTTCTGATCTTGTATGTTTTCATTAGGTTCCTTTTCATCATTAAGTTCCATGATTTAATGAGGTAAAATATAAATAATTTTAATGACTTATATTTTCTAAAACAAAAGAAAAAAACAATTAAAAATATAATGTGTATTAACTAACCGTTCCAATGATCAATAAAATAATCTTACTAAAAAACAAAACCATAATAATATGACTACGCAAAGGGTTAGCTTATTAAATAATGTAATATTAGTCAATAATGATTTGGTTATTTAACCGTTAAACGCTTACCATTAGTCGATTCAAGGGAAATCTTAAACTGATTATTTTTATACGTTTTTTAACTATCTCTTATAAGTATATCTTATTGCTATCAGTGATCAGTTAGTTTCGACCGCAATGACATTCCATAAACCTTACAAAGTCGTTTTGACAACTAGTAAGTAATAAGTAATAACTAATAATTAATAGGTTCACATATAATTTACAAGAAATATCCTATTTAATACTATATTTGATGATTTGACAAATGGTATGCAATAAGGGTATAAAAATAAGGTAAGCTTAGTCAATACCAAGTCAAAATTTAAAAAAATAAAATATTCAGCATTTAAGACACATTGCTTTAATAAATACCAAAATTGATAAAAACATGGTTAAATGGTAAGGACAGTGAACTTACAGTTCCTAATATTTAACCAAATAATAACCCGACATTAGGGAAATAATTAGTTTTGCAGCGTTAGACTTAACAACCAAATGCATACAAACTTAGTAACTGTTTCACTTGTATGATATTCTCAGATTTTAGATGAAAAAAGTTGTGACCAAAGACTAAAGATTGGATAGGTAGGTACATGATAAATTTGTATTTTATATTTTTATACATTAAAAACTACACAAACACAATCAAACCACTAATCAAATATATAGCCTATTTCTTATTTTTTACAAGCTAACTAATAAATCTAAAACAAACAACTTACCAGTTACTTTTAAAGTAGTCTGGGGTAGTCATAGAGAAGTTGAACAATTATTATAATCCTAGGTAATCTCTAGGTAGACACTATAAAAAAATCCTTATTATTATTTTTTTATCTATTAACAGCCACCGAGATTTGGGGCTTGAGCTCAACTGCTCTAGCAGGCTTCAAGAACGAAGATCGAAATTCAAATCAAACGTAAATAGTTAACTGTCGGTCCATTCGGACTCGTCGTTTGACTGTTGGTCGTTGGATAACTTGGATTCATTAGGTAGGTATAATCATTTACATTATCGTCTGACTGTCTGAAACAGAGTGGGCGTGCGCACCGGTCACCGGACAGCGTCTGGGCGGCATATTGTAAACAAGCTGAACATTGGTGACCGTGACCGTGGTTCAGGGCAACCACGATCCAGGATCTTCTCTACGCAGCTTCAAACCATAGATAACATAATATTTACTATTAATAAGCTCAAAATTAAATTAAAATTATTAAAATATTTATTAAAAATAATATATATACCTATTGGCTATTATATTATTATTTATGCATCAAACACATCGGCATCCGACATTCTAGCATTGCCAACTGATGCGCGCGCAACTGTATATTATCAGGTCACAGCGGTGCGGCGCTAGAATCTATCTTAAACAGTCTTGGGCGCCACTGTTGATAGTGTTTACCAGGTTTACCTCCATGACACGACGAAGATGGAGCACCGTTCATCGGAATTATAATTTATATTACAGCACATTATGCGGTATTTTTTTTAAAAATAATATCCAGATTACAAGACAAGGTGATTCATAAAAATAAATTAAAAAAATTCATAAAAAACAGTTTTTTTTTGAATTAAAGTATAATTTGTTATTGATCGTTTTATTGTTTTGGGCTTTTGGAGTAATTCTAGTTTAACAGAAGAGTAACCTATAGACGTTTTTGATATTTTTTATCAAAATGTATGTTATAACTTATAATGTTATAGCATGTAATATATTAAGAATGTAAATAAAAAGTTGGAGGAACTTCATTTGAAAGTTATCGACAAAAAGCACAAGGTTTTTCCGAAAATCGCAATTTTTTTTTAAAGATTAAAGAATAGGTAGGTATACTCATGACTAAATAGATCTATTTAGTCATGGGTATACTTATCTAGAATTATCTTTTTATCCAAATGTGTGGTTTTTAATGCTTAATCGATTGATAAAATCAAAACTTACATACCTGCTATACTTAGGTACTTTTATAAGGCTTTGCACGTAAATCAAAATTAATCCAAATAACTGAAAATTTATACTTTTAATTTTAAATAGCTTTTAACTATTTGCGTGTTACTGTTATAATGTTACTCATGGGCGGACCCAGGGGGGAGGTCAGTTTTTTTCTCAGTATAAAATACGGTAACTCAAAATGGCAAGCAACATAAAAAAATTTTTATATTTGAAAAAAATATGTACAATATGTTACAATCAATAATAAAATAATATTAAATAATAATAATTTTTAAAATGCACATAGGCTCAAAAATATTTAATATAATTATTCATTTATAGGTATATTATAGTCTATAGATGTATAGATATAGTTATGTATAAACGTGAAGGCTGCGTACCTATTTAAGTATACATTGCGCGTACGAAATCGTGCTTAAACTCATCCACTTAAGAGGACGTCGTTCCAGCATGTGTAGTTTCCGTCTTACACACGTACGATATAGAAAATTTTCGATCACCGTATATGTTTTTTTTTTTTACTTTTATTAGAAAAATATACAATCTGTAATTAATGGTTACAAAATGCATATTAGCTGAATTTACATTGTTTTTGAGTGCGTTAGGTGAGTAGTTACCCAGCAGTAACACTCGACGTGAATCATATAAGTATTCAGCAGGGCCGTATTAAGGAATAGGCAATATAGGCCTAGGGCCTACGAAAATGAAATGTATGGCTACGATTTTTCTGTAATATTTTTTTTTTATTTTAAGTTAATTAACTATCTGTAGATGTTAGCACAACAAATAAAATATTTGGTATAACATTTCTCATATATTTACACTCAATGTTCGTTATCGTAATTCGGAATAATTACTTATTGCATGCGGTCATGCGGGACATGATCGGTCGGCGAGGAAGAAAATGTAAAATGGTAAAAAATAAGTTGTTTTTTATGGTTTCTGGTAATTTAATTTTAAATAATACGTTTTAAGTAAAATAAAATGTATTTTTAGATGTGTTAAAATTGTTATCAGATAAAGTTATAATTATAAAAGTTAATATTTGATTTTCATGTTGTAAATATTTTCGTTTTTAATGGCTTAAAACACTGAGATTCAACACTACCTATCCCAAACATTAGGTTTCTTAATCATTTAAATACTGAACACTACAAGACCGTATTAGCACATGGGTCTAGGTCTACGCCCTACGGTAGTGTTAATCCTGGATATAAGAATTATAAGAATAAAAAAAATGTGATAATACTTACAGCGTTCGTCACGTATTAAAGTATCGTTCGAATGTCGTCTGAGTTTTGTGAAATTGTGAGCGACTGACTTTGTCGCAAAACATTATAATGATAAATAGTGTGTTATTAATAATTAATATATTGTTAAAAAAAAAATCATATTTGTTATTCAATCAAAAAGCGTGTAAAGAGATGTCGCTCTTCTGTCAACATTTAAACTTTAAATTCTTAAAACAAAATCATTCTTATTACTTATGTATTTTTAGTATTTTTAATCTACTATTTTAACAACTTACCAGGAACCTTGTCAACATATTTTTTATTCATAATCAAAAAAGGCAACGTTGTATACTAAGTTTATCACAACGATATGGTATTTATAATTAATTACGTTTATTAGTCAACGGCACAATGAAACATTAACTGTATAATATAATTATAATTATTACTGATATTTTTCTTTAATCGTATTATAGTTTTACTGTTAGTGTAGTGTTGCCGTACTTCAGTTTCTTTTCAGCTTTTAGAGTAGTACTCATTCTTGCAGACTTACGACTTACACGCAGGCAGGTAAGTATAAACTCCCGTGTACGTCGTGTGGAGAGTGAATTATTATTGTGCGTCATTAGTATTTATAAATATTAAATAGTTTACTTAATACTTAAATCTGTTGGTATGTAGATCAAATTCCTAAACACGTCAGTCAAAATCATGAAATTGTTTTCGTTAGTTGTCATGGTAGTTTCTGTGGGATTGGCGGCATCAAAATGTGGAAAAAATGAGTACTACCAAAGCGATACTTGTATGGAGCACTGTACTTTTACAATATCGGCAGACGACCGTTATATTCTAGGTACATGTGTAATATCTTCTAAATATAAAGTCAAGTATGGTTCGAGTGGTTTTGTATACCAATATTGTTGGAAATGTACCTCAGATCCTTTACAGTATTTAGAGTAGTCCATATATTTAGACCAGGAGGCCTACATACATCTAATTTTGTGTTATTTTTTTAGTTTATATTTCAGTTATCTATATTAAATCACTGCACAATTATTAAAAAAGTCATAGTGATATAGTGTCTTAATAATATGTTTTTTATATGGTAAAATAAGTATAAGTATAATATTATGCAACATAATATCTCTTATAAACTGGATTCAAATATAGGTAGTTTGTTACGTTTTGTGTGGAAATAGTTCAATTATCTAAATTATGACTAATATAATATTATAATATACAAAATTGTAACATTAATACTCTAATGATACAAATACATTTTATACCTACAAATGTAGAAACTTAGTATTTTGTCTGCTTGTAAGATAATTCTCATTGTGTATGGTTTTATTTAGTCGCAATTCATTAGGTACTGCTACAAAGTACAGATCACAACTGAGTACAATCTACTATATTTACTATTTAATTATTTAAAGTTAAAACCAAATAAATATTTTAAGTGCATATGTAGTTTTAGACTTTAAAATACCTATTACGAAAAAGCCAAAGATCAAAGAAAAAAGTCCAATAATATTGCCCCCCAGTAGGTAGTAATGTAAATATGTAATATTCTAATACTAGTATTGTTTATTTCTTTATCTCCTTTAAATAACAGTTAGTGCTATATTATAATAATAACCTTTCAATATTTATATTTACCTTTGAAGTTGATGCTAAAAAAAAAAAAAAATAATAATAAAATATAAAAATATAACATAAATAGTGATGATACCTCATATTTTGTAGGATTTCAATTTTTTTAACATCAACAATGAATAAGGGTATAAGGTAGTAAATGTACCAAATTGTTTTTAAAAAACCCTACGCAATAAATTGCATTATTTAACAATGCTTTATTTATAAATTTATAAAACTGTACAATATTAAATCTTTTAACTAAGTTCAATATTTCGTTGTACATATTTTACATTATCATTATATTATTATTGCACGAACAAGCAATCACACACTTAAAATTAATTTTAATACCCATAAATGTTCCATCATTATGCCGTCAATATTAAATTAATTATTCCGATCGTAAATGAGACTCAAATAATCTACATTTGTGATGTATATTCATTAAATATATACTCGTGCATACCATTGATTGATACTTTGCAAACTTATCTACACGAATTAAACACATTGAAACTGTATAATATGTAGAATAAAGAACCGTGTAAAAACCGTAAGTAACTAACACTATATAAAACAGCAGATACTTTATATTTAATAATATATTGCAGAGTAGCTCATCTACATCTACTATTTTAATAAAATTGAAGTCAATTATTATACATTTATACCATATTAGTTTGGCACGAATTAAAATCGAACAACAATTTATTATCATTATACCAATTTCTATTCACAAGTTTGTAACTGCATCTTAACATTTTTACTAATAATATAACAGTTATTGTTGATCTTTTTCCTATTTTTCATATTATTTTTCATAATGCTGTGCGGCTTCACGAGTGTCTTATCGCTGGCCGCCCTTCCACTACACAGTTTATTGTTGGCGTTACTAAAATCAAAATTCTGGAGTAAAAAAAAAAAATATATATTTACAAAAAACTGCCTTATGTTTATTTTTTTAAACATTTTTTTTCTTTTTTATTTGAAATAAACAATCTGTACAATTTGCACAATAAGCTTATATGATATAAGTACATGATACGTGACAGGCGTGATTTAAGCAGCCACCTATTAGTGACTCTTGACTAATTTTTTTAAACATGAAAACGTCGGTTCGCGTCTTGCTACACACGTATAATTAGTCCAAATCATTGGTGTTGGCGGCACAAAAGTCTTATCACAACCGTTGTACTATACTAAAATCAACCATTACGTATCAATGTAATGACTTATGATAAATGCGTAAGTACCTACGTGTTATCAAAGTAGCCGCAGCACAGACGCTAATAAGGCACCCGATGATGACAAAAGACAAAACAAAAGGGGTGTACCAGTTGCCCCCCACGACTGTTATCAGGATTTTAAAAATATACCAGTTGTCCTCGACCAAATGTACCAGTTGCCCCCAACCGAATGTACCAGTTGCCCTCACATGTTAATGTATACACGATTACAATATATAGCCCGTAAAATAGGGGAGGTAAATATATAAATGTCAATAATACAATAATAATAAATAATAATACATAAACAAATTCATATGATTGGAATTACATATAATATTGTATCAAATATTATATATTATACAAATAAGATGGATAAAATGAAAATTGTATTAATAATAATAGCCTACTTGGTGCAAAGCAAGGATTTTACCAACGCGTAATTTTAGACGCGTCTAAGTGGACAACCGATTACCTAACGTTAATTATTATATTAGGCTTTATCAGAATACGCTTGTTATTATCATTTATTAATTTATTATATCTTTATTAGTAATTTTATGGTTGTTAGAAATTATTATATGATACGATGTAGGTACATACGATGATACGTCTTTTGATAGGTACATTTTAGTAGACGAAAAGCACTGACGTTATTAACACGATGGAAAATATTACGCGAGTGTATAGTGAAAAGGGCAATATTTTGTTAGTTTTAAATAATTATACTTTTTATAAGGATCGCATTACACAAGCTGGTGTGAAATGGCGATGTACATTAAAATCATGTACGTCAAAGCTCTTTATGAGTGAAGATGAAACTGTGCTTTTAAAATCGGTTATCGAACACAAACATTCACCGCGTAAAAATTTAACAAAAGTAACCATTTCCAATAATTTAAAACGGAAAGCTGTGGATGAAATTTCCAAACGCCCATTAAATTAATACGTGAAGAAGTTCAATCAAATATCGTGGATGTAACATTAAACGATGTAAACTCCATTCGTAGAAGCATTTATCGTGCAAGAAGAAAAACACTTCCACCACTTCCAAAATCTATTTCTGAAGTTCACTGAGCATTAACACTATTACTATTAAATACTTACAAAGGTGAGGATTTTCTATTATATAACAACGAGATAGAAAATATAGTATGTTTTACTACAGAATCAAATTAAAAATTTTTATGTACTCGAGATAAAATTTTTATAGACGGAACATTTGAATAATGTATCATGAACTTTTGTCTATCATTTTATACTATTTTTTTTTTATAAATTATCACATTGAATATGCCACTATTAGTATTATAATTAAATTATTTATTATGAACTTTTGTCATAATTTATTTATTATTTGTATATTTACCTCCCCTATTTTACGGGCTACATATTGTAATCGTGTATATATTAACATGTGAGGGCAACTGGTACATTTAGTTGAGGCATTGATTTAATCAATGGTTGAGGGCAACTGGTATATTTTTCTCTAGATAGTTCGGGGGGAATTGGTATAAAAAAGGTACTTTTGAAGGCAACTGGTACATGCCCAACATAAGCACATTCGCTGTGATAATTGATAATAAATAATAAATAATTATTATTTTGCAGTTTAGACTGTTCTACTCGGAAAGATTGTTTCAAAAGCTTTTGAGAAAGAATAACATTATTTTGAATAGTACGACATCAACGGTTTTTTCTGCCATCATGCACGGCCGCTGGCCGGTGAGAAATTGTATCGCTAACGTAGTCCGTCGAGTGTGCGCAGAATAACTACATTAATATTTAATAGCAATATTAAATAAGAAATTAAGAATTAAAATAAGATTCATTATTCAATCTCGTGTGTGCTATTTGTCAGTAATAGGCGATAGCTCGAGGAGAAATGCAGTACAACAGAATTTTGAATACCTACGCAAATGTATATAATATTTAAATACCGTGGTTCAAAGGACACCACTATATAAACACCACTTTGCAGCCACTAAATTGTCTACCCTCTTAGAATCTCGCAGAATCACACAGATAATAATAATTAATAGTTTACCTATAGTTTTAATATTATTATGAATTATGTCCGTACAGTATTTAATATAATAAACAATAGTCAATTTGTATAGTAGGTAATAATATTTTATTATTGATTATAAATAGTAAATACTAGTACAGCGGTTCCCAAACTTTTACGACCACGGCACCCTTAAAAAATTGTTTGTGTTTCGCGGAACCCTAATGTCTAATCCAACCCAACCACAATTTTTGTAAATTTAAAAAGGAAAATCAATTCCTTAAACTCTCAAGTCCAAATAATATTTTAATGATACTGTTAATGACTTTTCATTATTAAACTTAGTTTAAAAAAAAATTTTCAATCAAACATTTTTTAAACAACAAACATTAAATAAACATAATTTTCTCAATAATCTCATACATCTAACGGAACCCTTGACATTGTCCCACGGAATTCTAAGGTTTCGCGGAACACACTTTGGGAAACGCTGTACTAGTAGGTAGGTACTTAGGTAAGATAAGGGATGGGGAAATGGACAATTTCCCATCGACAATATTCGGCGTATTAGGACATTTACCCCCTATCCGTGAAATTAAAAAAAAAATTACTTGAATATGAAATGTTTTTGGTCTAATGTCTAATTTTCTCATTAAGAGCATGTCTGTCATCACATGTTAGGGCAATAAAAGTGCTTCAATTTTCTTCAACAGCATCTTTTCTGGTAGAGAAGTGAATCTAGTAAGAAATACGTAAGAAATAAAAGCAAGAGGTTATAACATGTTTTAAAGTCTTCATAACGACTAAACCTATATGTAAAATTGATTTTTAAAACGATTTTTTTATCATTAAATTTTGAAGCTTAAAAAAGATACCAAAAAATATACTGAATATCTCAACCCATATTACACCTACTTTTGAAAATTAAAATCGAAAAGACCTTCAAGAATTTCCTAAATATATAATATTAAATACAATATGTTAGTTGTTGCACAGTTTATGTAATATAAACCAAACACTATACATAGTATGATAGTAGGTTATACCTACTGTTGTAGGTATACATAGCTAGTATACCCAAAATTCTAAAAATTATATATCGACTGTAGTACTGTACGAAAAACTCGCGTGCACCACAATCACTGCAATCAAAATAATAAATAATAAATGAACTATTCTTCGTGACAATACGGTTGAAATTCTAATCTCACCCGTATAACGTCACAGTTATTATAGAATATCGACTAAATTATTTAAAAAAAAATATCACACTACTACAATAAACCAAACATAAAAAATAAATAATACCTGCTACCCAATTCTTCCCTAATACTGTTATTATTCTGATTTTTAGTGAACACATTTATCATAGTTGTCGTCAAAGATTAATCAAAATTCTGTGCAATGTATTGGAATGAGTTAAATCCTCAGAAACGCAATGTCTTGTTTAAATTCGATAATTCAGACGTGAAAAAAGACAAGGACCGAATATTTATAAGACTTAAAAAAGGTGTATTCAATTTCGTTAGCTTGTTTTTTTCATCTTCCAACATCCATGGCCTTAACCACTTAACTGACAAGAGGAGGCATTATACCGAAAAGTATGTGTTCTATACATTATTTACACAATAATAATATGTGTAATACTTATTTGACTATAATATTCCTATATTAAACAGGGTATCCTGCGAGGATTTACCCATTGCGATATCTCCTAAGATAATAAATATATCATGAATCTATTTTTTATTAGACTCACAAGAGAAAAGGAAATTTTATTTTTTAATTTAATTACACTTTTTGGTAAAAAAGTTAAAAAATGTATTTTTCACGTTTTTATTTTTGAATCCGAATTATATCCGTTTTGTAAAAAATGTTGACCTTTCAACATTTTATTTTCATTCATTTCATGATTTAAAATTTTTTTTTTAATTTATAGGTAAAAATTGGTTTTTGTCAGTACGGCGAGTCTTCAGTCTCTACAGCTAATGTGTATATCCTCACAGGACCCTGTATTGTTTTCAAGAGATGTTTTTGTACAATTGTTCATATACCTTCATGTAACCACTTCACTATTTTTCATAGTATCTGGTCTGAGTGTAAAATAGGAATTGGTTTATGTATCTATGTGGCCAAAAATAAATTCGAATATTCCCTGATTTTATTCAAAATTTTACAAATAGCTGATATCATGTTGTAATTATTAGCTGTGTAACTTGTGAACGTAGTTTCTAAAAATAAAGATAGGTATGACATAAATACAATATAATACATGAAAAAGGTAACTTTATTATTTGCAAATTGATATTGAACGAATTATAGAATATTTGTATGTTATTATTAAATTGAAGTATATTTTGTGTACTAGAATAATCATTAAGTTAAACATAATCTTTTTGGTTTTTTTATCTTAGTATTTACAAAATTATACTTTTGATGGTGTGCCGCTCATCAGCATGTAAAAATAAAAATAAAACATATTATTCATATAGATTATGCACCTAGCAGGGTCCGCAATCCACCACAGGTGGATTGAATATCTAAAAATAGTGTCATATAGAGTTGGCATTTTTAACAAGTGCAAGGGATCAGCTAGTTTTTTATAAAAGTTTTAGAATACATATATATAAATTTAGTGTAATATAGTTTTAAATAAATACTTATTTAAATATTATAATACATGGAAAAGACAGTGTTCGGAACGTTCACTAAAAAAACTAACTCGTTCACGTTCAGTAATATTAAAAAAGGAACTCGTTCACGTTCAAGTTCCTGTTTTTCTCAAACGAACACGTTCACGTTCACTTTCATTCAAAAAATGAACGCGTTTATTGGGCGTTCATTAATTTTTTTTCCCAGTAATTACTAATTAAATTTAAATTCGATATCATAGGAACTATAATGGAAAATATTATTATAATATGATTAATTAAAATATTTTAAAAATATATCTATTAAATGGTAAATAAATTAAACTTCTTAAAAATCGATCAAGTTCATTAAAAATATAAACGTCGTTCACTTTCACGTTCTATTTTAAAAATACGAGTGACGTTCACTATTTATGAATGTGAACGCGTGAACGTGCGTTCATGAACGACGTTCTTTCCAAACACTGGGAAAAGATAATAGTATTCTTTGCAAAGCGGTACATGAACATTGAAGATATTAAATTGTAAATTATTAATACATAAAGGGCTCAAAATAAATAGTTTTTGTATGAGTCTCTAAAATTTCTAAAAATTAACACTAAGAAAAACTTTGAAAACAATTTTTTATAAAAGTTGTAGACACATTAGAACATGTTCTATAAAAATGTTTTGCTATTAATATTTACAATTGATACATAGTTATATTGTCAGGTTAATTTAATTTATAACGATTTAGGTATACCTATTAAACTCAAATCACTAACCGCCGAAAATCGTGCTTCTATAATTGTATGTTACAGATTAATTTGGGTTGTTGCAATATGTTTGAGCATTTACGGATCAGCAATACTTGGTTCGTCCACTTGGACTCGTTATCAAGAAAATCCGACAGTGATATCCATGGACAGAGAGTACAAAGAATGGGCAACTTCACTTCCAGCAGTCACTTTATGTCCTACGAATAAGATCGATGACCAACTCTTCGATGAACTCGTACAGAAAAAGTAAGTTTTGACCGAAAATACGAATCGTATAAAAAAATCAAATTCCTAAATTTATATGTGTAAAAGTAATGTTTAATTCTAACAGGAATGTCATTCGAAATATAGTTTAAAAAAATAAAACTAGCTATAATAAAATATGTATTTATTTTTAGTTATTCCCACATCTGACACAGTTAAATATCTAGGACTTAACTTGGATAAGCGCCTCACTTGGAATAGCCATATCCGTATAAACTATAAACTAAGAAGAGACTTGCCTAAAACGCCCGACTTCACAGGCTACGAACTCTCCTCACAAATAATAAACACTTCAGTTTAAAAATTAAAGTTATTATGCATAAAATATTACTCAGACTTCTATGGATATATGGTCTCCAACTCTGGGGCACAGCAAAAGTTTACAATACCAAAAAAATTCAACGATTTCAGAATATTGCTCTTAGGAAAATTGCTAATGCTCCACCCTTTGTTTCGAATTACATGCATAATGACCTGTCAATTAAAACCGTAACAGAAGGAGCTACACGCTTCTACAAAATCTTTCATGCCCGCCTACAAACACCCACCAAAATCGGCAAAATCCATTCATTAAAAACCTATCCATCCAAACATTACCTGGCAACCCCAGGCGTCGTTTAAAAAGGAGCTGGTGCAACGAGACTTGTCAGGGAACCAATATGAAAGAAGAAAAAAAATCAGTTTATATAATATACAGTAATAAGATTCATCATCCAGTCATGTGCCACTAGTAGGTGGCTTCTTATCACGTATTTCATGTATTATTGTAACCTTTTTTAAATATGCTAATTGTGCATAAATGTACAGATTGTTTATATTATTGTGTGAAATAAAAAAAAATTTTTCATTATTTATTGACAATATTATTACACGAACTGTACCTGCGTGTGAATTATTAAGGGTTATAACTGCAGATTATTATCACTTATCAGGTACTTTTCCACCCACGAATGCATAGAGAAATAAGACATAATCTTGTCTTAAATATTATCCATCAATAAAGAAAAATTATTTGATGTACTCATCAATACTGCTTAAAAATAAACTCAATACAAATTATCTTAATAATTGACGTTGTAATAAATCAGATCAATAGATAACCATAAATCATACGCGTGCGCACGGGGACAGTAGAAGCAGCATAATATGCTGCTCAGGACTTTCTCTGGGACTACCACAGCCGGCAAATATTGAATGGGCAGCGATAAAATTATATTTCCATAAATTATGACCATTGTAGATAAAAAATTATAAATTTTATTTCTTTTGGTTAAGTGTAGATAAAAATTTTACGATTATAGAATTTACCAGTATAACCTTATAGACCTGTTGTCGACAATAAAAATAAATAACCATGGTTTCAAATCAAACAAGTTTATGAATATTAATAAAAGCTATTATTGTTTTGTTTACAACTATAATTATGTACCATATTCTTACCAATTATATTATGACTTTAATTATTATAACTTAAAAAAAAATTAGTAAACATCTTCAGTTTTGTACTTACAGATTCAGTGGAGATTTTTATTTTTATTTTTAAAATATATATTTTATATTGTTATTAATGTTTGTTTATTTTATTATATTATAAATAATAATTATTTACAATTAACTAGCTGCCCCTGAAACCGGAGGTTGCGCACGCCTATGCCACAAATTCATAATTAACACGAGCATGCACACATAATATCTATATCTGGATTTCACCAACTTTAATATTAAACAAAACAAAAATAATAATTAATGCAAATATTGAAACATATTATAATAGTTTATTTTATTATGTGAAATACTGAAACTATATCGTTTCTTTTTGTCATAAAATTGTCAAGCCGTTCGCTTGAATATGATAAATAATGTACCAACTCATTATATTCAATAATATTGATTTAGGTTTACAAACTACACAGACGAAGAAAAAGAAGATTTTCGGACGTTTCTGGTGCAGTTGGCAAATGCCACTTACGGAACGTTTAAAGAAGTGCCTTCGTACAATCGGATATCGCCGAATGAGTACCTGAATTACGTCATGTCCCTGAGCGGTGTTGTATCGTACACAATCAGCAACAGTCACGTAGACATATTTTCGTCGATCGAATTGGTGCCCAGTGTAACCGAGTTGGGCTTATGTTATTCGTACAACGGGTACGTTGCACCTTACAACGGTTACAAGTACGTACCTCCCTATATGAATAAAATTAGTCCCTGCCTGATGTTGGAATGAAATTGTATGAACATCCTGTGTGCCTTTCGAGCAACATTGATTATTTTCTTACACAGATATTGGATAAATCACAACATCAGCGAGTTCCCGAAGATAGAAATTATGTCCGGCACCCCGTTGGACGGTGATATTTTCGTTCAGATAACGTCCATGAATTTCGGTTACATGGTAATAAACGTGTTTATAAGGATGTCAGCGCACTGATTGTTTTTCTCTTTGAACCCAGCGCAACACAGACAATACAGAATTACGCAGAATTATTTTTCTTATGTATTTGAGTAAACTAAGAGTAAAATCACACATTAAAAAATTGAAAGAGAATAATATTTTTGACAGTATGACATATTAATTCGTCTAAATATTGTCTAAAAAAATGTATATACGCTTTAAATATATTAATTAAAGTACTAAAGAAAATGTTTTTACTTTAAAATTCAAACACTAAGTCAAATAATAATAAAATATAAAATAGCTATTATGCCAGGCCCTCAAAAAATTATTCTATTTAATTGTTGTACTAAGTGGTTTTACTTTAAGATAGGTAACTCAAAAATTATAAAAAAACGATTTTAGGTAAAAGCTTTTTATCTATACTGCGCGTGGGTCAGGGAGAGCGAACACATTTTGCTCTGATATCCTCTTAATAAATATTATGTTCTTCCACTAAGATGATCAGTATAATAATATAATATTATAATTTATATTGTATTATACCGTATTTTATTCTATGCACCCGCGTGGCAGGGATTTGTGCACTCCCCCTACGAAGTGCCCGACGTGGCGTGCCGCATTTTCCCGTCACCGGAGAACTTCTACAAAACGCTGGACGTGACCGCTCTGAGTATATTCAGTACTCCAGAAATTAGATACCTTTCGCCCAAGCAGAGAGGCTGCCGGTTCTCGGAAGAGAGCGACTTGGAGATAAGTCCAATTTATACGTACAACATATGTCGAAACCAGTGTCGAATGGACCAAGCTAGAAAACTATGCGGATGTGTACCGTACTTTTACAAGCCGCTGAGTGAGTGACTTTGCTGCGGTCATATTATTTGTTTCGCATAAAATATATTATACGGTATTTGATGCATCGACACAATTGCAATGACAGTATAGAGGTATCGACTAGAATCCAATATGGGGGGGGGGGCTGGGGTGTAAGTTCAATATTATGATTTATGACCACGGAAGTCACCCGTCGATAGACCTGTCGGTCGAATGGTTGTCGGTCGATTGACCCAGAACCTCTTAACCCAATCATCAAACCGATATCGTGGTGTGAATAAAACAATTATTTTTGTGGGTTGTTTTCGATTTTTGAGTCTAAAATATATTACTTACATACTTTTCGCATGAACAATTATACCTAATACCTATATGGCTATATATATTACTATGTTAGTAATTATTATTTTTTTGCGATTTCCCTCAACATTATATTATATGGATCACAGTATGCCAATATCGATCTATTGCAATTGCAGGTGCCGGGTATTATTATAAAACCGGTGGAAGGCATAATCGCCAAAACGAGATAAGAAAAAAAATCGTATCGTAAGAAAGCGCCAAAAGCCTAGGTACCTGTATGCCGCGGTTAACAGATATTAAATTTAGAACTAAATCGTAACTTTATATTAAGATCAGTTTTATGTGGTTCACTGTTCCGTTCATATAATAATTCATGTGTTATTAAACTTACAAAGCGAAACATATTTATTTAACTCTCTTCCTAACAAAAAATTAAAGATATCTCATGACGAAGTAATTTTGTACAATGGAATAAATACCAATGTAGTGAAAAAGAACGTATAGAATATGTGAAAAAAGTGGGATTAAAAAATCAACCAATTTATTACATTTATATTTATTTGTATGCATATTAATAATTTTAGAGCAAATAATATGTCATTTTTGGGTCTTTGACGTTTTTGTCATATGTTGGGTATAACAGGTATATAATATTATAGATTAAAAAACCAAAAAAAATTAAAATTAAACACCCACCAGGTGCTTATAGATTGTCCCAAATGATACATGTATCATTTTTATACCTTTGAAGCTTATGTCATATAGCCCATAAAACGGTGACACTCAAATTGCCTCTCAAATTTAGGTAGGTGACATTTTTTCATTCGAATTACCTCTAGGTGTTTTCAGAGGCAATTCGAGTTTACCCAAACGGTCCATTCGAATTGCCTCTTATAGTATACCAGATTATTAAAATACATCGATAGTTGTTCATGTACTACCGTTATTATGTATCAATTTCCGCAGCGTTTAAAAATATTAATTTTAAGACATACAGTATTTCTCGACCAATTCACTTGTCAATTATCAGTTTGATATTGGAGCGAAAAATCAACAGCTAGATACTCAGCAAGAATTTAAAACGAAAAGCTTTTGAACAGCTCTCCGAACGACTAGAAAAACTATTCCACGTCGAGACAAAAAATAATGACTGTATAACAGAAATATATTTCATCCAAGTTATTGTACTTATGTATTAATTATCATTTATTATTTTTTATTATTATTATTAATTATTACAGTTGTGTTTTTCTATTTACTAAAATGTTTATAATTATATATTTATATACAAACTTTTTTACTGTTTAACAAAATTATAATTCATATAAATTAATTGATGTATTGATAGTTTAGTTTTTAAAGTGTTTGAAACAGTTTATTAACTATAATGTTTATACAATGTATATTTATTGTAATTATAATTTTAATATTTCCTATAATGTGAGGTTAGAAATCGATTAATATTGTTATAGCTATCGGAGGCGATTCCAGTACAATGAGGGTCACTACATAACATATAAGTCAATTCAAATGAATAATATTTTTGATTTGGAAGGCAATTCGAAAATCTTTTTTTTTAAAAAAAAAGGGGGGGAGGCAATTCGAGGGTCAAGAGAGAGGTAATTCGTGAGAGCCCCATAGAAGGTTGGAGCACGCCTAATAATAGTTAGTAGCTCAATATAAGATCAGGGCGATCAGGTATAGATGTATCAAAATAAAACATTATACATTCACTGATGCGTATAGAGTAAAAAACTGTTCAATCAATCAATCAATATTTGTCCACATTAAACCTTAAATAACAAGATTGCATCCAATACAACCATTCAATAATTTTGGGTTTTAATTTCAGAAAAATATAAAATATGTGATGTCAAAGGGATGCATTGTTTGGATCAATATAAAGGTAAATCATATTTTTTTTGAGTATTAATATGATGAAAATATTATCTATTACTAATTTTTTCAGAGTTTCTTATAACACTCCGGAATACAACAGGAGTTGATGAAAAAGTAAACTGTGGTTGTTATCCACCTTGTGACGATGTTAAATATATCGTAGAAGGAGACAACACAATTCAATGGTAATCTAAAAAAGTCAATAATTAATAGTAATAATTAATAAACAGCTAAAAACAAAAACTTAATTTAAATATATCTGTAAAAGAAATTTTATGTAGAGGTACTGTTATTTGTTTGGCAATAACTGGCATATAAATATACTTAAAATTTCATTTGTTAAATAATTATTTAACATGGTATCTAACTATGATTTTTTTTTCAGGTTTCTAGGAACTAATTTAAAATGGGGACTTATCAAATATCCTCGTATGCGTTTGAAAAGAAACGTTTTATTCGGTTTCACTGATGTTTTAGGTAAGTAATCAAAAATGAAAAAAAAATCAATTCCATATTTTATATTAATTCATGAAGTTGGCAGCTTAAACTGAATATTTTTGTTCCAAATTTTGTCAAAAATATGTAAATTATTTGTAAGTTTATGTAAGAACAAATTGGAAATTTGTAAATTTAGCCGTTTTCAATTATCTACAAAAGCTTAAATTATAGCTACCTTCTGCAAAACTTGGACGTTCTATCATTTCAAGTTTTTCGAACGAGCTAAAATGTCCTGCTCAATTTGTTAGTCTATATAACAAGAATTTAAAATTTGTAAGTCATCCTTCTTTAAATTATCCCTAAAAAGAAGCAGGTCGATCTTTTTCCAAGAGCTTTTTCAACAAATGTATTCTTGCTTACAAATACTTACAAATTGTGCAGGACATTTTGGCTCGTTCGAAAAATTTGAAAAGATAGAACGGCCTAATTTTGCAGAAGTTAGCCGTAATATAAGCTTTTGTGGATAATCGAAAACGGCCAAACTTACAAACTTCCAATTTGTGCTTATACATGAACTTACTAATAACTTACAAATTTTTAATAAAATTTGGAACAAAAATATTCAGTTTAAGCGGCCTTCGGGGACCTTTAATTATAATACACAATATGTAATAACTTAGTTTATATATATGTACACGTTTTAGTTTCGATTGGAGGCACTGCAGGTCTGTTTCTTGGATGTTCGGTATTAAGCTTCCTGGAGATAATTTACTTCTTCACATTTCGCCTGGCATTCACGTCATTGTGTAAGAAATAAGAAACTAAGGAACTAATTGAACACTGCGATTATTAAATGCAATTCTCTCAAAGATAATCAATAACAAATGTAATTTTATTTCATTTCGTAGCAGGTCAATTCCGTACTAAAATTATAATCAAATACATTTTAGTACTATAATAAAGTTTATAATGTGCACTAACGTATTAGACTATATTGACAATTAAGCGATGGAGTTATATTTTTTTATATGATATAGGTAACATGTTATAGCTTACAGTTAATATTCATTGGTAGTTGTAATACTGTGGCTTTAGATTGAAGTAAAAATGTAAGCTTAGTTATAACACATCAATTGTTATTAAATATAATACATATAATTTAGGAATATGCACGTTAAATGAATATCATCACATAGTCACATGTAGATATAAACATGTAATAGTTGTTGTATAATAACTAAAATATTATATGCACAGATTTTGTAATCCATCACTTCATTAATATATGTATCTATGGGTACCTAGACTAGTAGACTATAATAAGTAAATAAAATAACTTAAAACTTATATATTGCGCTTATGTCAACTGTAAACAACACTTTCAGAAGAATAACCGTGATGTAATGAAACAATGTACTCATATGATTTGTAACTTGTAAGTCATATAATTTTCTCTTATATCAACACTAAGTAAACAAGTACAATAATATTATTTACCTATTCTTACTCTATGCCCTATGGTATTATTTAAAATCTTATCAGGTGTTGTTATTTTTATTTTACTTTTTCTATTGGCTATTATTGTGACAGTGGCTTTTCGCTAATTGTGCTTTAGTTTATTAAATAATATATTATGTGATAATTATTAATTATGTCTTAACGAAATTTCGAAAGTAGGGCTTCAAAAAAAAAAGAACGGATCCAAATTTGTTAAGTAAATATTTTTTAACGATAAAACTCAAAATAAGTAAAAAAAATTTTATATACAATACATAGGGGCTAGGTATATGTGGCCCTAATAAATATATAGGCGATCCGGCAAAAAAACAGTACCTGTCCGCCCATTTGTTCAATTACGTTTCAAATATTCTAATGTATATGTCGCATCCACTTAGTGTAATCGTATTTTTCATGAAATGGATATCCATTTCATGAACAACGATCATATCGTGTAAGTCAAATTTTAGTTCATGAAATGGACATATATTTTATCCATTTCATGAAATGGAAACTCTTATTTTACACTTTGTGTAATATTTTTAATTAATTACATCAATAGGTAACTTTTTGTGAAATCGAAATAATAACATTGATACGAGTACACGAATCTAGTATCTTTAAATTGTAAGCATTAAGATACTAAATAGGTATTGTAGAACTTACTGTACTATACTAATAAGTAATATGTTATCGACACCTGTTATCGATAAATAATCGCATCAATTGTATGAGTGTAATAGCACTCTGGAAAGTTTTTATTTTTATTTTTATATAGTACGTTCTCTGACTTGATGCGAGCCGTATATTAACGTTCATTACAAGGAATACAATTTATAAAATGGAATTTGATTCATTTGCTGAATATTATGAAAAATTAAATGCCTACTATGTAGGCAAACCCGGGAAAAAACCACCCACCAAAAATGAGGTTCAATTAATAATTGAAGAAATATTAGCGGCCAAAATAAAAATGTAAGTAATTGTTAAAATATACAAAATATTTAAACTTCAAATAAAATTATAACAATCAGCCATCAGGGCTTGTATTTCAAAAAACTATTTTGTTTTATGTTATTTGGAATTAAGAGGTCTCTGTCTTACTAACGTACATTATAACAAATTTTCATTCAGTAGAATACATTTTGTGATGTTAGCTTTAATATTAGAGTACATTTACCTATGATCAAATTTAAAGGTAAGAATATTATCTAGACAAAGACATATGCTTTTAATGATATTATTATTTTAAAGTGAGTTATGAACATTTTAAAGTTGTAATATTTCACATAGCTGTAACTCACTTTAAAATAATAATATCATTAAAAGCATAACTATAAAGCAACTATAAAAATAATTTTAATAATAATTAAAAATATATTTTATTGTTAATTGTATATATAAAAATAATTAATAACAGCATCTGTTTTATAAAGTTGTGTGTTTAACCATTAATATTTAAACAATATTTCTTTATAATTTGGAATTTACATTATTTTATAGTGGTAAAAAAGAGAGGCGAGATTATTATCTTATCAAAACATATGATGTCCTGTGCGTTACAGATCAAAAGTTTTTGATTTATAAAAAAACTGATGAAGATGAAGACATAAGGTAATTTTTGATTTGTTTTTTTATAATTTGTATTCTGTATTGTTAATTTAATTATTTTAACAGGTACGTTGTACCATACGAAGAGTTGTACGATCGTATTAAGGATTTTCACATTAAAACGGGACATGGTGGAATTGTTAAATTACGTATGTCAATGGGTCATAAATACAAAATTCCGAGACCAGCAATAGAAAAGTTTTTGTCTGTATGTGCAATATGTAATTCCAAGCAAGGAGCAAATCGGAAACTAGTTATCAAACCAATTGTAACTAAAGATTTCAATGAAAGAGGCCAAGTCGATTTAGTCGATTTCCAGTCAACACCTGATGGTAAATATAAATGGATCATGAATTATCAGGACCACAATACAAAATTTTTATTATTGCATCCTCTTGAAAGCAAACGAGCTATAGAAGTGGCAAACAAATTACTCACTATTTTTCTTACATTTGGAGCCCCTAAAATACTTCAGAGTGATAATGGACGAGAATTTGTTAACTCCATTATTAAGGAATTAAAGGATCTGTGGCCACAATGTACGATAGTCCACGGCCGACCACGTCATCCCCAAAGTCAGGGAAGTGTTGAAAGAAGTAATCAAGACATTGAGAATATGATTCGTGCTTGGATGAAGGATAACCAATCTAAAAAATGGTCGGTTGGATTACAATTTGTACAGTTTCAAAAAAATTCGTCTTTCCATCGAATAATAGGACGATCGCCGTATAAAGCATTATTTGGATGTGACCCGAAAATTGGATTGTCATCATCAAATATTCCATCAGAAATAATAAAAAAACTAACCACTGAAGAACATCTTGAAGAAATTTTAAATAATATTCAACCAGAACATGAAAAAGAACAGATTACATCATATTGTAGTATTTGTAATACAGAAATGTTAACTGAGGTCGAATTTGCCGGAACTATTATTTGTGATTTATGTAAAACTAGTGAAAAAATAAACAAACAACGTCAACTTGGATATCAAGGACAAGAAAAAGCAGCTGAAATCATGTTAAAGGTATCTTTTTAAATCATTGTACCTATTTAATCTATTTTTTATTTAAAATCATTGTAATATCATTGTCTTTAGGTCAGCCAAACAAGGGTTCCTGATTTACAAATTGGTGATTGCGTCTTAATAACAGTACCTAAAGTAGATCGAGGACCGTCAGATCCTGCCAATGTAATTGCAGTTATTGTCAATCAGAACGAACATAAACTGCACCAACTCGGAACTCAGTATGGCTTAGTAAAAGGGTGGTACAATTCAGCAAGTTTAAAACCCGCGACATCTAATTTTTTAAAAATTACCGAAGTTAATAATGATAAAGAACTTACATTACGGGAAACCGTTTCTCATATTTCTGGGGGACAAGGTTTTTTAAGTTGCATTTGTAAACGCCAATGTGAATCAAAACGTTGTGCTTGTTTTAAAGCTTCGGTAAAATGTAACAGTCGTTGCCATAGCTCTAGTATTTGTAAAAATAAGTAATAATTTATTATTTATATAAATAATAAATTATTAATAAAAATAAAAATTATAATATAATAAATAAAAATGATAATAAAATTATCAATATTATTATTTCGATTTCACAACGATAATGATTATATAACTATTTATATTTATATAATTTATTATTATTATAAAATATAATTATAATACAATATTACATAATTATAATAATCATGAATAAATGTAATAAAATGTACTCGTATCAATGTTATTATTTCGATTTCACAAAAAGTTACCTATTGATGTAATTAATTAAAAATATTACACAAAGTGTAAAATAAGAGTTTCCATTTCATGAAATGGATAAAATATATGTCCATTTCATGAACTAAAATTTGACTTACACGATATGATCGTTGTTCATGAAATGGATATCCATTTCATGAAAAATACGATTACACTAAGTGGATGCGACATATATATGTATGAATGTAGTGTAGACTACGGTGTAGGTATCTACAAAACCGAGACATCTTGAAGCGCATTAAACATGTGTATAGTGTATAGTAATAATTTTTTTTTAATAATTCCAATAAAATGCATAAGAGATTTCAAGGTGATTTCAATTTTACCAATTGTATTTAAATGTTGAGTATTATTATATAACATTTTATATATTTTATATTATTGTATACGATGAGTTAAATATTCTAGTGTTGTGGTTTTTTTCTATTGGATAACAAATTTAATATTGATAAACGTAAGTCCGTGTATTTCTCTAGGAGTCGTTCATCTAAAGTAATTGCATATTCAATGAATGGGGCATGTATTGACATGGTCACAACTAAAAGAAACTAGGTTGTACATTTCTGTTCAAACCTTAATTTTCATACTCATAGAGAGTCTATATGCTGTAAAGCGTTTAAGACTAGGTTTTGTTGTTCAAACGTCGAAGAACTTTAAGTTGTTGACCTCCTCACTCAAAAAGTTGTATTGTTTTCTGGTACGGTCCTTACTGGAACATGCATGCGTTCTGTGCTGGGATCCGTAGGCGACAACTGATTCCAGAGACGCTCCTTATCGTCTGCCGCCAATATTTTAAAAATAAAGCATACTATGCATGATTACCTTCCTGTCTCTAATAAGCTTGGACTGATGTCCTTGGTAGATAGACATGTGACAGCAAATATAGTATTTTTAAGTAAGTTAATAAATTGTCATATTGATACCTTTCGTCACTCTCCCAAGTTAACTTGAGAGTTCCTCCTCGTTCATATAGAACACATTATACTTTTGTAATACCTTTCCATCATACTATAACTAGGTATAGTAAGAATAATCCAATTTATCGAATGATACGTTTGGCCAATGAGCACTCTACTTCATTTAGTCTATAATTATATTATTTTTAATATGTGTCTTTTTTATCATTAATTACATTATGTTCTCAAAATATTTAATACTTTAGATTAATGTGAACTGTTAGTTGTTATTACTTTCTGTTGTCTTATATTGTATCCTTTAACTATATGAAATTGTAATTTCACCTTTGGGCCATGTACCCGTTATATAAACTAAATAAATAAATATTATACAAGTACATTATAATTATACATTTTCAATCAAAATAATATATTATGAGTATTCTATAATAGTTATTTTATTTTTGGTTTATATATGCTGCCTACTTGAAAACACTTATAATATTGTTTATACCGTAACCTAGATGCAATATAGGTAACATAGTAACAACAATTATATTATATTTGACTATTATACAAGACTTCATCTCATTGTTACAGCAGTACAGCATTTTGAAATAATTCGTTCATCGTGAATTCATACTCTTCGTCGTTACATTGGAATATCGTATTAAGTATTCAGAAGTCCAATCTAACTACGAAGATCATGTCGTTTTCCACGTCAGCTAGCAGTTTGACTCTGGTTGTCAAAATACTGATGGTCATACTGCTAGGTCTATCAGAAACTGTGTTTGCAACATCGTCGACGTGGGAACGCGAGTGGTCGGCGGTGGTAGTGCCTATTACATGGTCACCGGGCACTGCTAACCACAGCCGACTTACAGCGCAGTCGAAACCTTTCCGATGGTGGAACCGCAAAGCCACATCGACCCACAGCAAGTCGGCGGGGATGATGACAGAGGCTTCATCTCACCTAAGTAGTACGTGTCATGGTTTTTCTTGCCGTGATAAGAACCGCAATGTTGAAAATCACCTTGACAAGAATCGCCACGACCAGAATCACCAAGAGGCGAAGCGATGCGGTAACAACCACCACGAGAAGAAGCGATGTGGTGGTAAGAACCAGCAGAATAAGCCCTGTGGTGAGAACCAGCAGCAGAAGCACTGTGGTAAGAACCAGTGCGAGAAGCGCTGTGGTAAAAACCAGGGAGAGAAGCGATGTGGTAAAAACCAGGGAGAGAAGCGCTGTGGTGAGAAACGCAACGACAGAAGTCGCCATGGCACCACGAACTGCAACCGAAAAAACAATAGGCAAAATAATATGAAAAACGGTAACAAGCGCCGGCAGTTTGTAGTGGACAATAAGGTTAGTGATACATTTATATTGTTATGATACAGAAATAAGTACATATATATACGATTGTTTGTAAATTATTAAAATATTTGTCGACGTAATGCACATGCAGTTCCAGTAGCGTCGTTAAAAAAAATATTAAAAATATTGTACAGACGAAACATCGTCGCTACAAGACACTTGGGCCCAAGGCTGGTCGGTTTTAATTTAGATATAAAGACGTTTATCTTCGTTATTGTGGCACTATGGCCATACGTAAATCTGTATAGTGATAAGAAAGTGAAAAAATCACGGTACGCACAAAAAATAGGAATGATTTTAAGTTAAATGATAATCGAGCGACTAAATATAATGGCCAGACTGAAAATTACAATAGTTACAACTTCGAAATATCGTAAACGAACTCGAATTTTCCTAGTGAACCACAATTCCAAGCCTTATAGGCGTTATACTAAAGCTATATTATAGGTACTCGATCTGCAGTTATTATATTATTATACCATGAAAGCAGTCTTAAATCATCATATAATGTTATTGTTTTTTGTAAAAGTACAATCGATATTACCGTGTCTTACTGCATCGTGATTATAACTTTCTCGCCTTTGTGGGGTCCCCAGATAACTGTAATATATTGATGTTGAACAATGAACATGATAACGATAATAATAATAATATATATATATATAATCTAAGCCCTTAAAAATGAACGTTGGTTCACTCCAACCCACTACGTGTTTGTATTATATTTTGATGTCGTTTTATTTTACAGGTGATCATCAACATCAATGATAATCGAACGCCTAGCCCAACACTATCATCGGATATTAAAACACCAGTTGAGGCGGTACAGGCCTCAATCACACCGCAAAGCGTTGTTCACCGCAGTTTTAGTAGTTTCTATAATCACTGGTATTCGGACATCATAATATGGTTGTCTTTATTAGCTATCTGGATGGTGATAATTTTTTGTATTTATAATGTGTATTTTATATCCGATCGTTATCACAGTATTTTCACCTAATGAGTAGGTACCTACCTATTTGAACGTTGTCCATTATTATAGTAAGTTGTACTTTATACCACCAAATGTCTTTCAAGTTAGCACCGGTCAACGGCACATTTTATACATTAATATTTATATGATAGCAAGCACTTTTGCGTATTGTAAATGTATAAATAAATAATTATTTTTTTCCTCAACGACAAAGTATTTTAAATATTCAACACGGTGATAGTTATTGTATAGTTAGATTATACTATTATACGCAGGTTCGTGGATTAAATGTTGAGTTCATAGTATTTTAAATGTATATTTTGGCAAACCGACGATTATCAGCAATTGATATAATGTACAAACTGTACAAGGATCATTCTAATATTAAGTAAAGGTAGGTTCTTTAAATTTATTATATATATGGTATTAATTTTTATTATTATTATAATTACCTACATCTCCCCAAGTGCTTAGACCTCACTTCACCGACCAGGGAAATATGAAAAGGCGCCCCTTATTTGAGTGGGCTTGTCATCATTAACCGGTCCCACCCTGCAAACAAATCTTTCGATTACACCAAAATGTATATAGCTACCTACATAATAATTGGATACTTGGATTCTTTTTTAATAATAAAACAAAAAAACTTTTATTTTAGAATCAACACTTAAAAACTGTGTCAAAATTAAAAAGTCTTGAAAAATACAAAATTATGTTAAGCCTGATACAATTTTTAATATAACAATTTTTTAATTTCTTAAATATGTGTCTGCTTTTTATACAGTTAAATTATGACTATCTTTTATCTATTAAATCCATAATTTTAGTTGAGTTTATTTTTATTGCCATCTATATCAAGATGAAAAACTTCTTATTTTAGCTCAACACTATTGGCGACTAGGTAATACACTTGCCGTGAACGGATGCACGAAATTGCATATGCCCTTTATAATTAAAGACACAAACACACGAGCAGGCCCCTTAAATAAAACGGACAGCGAAAAATCATATTTTAAACTAGAGACTTTTTCATGGTATGCTTAACATATAGTCTTACTTAAAAAATACAATTATAGGCAGCTTCTATTAATGGGTGGTACGAAGGAGGAAAATCTCAGACCTCAATATATTGTGAGAGCCCAGCGCTAGCTTTAACATATTACGAAAAAGGTGATTGCATACTGATAACAAAATGAGAATATATAGAACAAAAATAGAACTGAGTTCGAATCAATCGCCTAAAAATAGTTATGGTTCACTTATTATTAGAAAAAACGAAAACAATAAAGTGACGAGAAAATAACAACATATAGTTACATAAATGAAGCCGAATCATTATGTAGACCGTGAAGGTATAGATCCACTTATTCCACGATAAGACATGGTACGAAGTAAAATAAAATGTCCTGCCAGATGTATAGGCATAGATAGGTATAAGACAATCATTACTGTGTTGTTAAAAAATTCTAAAGTATGTTTCGAAATAACTGTAATTATGAAAAATATATTTGGAATACTAATCAAATATTATAAATTTATAATAAAAATGAGTTTGATGAACCTGCAGTTTCTCTATAAAAATAACGGACACAATTCTAATATGTAAAAAAGTATTATAACTAATATCATAAAAATATGTTAAACAGCTGTTATAACCAATTTATACTATACTAGCTGATCCTGTGCACTTCGTTGCCCGTTGAAAATGCCATCTCTATATAAGAGACTTGATGGTGATAATGCGAGCATTATATTATCAGGTAGGCAATCCACCTCCGATGGATTGCAGGCCTCGCTAGGTGAATACTATACTACTATCTATGTGATTATATGAATAATATGTTTTATTTTATTTTTTATTTTGATTGTGTACACTGCAATGAGCGGCTATAAGTGCAACTCAAGCCTCCTTGGTAGGCAATATGCGAAGATTCGATTTGATGTATGCTTAAACCTGCTCTACCCATTGGCAACCAAAAAACAAAAAAAAAATACTCATTTCTATTAAAAAATTAATAAAAGATTTATTAATTAAAATAAACGTGTACAATGTACAGTACACGTTTATACACGTATTTCGTGGCACGACAGCCCGCGGGTTTCCAGTAACCTGCAACCCAACCTTTTCGTCCGTAAAATTATGTATTTTACACACTTTTATTTGATATTGTATATCTTTGACTTGTAGCATTGCGAGTTCCGCTACTTGAATTTGTATGTCTAATTGCTGGCATTTTTAAAAACAAAAATATTCCATCAAAACTTACCAAAACTTCTAATATTATTGCAATACTCTGATTTCCTTTATATTGATACTAATATTCGGTAACCATAGTGTTGCTGTACGCTCGGTGCGTATTATTATTATAATTTTTAGACGTTATTATACATGTATATATTAGTACCAACCCCTATTTCAACACCATATAGCTTTTTTTTAGTATTGAAAAGTAGAATATGTCCTTTCTCAGTGTCTAAACTATCTATGTACCTACCAATTTCATTTAAATCGGAAGTAGTTTCGGACTCTATTCAATACAAACAAACAATCAAATCTTTCCTCTTTATAATATTAGTATAGATCGTCAATATAACATGTAAACTATTGAATATAACCAATTTATATTATACAAGCAAAATTACATTTAAAAAAAACTGTAGTTTATATTGTTGGCAACACTACTGGGGGAGTACGATGACAAGAGAGTAAAGAGAGTGTTAGTAGTTAGTATGTGTTCGAAGAGAGACTTGGTGTGTGTGAGCTGGGTGCTCAACATTCTTTGTGTTGAACTATCGTGTTTAGACTAGTGTTTGTTTAATAAAGTTGTCGTATTACAAAATTGTGCGTTAACTTTGCGTAATAAAAGATTCTTTTTCCAACAGTCAATATGTAAACTGGGGTATGTACAAATGTTGACATCATACAATCTGTGGAAAAACCACTAAGATACATTATACAACAAACTGTTGCAATTTATTGCATTTACCAAATCATTTTTTTGGACGTTGTTGGGCAGTCGTTGAGAATGAGCAATCATCTAAAAATGTCAGCAAATGCACATAAACCTGCAAAAGCTAACACATCGTCTTTGTCGCTTAGTCATTTTTTGAAAGATCTCACCATTTGTTGGTTCTGATAAGAAAATGGATATTTTATCTGTACTCGTTTTTTAAACAGTGTTTCATTGAACAATATCTAGAATTTATAATATTGAATTTTTTATAGTAGCCCTTAAACCAATTGAAGGATGTTTCATAAAAAGGAAGATAAGGATGGAAAATTGATGTTGTGATATATCTAATATTTGGTGTCGGTTGATGATTGTCTAAACTCTAGACGCATTATAGGGATTTCTGTCAATTTTTTGGGTTATAAGCGCAGTATTATTAAATATAATAATCATCTCAAAATTTGATATTATTACCCCACGTTATATGTACCTAATGATAATAATTAAAAAGAAATTCAAAATTCTTGATTGATAAAAATTTATACTTTTGTATATATTATTTTTTATAACCTGGATTATAGGTGTTTTATATAAGTACCTATATCTATTATATCTAATATACAATATATATTGGTTGTATTAGTGTCTCGTCAGTCTTATTGCGACAAATTACCTAGACACATGCACATTTCACATATATATATATTTACTGTAATAAAAGAGTGTGAGTTAAAATGAAAGTGATATGTTAAAAACATTTTGATATTACCAAGGAAAATAAAATTAAACACAATCATCAAAAATATACTGGAAACTGTTGGAGAAGCAAGCGTTCAACAAAAAGTCCAAATGAAAAGTTAATATAGTTGTATTATCATTATGAAAGTCCATCAGTTGGCAATTCATATTTTACTTGTAGAGACAATCCGGGAACCAACTCGTAGTCGTCTCTTAAATTGTACGAAGTATATGAGTGAGGACACATACATTAAAAATGTTGGAAATATTTTATACAAATGGGACTAAAAATAGTACAGAATTCTAGTTTTAACAAAAACGTGAGTATACCATCATGTACATATAAATTTAAATAACAGAACCTAGAAACATGGAATTTGATCTAAGGAAATTACTGAATGTTTTATCACCAAAAATATTGATTAAATACGTAAATAAAATAATTAAATTGGTACTGAAATGAATTCACCACGAAAGTCTCATAAAATGTATTTATAATCTAACAACTTTTTACCAATAATTTTAATTTGTTCTTGTACTGGAGTGCTTAAAATTTAAATGATTAATTGATTACTTACCTATAACTCTATGTAAAGTATAATTTATATAATAAAATATAGCAGTATACATAGACCTTGAACCGATTTTGTAGGCGTATAAAATCAATGAGGTATTATTAAAGTTGAATATAATTGTTCATTGAATATTTTAATATTAAATCTATAAAAATGTTTACCTTCGTGAAGTTTCAAAAAGTTTACTGTACGAACTACTCGCGTGTACGATAATCTAGGCAATCAAAATAATAAATAATAAATAAACTATTCTAACCTCACTCGTATAGAATGTTACAATTATTATAAATATCAACTAAATTACTATTAAAAAAAAAATCAACCGCAGTTATTAACTAAACAAACAACATATTTAATACCTTCTACATATCTCTTCCCCAATACACGGCAGTCCATGAGCTTTTATTATTCCAATTTTTAGTTTATCATAGTTGTTGCCGGAGATTAATCAAAATTCTGTGCAATGTATTGGAATGAGTTGAATCCTCAGAAACGCAATGTCTTGTTTAAATTCGATAATTCAGACGTGAAAAAAGAACAGGACCGAATATTTATAAAACTTAAAAAAGGTGTATTCAATTTCGCTTGGTTGTTTTTTTCATCTTCCAACATACATGGTCTTAACCACTTGACTGACAAAAGGAGGCATTACACCGAAAAGTATGTGCTCTATACATTATTTACATAATAATGCGTGTAATGCATATTATATTATTATATTGTTTTCAAGAGATGTTTACGGATACAATTACCTGTACCCACTACCTACATGTCACCACTTCACTCTTTTTCACAGAAAATGGTCTGAGTTTAAAATAGAATTCCCTGATTTTATTTAAAGTTTTACAAGTAGCCATATCATGTTATATCTATTAACCTAGGAACTACCAAACGTAGTTTTTTGACTCACATTACTACCTACCTACAACAAAACAGAATTAACAGTACTACATAAATATGATATATATATTTTATACAATACAATTTTATATATTATATTACATGGAAAAGATAATTGTATTCTTTTGCAAAGCGGTATAAGAACATATTAAATTATAAATTGTTAATAAATAAAGAGCTTAAAATATATAGTTTTTGTATGAGTCTGTAATATTTCTAAAAAGTAACATTAAGAAAAACTTCGAAAACAATTGTTTATAAAAGTTGTAGACACATTGGATCATCCTCTATAAAAATGTTTTGCTATTAATATTTACAACTGATACATAGGTAGTTATATTGTCAGGTTGATTTATTTATTAAGATGTAGGAATAAATATTTAACACAAACCACTAATCGCCAAAGATCGTGCTTTTATAATTTTATGTGACAGATTAATTTGGGTTATTGCAATATGTTTGAGTATCTACGGTTCAGCAATACTTGGTTCGTCCACTTGGACTCGTTATCAAGAAAATCCGACAGTGATATCTATGGACAGAGAGTATAAGGAATGGGCAACTCCACTTCCAGCATTCACTTTATGTCCTACGTATAAAATCGATGACCAACTCTTCGATGAACTCGTACAGAAAAAGTAAGTTTTGACCGAAAATACGAATCGTATAAAAAAATCAAATTCCTAATTTATATATGTAAAATTAATGTTTAATTCTAACAGGAACGTCATTCGAAATATAGTTAAAAAGAAAAAAACTAGTTATAATAAAATATGTATTTATTTTTACTGATTTTGCCATTATTTATTGACAATATTTAATCGTTTTTACATGAACTGTATCCATGTGAATTATTAAGGGTTCTACAGATTATTATCAGGAACTTTTCCAACGTCATCTTCTTATGCTTAGAGAAATAAGACATGATTTCGTCTTAATTATTATCCATCAATATGGTAAAAACATTTGATGTATTCATCAACACTGTTAAAAACCTAATTGACATTGCAATAAATCAGGTCAATAGATAACCATAAATTCATATTGTAAACGCGAGTACACATATTACAATCTCTATAGCTGAATTTCACAAACTTTAATATAAAACAAAACAGTAATAATAATCATCAATGCAAATATTAATTTATTATGAATGTTTTATTTTATGATGCTGAGGTTAAATACTGATACTACATCGTTTCTTTTTGTCATACAATTGTCAAGCCGTTCGCTTGAATATGATAAAATAATGTACCCACTCATTATATTCAATGATATTGATTTAGATTTACAAACTACACAGACGAAGAAAAAGAAGATTTTCGGACGTTTCTGGTGCAGTTGGCAAATGCCACTTACGGAACGTTTAAAGAAGTGCCTTCGTACAATCGGATATCGCCGAATGAGTACTTGAATTACGTCATATCCCTGAGCGGTTCTGTATCGTACACAATCAAAAATAGTCACGTAGACATATTTTCATCGATCGAATTGGTGCCCAGTGTAACTGAATTGGGCTTATGTTATTCGTACAACGGATACGTTGCACCTTACAACGGTTACAAGTAAGTACCTCCCTATATGAATAAAATTAGTTCCTGCCTGATGTTGGAATGACATTTTATGAACATCTTGTGTGCCTTTCGATCAACATTGATTATTTTCTTATACAGGTATTGGATAAATCGCAACATCAGCGAGTTCCCGAAAATAGAAATTATGTCCGGCACCCCGTTGGACGGTGACATTTTCATTCAGTTAACTTCCATGAATTTCGGTTACATGGTAATGAATGTGTTTATGAGGATGTCAGAGTACTCATTGTTTTTTTTTCTCTGTATCCAGCGCAACACGGACAATACAGAATTACGCAGAATTATGTATTTGAGTAAGCTAAGAGTAAAATCACACATTAAAAAATTGAAAAGAATAATATTTTTGACAGTATGACATATTAATTCGTCTAAATATTTTCTAAAAAACTATATACATGGTTTAAATTTATAAAGAAAAGTTATTTCAGTATACAGATAACACATTAATTATTGTTGCTGATGCGCATGGTGTAGGGGAAGTGCTGTGTGTATGTTTTTTGATGTCTAATTTGCTTTACCTAATTGAAAATTTTTACCCAAATTTATCTAATATTTCGACTAAAACGTCAAGTTGGTTTCAAGAAGGGGCAATATTGTCACCAGCTAACGATCAAGTCAATAAAATAAATTACACGATACTGTTAAAATTCAATGCACTAACAAAAGTGTACTACTATTCCGTTGACACTGTTGTAGATACAGAGGAGAAGATTACAAATAAAATCTTTAAAAAGCTGTTTGCTTGAGTGTATAATCCTTACTGACTGTGGAGCTGAGAAAATGGTTTGGTTCCTAGAATACTAATGATACCAACCAGTTTGCCATTCCAGTTCAAACAGCTATAATTTTCCGTGAAATTAAGCTTTGCAATGACTATTAATAAGGCAAAAGGTCAAACATTAAACGTTGCAGGTTGAGACTTAACCGTCCAGTGTTTTTAAAATGGTCAATTGTACGTAGCTCTGTCATTTGTGTATCCAGAAATATTTATAATGCTTAAGACAAATTGATATAATTGACAAAAAAATAAAAATCATACACCATAACGAAACAAATATATTCCACACTTATACATAAAATTATCCTAAAAAAATTAATCACATTAAATATCTGATATAATCATTCATATCAAACTTTTCACATATTCCTGAACATATATAAATGTACCAAAATCTAGCAATAGCAAGGCATTTCAAATATAAAATAGCTAAAAAAAACACTTGAGAGGATGTTTAAGAGTGCACTGATACTGTTTTCTCTAACTGGCCGTCGAGCAGCATGGACAATACACAGAATCTTTTTTTTCATTTAAATTTATAAAAAAAAATGTCTTTTTAGTTTTTACTTTGAAAGTCAAACCAAAAGTAAAATTGTAATAAAATATAAAATAGATGTTGTGGTAAACCGTCAAAAATATTATTCCTTTAACTTCCGTAAAAGATGGTTTTAATCTAAGATAGGTAACTCAAAAATCATAAAAAACAATTTTAGATGAAAGTATTTTATCTATGTTTCGCGTGGGTTCAGAGAGTAAAAACAAAGATTGCGCTGATATCCTTTTAATAATTTTTTTTTCCATCAATATCATCGGTATAATAATAAAAAATAATAACTAATATGATACTATACCGTGTTTTATTCTATGCATCCACGTGGCAGGGATTTGTGCACTCCCCCTACGAAGTGCCCGACGTGGCGTGCCGCATTTTCCAGTCACCGGAGAACTTCTACAAAACGCTGGATATGGCCGCGCTAAGCATATTCAGTACTCCAGAAATCAGAAACCTCTCGCCCAAGCAGAGAGGCTGCCGGTTCTCGGAAGAGAGCGACTTGGAGATAAGTCCAATTTATACGTACAACACATGTCGGAACCAGTGTCGAATGGACCAAGCTAGAAAACTATGTGGATGTGTCCCGTACTTTTACAAGCCTCTTAGTGAGTGACTTTGCTGCGGTTGTATAACTTGTTCCACATAAAATATATTATAAGTTTTTTACGTAATACATCGACACAATCGCAATTGCCGTATATGATTTATGATCACGGAAGCCATCCGAGGAAACATTACTCCAATCATCAAACCACCATGTTATCAAAATAAAATAATTATTTTTATGGGTTGTTATTTGATTTCTTAGTTCAAAATGTATTACTTGTATTACTTTATGCAAATGCCATTATGATTGTGGTAGTTATTTTTTTTTAGAAGTTCCCTACCCTATATATTATATCAATCACAGTATCAAATTATTTCAGGCACCATAAAACGTTGGGGCACGTCTAAATATTTTTGGTAACTCGGATAAGAACATTTATATGTATCAAAATAAACCATAAGACATTGAGTGATGCAAATAAATAATCAATCATTATTTTTCTACATTGAACCTTAAATAACAAGATTGCATTCGATACGATCATTCAATAATTTTGAACTTTAATTTCAGAAAAATATACAATATGTGATGTCAAAGGGATGCACTGTTTGGATCAATATAAAGGTAAATTATATTGGTTTTGCGTAGGAATATGATGAAAATATTATTTATTACTGATTTTTCCAGAGTTTCTTATAAAACTCCGGAATACAACAGGAGTTGATGAAAAAGTAAACTGTGGTTGTTATCCACCTTGTGACGATGTTAATTATATCGTAGAAGGAGACAACACAATGCAATGGTAATCTAATATTCAAATACTTAATTTAGTTATAATTAAAAACAACAAAAACCCAAAATTAATTAAAATATATCTATAAAACAAATATTATGTATAGATACTGTTATTTGTCTGGCGATAGATAACTGGTATATGATTAAACTTACAATTTAATTCGTTAAGTAATTATTTAACATGGTGTCTAATTATGATTCTTTTTCAGGTTAATAGGAACCAATTTAAAGTGGGGACTTATCAAATATCCTCGTATGCGTTTGAAAAGAAACGTTTTATTCGGTTTCACTGATGTTTTAGGTAAGTAATCAAAAATGAAAAAAAAAGATCAATTCAATATTTTATTTTAATTATTATACACAATATGTAATAACATACTTTATATGCGTACACGTTTTAGTTTCAATTGGAGGCACTGCAGGCCTGTTTCTTGGATGTTCGGTATTAAGTTTCCTGGAGATAATTTACTTCTTCACATTTCGCCTGGCATTTACGTCATTGTGTGAGAAATAAGAAACTAATGAACTAATTGAATACTACGATTATTGAATGCAATTCTCTCAAAGATAATCTACAACAAATGTATTTTTATTTTATCTGTGTACCAGGCCAATGCCGTACTAAAATTATAACCAAATACATTTCATTAGTATAGTAAAATATATAACTTGTACACTGTACATATAACTTATAATTGAACGTTGTATATTTTGTATACATATCGTGTGCTATCATTGACTATGGGTAATGGACATAGCAATCGAACGGAGAGCCTTTTGGACCCCACATTTGTATATACCATGGCCACTATTACGACACCGTCAGGTCCTGGATGAACGTTTATAACTCGGCCCAAAAGCCACTTTACAGGAGGCACATTATTGGCACATTATTTTATTAACACCGGCGTGCCCGGTTGAAAGGACGGTCCTATAGGTTTTAACCGTTTGTTTCGTCCTTGTAGCTGTCCCAAATACTCTTTGCTCCATCTTACCCAAAAGTGTTGCACAAGCTGCTGTATGCCTGCATTCTCTGACACCAAGACAGTCTATTGCTTGGCAAATCTCCTATATCAGGTCCAGGCAGAGCGCGCAGTGGGCTACTTATTGGGAAATAGACAGAAATAAGGATATCCAAATCCATAGTGTCCTCAAATAAAGGAATTAAAGGACGAGAGTTCAGCAACATTCTATTTGTGTTAATTCCGTATAAAGTTCATCACAAGTTAACCTACAGTGTGATTTAAGGGTTTTTTTAAGGCCTTGGCGGCCCCCATCCATAAACCACCAAAATGAAAGAACCACGGTGGTATAAATTTCCTGTTAATTTCTTATAAAACCATGAATCTTAAACACGAACTTTGTGTTGTGCTGAAAGAAGAAATATGGACAAATCACTCAAAATCCAAAAACAGAATAATTTAAAATTTGAGACTATTTGTAATATTCTATGTAGGTACCCATGATACTTCTTGACAATTTTTGTATTATAAACTGCAGTGTTTTACATTCATCCCTTACCCTCTTGGTGTACATTGGACCTAATGACGTATTATACAACATAAAGGTACGTGTAAAATAATTAATCTACATCACACCACAATTGTATGCAGAACAATAGAAAACAATAACTAATTCACCAAACCCTAAACTTTCGTCACCACATTCTACATTACATGGGAATATCATACTATGTGTCATTGAATGTTACTGAAAAGTACAAGTATTACTGCATTAGTGTATTATATTAAATGGTGTCGGCACCGATGCGGTCACGACATTTGCGGTCGGCAAATTTTTCGTGCCATTTGTGGTCAATTTATTTCTATTAACCTGACTATAAAATTTGGATGCTATATATAATATATATAAATGTATTGTATACTTAATTTGCGCTAATAGGTATATATTTACTATTTTATTATATTTAAACTTCCCTTCACACTTTTCAAGGCTAAGGACTGACAGTATTTTTTACTGGCGTGTTTAAAGTTTAAAATCTTATTATTATTATAAATAACTCATATAATAATAATATACTTGTCAATCACATCACATAATAGGGTACTCATTTTTTTTAAGCCTTATTACAATTATTATAAAAAATTCACATAATAATACATTTTTCGATCACATTACATATTTCATACTCTCAATTTCGATATTTTTGGCTAATAGGTATGTTCGTTACAAATGCCGTAAGAAATATCACGAAATTACATATATCACGAACATACCTTCCTTTACCCTATTAATGGTTTTTAATTCTTTCGTCCAATCGTATGTACATATTTTTTCTCCTTTTACCTTCCATATTTAAGTAACTTCTTGCATATAAAAGTTACAAATTATCAGCCTCTTTTTTAAGACAGCCATACAAATTCTTATAAACGTTGGTCACGGTATATTTAATATTTTATCAAGTTAACTATTCCAACCCTAGAGGATAACCTTTAGTTGAATAAATAATAATAATAAACTTTTTAAACACATTTTCATAATATAATATGTTTTTTAGAATATAATAATATATACAGCACCTTAAGTTTTATAGTCAGGTAAATAGAAATAAATTGGCCGCAAATGGCACGAAAAAAAAGCCGACCGCAAATGTCCCGGAACCCTATTAAATATATAATATATATAACATACATACATGAATTTATACATACATACATACATACATACATACATACATACATACATACATACATACATACACACATACACACATACATACATACATACATACATATACACATACACACATACATACATACATACATACATATATACATACATATATACATACATACATACATACGTACATACATACATATATACATATACATACCGATTATGGCTTATTTTAATATGACTTGTGTAATGGATAGGTACAAATAACAAATAGATCAGATAAGTATTTGGCCATTTTCGTTTAATACTTTTACGTATATACTCTAGTAAAGGTATACACCGACGAGGGCACATAATAGCAATATACATTAACATTATACAATTATAATTTATAGGTATATGTATTACGTATAGTGCATAATACGTATGAATATAACAGTCTAAATCGGCCTCCATGTCGTACCATATTCACAACGATTAGATTTCAGGATGTATTTATATAATATACACACAATATATATACTTATTGTACATTACAACACGAAATCGGGTGTAATACGGAGCTGAAAGCATTGTATATTTTCATATTACCCTCTGATAAAAAGCACCGATAGGCTGCTAACCTGCAGGGTGTGCACTATCATTATACGAGTAATAAACAATAATATGGGTAAATAGCCGATACAAAGGTAATAAAAAATGCATCATTGTACCACCACCATGCGTAGGATATGGACGTATTTCAGCAACAGCACGATACACGGCTTCAATTACATAGCCGACAAACGCCGTCACTGGACGGAGAGGTGAGTCAAAGGCTATTGCAAGTGACTGTGATAAATATTCAGTAAGATAGTGGCATGCTCAGTTTTTTGAATAAACAGGGAAGGGGGATTAGGATTTTTTACTGTTCTTGGAACACGTAATTTAGTGGTACATATAATTTCATATATTTTAATAATTTATACGAAAAAAATAATCCAAAGGGTGATTTTAATTATCTTTTAATAATCTTTACTGATTACTTGTAGGCTAGGCGCAAATTAACTAAATTGTTTTGGGGGACTCAAACTCCCCTCCCCATAGGCTATAGTATAAGTAAAATTATAGTACTAATTGCTAGATTTTTAATTGGGGAGACTTGACCGAAATTTGGGAGGACTAAGTCTCCTATTTGCGCCAATGCTTTTAAGCACTTATATTTTTATTAATGACTTAATAAATCTTTTTGATTAGTTTTTTTCAAATATTATTGTTTTTATTAATTAATAATATACAGAATGTATAAATTTGAAAAATGATAAAATCTTCGTCATTGAGTACGAGTAGATCATTGTTATATCGTATACTCGTATAATGTTGAATTTAAATTCAATGATAAATCATTGTATACGAAAATCGGTTCCGAACGGAGGCTGTCTGTCAGCCTATATTTCTAAGGATATTTTGACTATATTATATTTATATTACTAGAACCAGAGGTATTCAAACGGTATGTCTTGATCGTCGCGATTCTCAAGGTGTCGCGGGGGTTGGCGAAGGTAGCACCAAGTTAGGCCAAAACACCAACAAAAAAAAGTCAATGTATGTAATTTTTATTTATAATCATAAATCATTACAGAGATAATAGAAACGATTACGAAACACACCCGACCATTTGAATTAGTTTGATTTCTAATACTAAAGTTATTATTATTATCACCCATATCGTATCCGTCCCGATTCGGGTGGTGTTTCAATTTTTTCTTAACAATTTCAGGGCCATCAAAATATTTTGAACACACAAAGGAGTCTAGGGACATAACAGTTTGAATATTTCTGCTATATAAGTGATGATAGGTATGATTTTTCTATCAGTATTACGGTAGGTTGAAGTGGTTGAAGTAATTTTTGCAAAATTAGATCATGTTACATTCTGTATAATTATTATTGTTATTACATTATAGAATTAAACGTATCATAATAATTGTTGTATTAATTATTAACTCGTGTAATATTACTAGCTGTTATATAAACTAACAATTTATAACGAAATTTTAAACATGTTTTGAAAATGTTTTGTTTCGCACAAGAGTATTTTGGGTGTTGACATGTTTCATATCATGTCTTGCTACGAGATTATATCTCCAAGCTACTTGGTACGCTTACAACAACAACGCCGTTAGCTTTGTCACCGATACCACGTATCTGGATTGGAATACGAGTTTTCTCTCGTTATCGATTTGCGAACAAGAGTCGCCGGACAAGTTATACGACTTGGCATCCAAGTGCGTACGTCATACGATTATAATATCATATAATACTTACATGTACTCATTAATAACAATTATTTTGAAAAAATTGTTCATAATTATACTTTCAGGATGTACGGCACTGATCGAGATTTGAATATTGATTTTTATCTAAGGGACATCGCTTTCTACGACGGTGCGTGTTACTCGTGCATCACGCACTGTCAAAAGGGAACATTAAACTGCACCACAGACTACGATCAAATCATACGTGAAGTATATTTTAAAAGATATACAAATATAAATTATGTGACCGCCGAAGCCAGATTACTGTAATAGTCTCGTATTCATCAATATAATATGCTTGGTAGTCACTGGTCGGTACTAGGTATGCTCGGTATTACGTAATATGCAATTTAAAATAAAATCTTGGTTTAAGTATGAAACGTACCTACGGTTTGATGCAGTTATCGTAAGGCTTATAAATTATATTCACTTAAAAAAGATTACAACACCGAAATCAATGAATAGTTAGAATTTTTTAATTAAATTGACCGTGACTGTTATTTGTTATACTTAATATCTAATAGTGTAGTTATTTTTTAATTGTATGAATCGTATAGCTTCGACTATAACTTAATGACATTATTTTATTTTATCATTTTCCTATATTAATTTATCTATTTTATTTAAAACTCCTATAGATAGTAATTTTAGTAGTCATGAGTTGAACATAATATAAGAAAATAAAAATAAAAGATGTATAAATGAGTATATGACACTTAATATTAAATAATTGTAAATTCAAATAGTCTACAAAAAGTTTTCAAATCTTTAAGATTACAGTGAAATAAACCTAAAAAGTCAAAATAACCATCAGAAATTCAAATGTTTGAGGGTGAAACTAACAAAATATTTTTAGTATAATATTTACTAAAAAAAGAGGGGCATGTATAGGTAACCATTCTGTTGCACAGTTATTAGAATTTGAGTGTTCCTCACATTGAATATATAGGCACTGACTGTAATGGCCGTGTTAAATTTCAATTCGTTGACAGATCATTGTACCCATATACTATGAAATACCAAACAATTATTTTCGTAATATAGTATTAAATGTTAACAAATATTTATATATATATTTTTTTTTTGGTGGATCATTTTAAAAGACTTTGACAGAAACCTCAAAGTTAATTACCAGAGGATTTTTTTCTAATATAATAAAAAAATAAAATAGTATTAAATTTAAAATCAATTTATCCCTCCAGTGGCGCCGATACCAATGCTTAGGTGGGTTTAGCCGTGGCCTGTTGTTGATGATAGGCGTTGATAGGTAGTACACTGGTACTGTAGGGTAGTGGGTAGAGGGTACTATAGAAACATAGAGTAAGAATGTGGGCTGTATACGAACTGTACAAGTTTGAAGCGATGATCGTTCAGAATTAAAAACTTACATAAACTTTAATAAAATAATATATTATTTTTCTTTTGGGGAGGTTATAGAAAACATGTTTTATTAAAAATGAGCTTTATGCCATTTAATGTACACCAGCTACAATATGGGCGTGGACATGCCAATAATAAATAATGAAAATATTAAATAGAAAATATTGTTCAGTCGCACGTGACCCTAAAAATGTTTCAACTACATGATGATCAGGCTCGGGCGGTGGTATATAGAGTATTCGTCACGTCCGAGTACAATACATTTGTATAACTCGTGTGGTACATAGATTCGGTCGGAATGTCAAGATCTGATTGGAAATTGTTATTGGAATGATGAACCATTCGAATGCTGCGATCAATTCTTACCGATAACGACTGAAAATGGTGTATGTTTTATTGTAAACTCCTTACACACAGTAAAGTGAGTATAATAAAACGTCAAATACTTACATCATATGTATAATATTAAATTAAAGTACATTAAAATAGTAAAATGTATGGCAAGAGCGGAAAGTGAGCTATTTCAAGCAAGCGTGACATATGCGATACGACCTTCGCCCAAGGCTGAAATTGTCCTGTTCGAGCCATAAGCCCATTACACATATTCTTTTTTGTCAAGCCTAACTCCCATCAAACAACGCCTACATCGATATTATGATAATCCATTTGTCATGAACTGCTCTTATAATTGTCTGTATCTACATTTGCGAACTGTTCCTTAGAACAACGCCGAATTAACCCATCTGTCCCGCTTACCAGCTAATATTTTACTGTATATACGAGTACATTATTCGTGTATATATCTTATTTGGAAATTGACTTTTCCAACCACTGAGTACCTACCGAAAAAGTTGCAGATTAAGAAAAACATTTACTGTCCACTAAAGACAATCATTTTCTAAAACTTCAAACGGTATCGAAAATTAAACTTTCGGTGCAGGCGTGACAAAAATAGTATACTTATTTTGAAACGAAGTAGTTTTATCTAGTTAACCTAGAACAATTAAAATATTTAAGTATATATCTTATATGTATAACATCACAAAAATGTTAATATTATATTGCGATTACAGAAACGACGGCGAAAAATTAAAAATGATATCAAACCGAAAATCGGGACCAGGCAGCCTTGCTTTTACGGCGTACGAGTCTATAAAAGTATACATATTAATTATTTGAAACCTTTAACACATTATTTCATACAAACATTATTTATATGTACCTACAGCTGTTTATACACTCACCAGAAGATTTGCCTTACGTAAACCATCCACAAGAAGAAAAATTTTTACTGAGTTGGGGAGTATCGTTTTTGATGAAATACCAGGTAAACCGTAAAGTATTGTTTAAATTGTGTCTAAATCTTAATAAGTTTATGTACAACAACTACACCACTACACTTAATTATAATAGATTAAAGAGATTGAGAACGATCCGCTGTTAAAACAAGTAGATATCAAACAGAGGAATTGTCGTTTTCCGGAAGAAAACGATTTAAAAGTGTACAACGTATACAGTAACTCCGCGTGCATCGTGAACTGCAGAGCTGAAGCTCAGCTCAAGATGTGTAATTGTACTCCACATTATTTGAAGATTCGTAAGTATCTAAATAAATTAATTAATTAAATGTATACACTAATTTATGTTTATTATTTAATAATTAATGTGTATGCGTGTTTTTATGTTTGTGTTTATAGCGGGAACGCCAATTTGTGGGATCGAAGGTCTTGGTTGTATAACTGAACATTCAGGTTCACATCTCATATTTAAAAATAATGGTTCTACATTATATTTAATACTATTTAAAATTTAAATTTAAATCGAAGTTTAATTCTAACATAACATGATATGTTATTTAATGATGATAATTTGAAAAAAAATTTTCAGAATATTTCCGAGCACTAAAGACTCATGATTTCAATAAGCTGGGATTAGTGTGCAATTGTATATCTAGTTGTACTGAACCAGAATATAATGTTTTGAGCAAAGAAATTGGAACGTAAGTACAACATTATACAATAATATATTTTATAATATTTACGTTAAAAACTTACATTACACTGTTAGCTTAACTACTGAAGAGCAAGATAACGAGGATGTTAAATATGGATCAAAAGTAATTATCGCATTAGATAGACTACCGAATGAAAGACTTAAAAGAAATGTAGTAAGATCTCGAATGGATCTCATTGGTAAATTACAAATAAACAAACAACTGAAAATAATGATTTCCGTAATTAACAATTTGTTAAATATATAGTATCAATCGGAGGAACTTTAGGTCTATTTCTTGGAGTGAGCCTGTTAAGTATTGTTGAAATAGTTTACTTCTTCGTTGTTTGGACACATAAGACACCACAGAGCATTACGAATAACGTCAAAAGAAAAAAACAAGTTCATCGACCAATTCAAAACATTAATAATTTACCATTTTTACATTGAATTACTTTATGTACATCTAAAAATTAATTCACTTGTAGACATTAGTCAAACTATTAAACACAATTCATATGAGATAAGCCTTATATCATAATGTATTAAAATAATTAATAAATAAACTAAAAAACATAGATGATTCATTCCTTGTTATTACTCATCAGTTCCATGTTACAAGAACTTTCACTATCCATCCCAATGAAGCGTTCGCCCATTTCATCACTGGAAGGTTTATTGAAACGCAACAATATAAAGGACAAAGTGAACTTGAAAGTGAGAAGAACGACACCGAGTGCAGCGATGTATTTAATAATGGTAACGGTATCAAATGTGTAAGTAGAGTCCGTATTTTCTGTAACATAAAAAATAAGAACAAGTCTTAAATAAAAAACTACATATTTATATGAAACTACATATTATATATAATTTATTACATTTTTTTTGCATGTACTTACCATATTGTTTCACGTGCTCTGCCAACTGATTATCAATGTTTTTAGTGGATTGGTTATGAAGTAAATTGTTTAATTCCGGTTCCTCGTGAACTTTTAACACTTTTGTTGGCTTTTTATTTTTATATGGCATACTAGAATTCCTTAGATCCGAAAAGTTATAAGATTCGGTTGTTATATTAAGGAGATCTTTATCGTTTAAAGTTCTATTGTATTCAAATGGTTTTAGGTTAGGATTTGGCCCAGAGATATCGAAAACTACCATTTTTTTATCAGGAACAATTGAGTCGTTTAAATATTTGACGATACTCGGTACGCGAGTTGTTGAATTATTTAACGTTGTTCTATTTTCGTTGATTATGGTTTTCTGTTTTGTTTGTTGAGTATTAAGTGATTTATTACTCAACTGTTCATCACTAATTGCAGGGATATTCGATTTGATTGATAACTTAGTAGAATTATTAATTAATGCTGTAGTGGATGTGGAATTTACCATTATACTTTTAGCGGTTGTGGTAGATGAATTAATTAATTTTAAGGTAGAAAGTGTTGTATATATTTTAATAAGTGGTTTAACGGTTGAGTTAGTTAAATAAACTGCCGTTGAAGTCATTAAAGGAGTATTTTCCACTACAGATTTAGTAACTATAGTAGGAATAAAAATCACCTTCATAGTAGGATTAAGTTTATCTGGTCTGGACGTCGAGCTAGACATATTAGGTAATGTCGTACTCATAGAAATAGTGGTATTTGCCATCAAAGATTTGGTGATCGCAGTAGGCGTAATATTTAATTTTTCGGTAGCAAAAGTTTTGTTCATTGTTATAGATTCGATTGTCGAGCTAGAGATGTTAGGGATTATCGCCATAGAAGGTGTACTGATTATTTTTGACGAATTACGTTGAATGTCCACCACTATACTTGGAATAACCATTGACGCATTAGAACTTGTAGTTACTGAATGAGGGTTAATGGAACTAGATGTCGTGGAATTAACATATAAAGTACTTGTTGGTACTTCGGTGGACGTCGTAGTCAATGGAATTGATACAATCATGGACTTCGTTGTTAAATTTGTTATAGATACGGGTGCAAACGTAGATGTAATGTTCGAAGATTTAACAGTACTTGCTGTGGTAATTTTGTCAATTATTATCGTATGATTGTATCCGTTTTTTGGAGTTGTTATTATGGGATTAGAAGACGTTGTATTGTTAACGGTTACATTTAAAATTGTATTTTTTGCTGTAGTCGTCACCGTGGTCTTTGTGGCAGTAGTTGGAGTAGTTGGAGTAGTTGGAGTAGTTGGAGTAGTTGGAGTAGTTGGAGTAGTTGGAGTAGTTGCAGTAGTTAAATATAATCTAGTGATATTATCCATTGGAACGACTGTAAATTAACAAATTTTATATAAATGAATACACTATTATAATGGCACGAATGAAATGCAGTTGATACTCACTATACGGACATTTGATTTGTATGTCTGGGCAGCAGTTGTTATTATTATAACATTCCCAATCACATGAACACCTACCGAACGTTATTTTTCCACAATTATCATGACAACTTTGTGTCTCTATAAACAATAAAATATTTCAAATTATGAAGATATTCTAAACTTGTATGTAACTGATTCAAAGTTTAACATAGCTATAATTCATTAATGTTATATTTACCTTCTTCGTACGGTCGTTTATTACAACTATCACCCTCTGTAATAACAATATTATCAATGGCTGCCTTACAACTTTTCCCTTCAATTACGATCTACAAAATAACAAAATAATAATATTAAACATACTTTTTTTAAAAACGCAGTTCGAATCTACTCACTCTAGTTGTAATATTAAATTGATACAACCCAATTATAACTCTTCCTTCTCCTTCATGAGATTCCCAGTGAGGTATGCCACCAAAAGTGACTTTTAGAGTAGGAATACCGTTTGAACTTCCTGACATTACTCTATAAGCAAATATCAAACACCTTTGTTTACTTCTAACTGGTAGAAGTGTTGGTGATAATAATCGTCCGGTAGTAGTGGAACCGTAACTTCCAGCATCCAAAGATATATAATTACCTGATAAAAAAAAACTTACATTTTGTTCAAATTAATTATATTCCTACAAACTTTTAAAATACTGAGAAGATCCGGGTGATACGTGACGCCTGGTAGTAAATAAAATAAATGTCATTTTATCAGCCAACCAATCAATGTCATTAAAAATATCGTTTTTCCAACCGCAAAATCTTTCATCTGACGATTCGAAATCACAAGATAAAAATATTTGATCATGCTCTGTTCAAAATATTTGTTTTGTATTAGATTACTCAATATAAGCTGTTACACATAATGACATAATATATAAATATATATTATATATACACATCACTCAAGTTAGTATGTGTAGGTACCAATATTAATGTACATACACGGTTGCTCACCTTTACACCCTTTTAATTCTTCACTCCATTCCAAATCCTCATTGCAATAAACATAACTTGGACCATCTATAGTATATCCAATATCACATATCACTTCTAATTTAGCACCTTGGTTGAGAACGTCCAATCTTCCATGAGGCACAGAGTCTTGGATAAGACAACCTTCTCCTGTCATGTAAAAATAAAAATAAATTAAAAATGTTGTTGAATGGATCGATGAATGTATTGATTTTATAATGATGTGTGTATTTTTTTATCTGTGTACACAATATAATAGTAGTTAAAGTATAATGCTTTGATTTTCAACTTCGGTATCTATTCTGGTGAGAATTTGAATCTATTTGGTGCATTCGAGAGGTCGAAATTTAAAATTCACAGTAGCTTTCAAAAGCGTCAAAAAACCAATTTTTGATCAAATTGTTTTTTGATGAAAAAATAACCACAGATGATTGTTTATATTAAAATTGTCTAAGCACCACAACATTTTGAAAATATTTTATCTTTTTTGAGATATTTATAGGCATAATAATTTGTATTTTGTATTTTTTTTTAAAGATTTTGCTCTTTCAAAATACTTGATGTGTACACAATAGTTTTAATTAGGTAGTGTTATTTAAAAAAAAAAATTTTAATTCTCAATAGTTTTTTTTTTTATAAGCGTCTGAAGTTAAAATGTTGATAAAATTCGTCATAAATCTAATATTTGAAATAAATACGAAATTCCTCACACATTTTCCAACTTTAATAAAGCAAAAAAGTTTACCAGAAAGTAAAATTAATTTTTTATGAGCATTATAAGTTTCAAATTGTTCAACGTTTGATGTTGATTAATTTTAAGCTATTATCTATTTAGTATTTTCACTATGAACCTATTCACACAGTTATACTTTAAGGAGGTATTAACTCATTAATGAATTACAATAATATAATATGATAGAAATATTGACTTTCATAATAATTATATATTAATTAATATGGGTAATAATTAATAAATGCAATGTTTTTGGAAATGAAATAAGCCTATTGTAATACTAACAGTAAAATAAATCACTTTAATGGCAATATCAACTAACATATCATGAAATATACTTGACAGAGACTGACCGACCATTTCCGCTCAGAATCATTTTTTGTATACAACGATATGTCATTGAATTCAAATTTAACACATCCATTACATTGACCCACTGGACTCTTACTGTACAGCAGAGCGGCACAGTCTTGACCACTTTTTTTATAGATCCCGGAAAAAAATACCAAGGAAAAAAAGACCATTCGAAAAAGAACAATTTTTAAAAAATTTGAGAAAAATTAAAAAATACATCAATTTATAATTAGTGTGTAACGTGATCACCAACTACTCACACATTTACACTGCTCGAGTGCACATAGAAATTGCCTATATTGAACAATTTTGTTGTTTTTATTTCATAAAATGATGTGATAAAATATAAAAATATTTCTTTCATTTTTAATCTTTTTATAATGATTTTAATATTTTTTTTGATTAATGCATTCAAAATTTTTAAATGTGTGCATAGTGATTGTTTTATACTCTAATTACAAATGTATGTACTTTTTTAATGTTCATAATCAATTTAAATTATATTTTAAATTTTTAGAAATTGTTATTTTGTTCCGTGATATTTTCTTCCTTGGTCTTTTTCCCTATTACCCTTTTGTATTTATCCTCGCTGTCCGCTAATGGTTTATTGTATATCCGTCGTAATAAAAATATATACGTAGGTGTTTATTTGTTTATTTCCAGCCTTAGTTAAGCTCTACTTTCGGAAATGGAAAAAAATGATAAAAATAAAACAGATTAGACATTGATTAAAAATACATTATAGCCCATACAGGATTTATGTTTAAAAATGGATTGTAAAATTACGTAAATAACTGATTACACGTTAATGAGATAAAAATAAAATAATATTTTTGTATAAAAGAAATTCAAAATATAAATCATGAATTCATATTATATGACACGACATAATATCATTATGTCGATAAAAAAAAATTAATGTACTCTACTATATTTCGTATTGTTTTATAATAATAAGCAAGTACTAATGAATCAGTACCCAATTGTCTTCTGCCCTTTGTAATTATATAATCGTGCGTTGATGCCTGACTCATACTTTGCACTTGATGTAACGAGCAATAAATGTATAATATAATGTGATTTTCAGTCTCATATATGTATTTTTTATTAACACCGAATTTTATAGTTTATTAGTGGATTATGAAAATAATTATTTTGTTATTTTACAATGTTAGATGTAATTGAGGTAAATACACTTATACACACGTATTCTTACATCTGTATAGTGATGCTTATAGTATTTTATAAATACTAATGTATATAAATATTTATCAATATAATTCAACAAAAAATATCAAATAATTTTTTTATCACATGTTCCCTTTTCTCTGTACCATATACTTTTAAAATATTTGTTTACATTATTACATTGCAATATTTTATTGCTCTTAAATTTTTAATGACAATTTAATAGGCATTAAATTGTCAGAAAATGTAACACAACTTTAAACTATATTATATTTATACTTTTATTGAAACAAATAAATGTACTGGCTAGTTATATAATTATTTTTTCAGTATCAACGATAATCTTAGTAATTCAAATATAAGAAATAAAAATATTTATATGCATACCTACATTTTAGTAACAAGTTACATTATTTGATTAAACAGGTACCTGTTAACTTGTTTGTCTTACTATACATGTGCTATTGAGACTTCGAGTTATCTTTGGTTAATATTTCTATTATTAGTATTTATTTTTTTATCTAGAATAATAACTTAACAACAACAAAAGTTGTATTTCAATCAATACACATTACACAACATATTATAATTGAAAAATAATATTTACTGTAATTACAACTTTTTTTTTTCCAGTTTTGAACCGACGACGCCGCGGGAACTGCTTTCGCATTGCTTCCGCGGCGAATTATAACTAGATATACAAAAAAAAAATCTAACTACACGAAAAATAAGTTCTTAGTAAGTGGTTAATTGATTGGCATATTATGACATCTATTGTCTATCTTATGGCATATGTTATTATGACATCTATTCTGTATTCAGTATTATCACATATTTGGTACGGTCTTTCAATGTATAGATAAGAAACGGAAATAATGGTTTTCCGGTAGGTATAGCCGTATACCTATGCAATTCAATAACTAAACACTTCTGTAGATCTTTCACTGAGGACATTTTACGCCATTTAAATATTAATTGTAGCGATTGTACACAACTTCTTAAAAACAACCCGCAATGAATTTTAAGGAAAAATGAAATATTTTACAAATAGTATAATGCATTACGTAGGTACGCAAAGTGATTTATTGATCGTCTAAATACCACCACTACAATTCAGTGACTCATCACTCAATCACGCAGGTCATGGATAGTCGTGGGGTGGGGAACTGGGTTATTATTTTCATGTTTTAATCAGTAAACTGTAGTAATATAATATTATTATATATTATAATATAATATAATACATTATGGACATTCAGAAATGTCTGAAGGATGGGCATTGACGCAGTTTGCTGTGTAATTACTAAATTAAATTAGTAAGAAAAAATCATTTTCGTGAATTATCGAATGGCATTTGCAAAAAAAAAATTAATTATAATGTAGAATAATCAAATTATTATCATAAATACAAAAAACTCAAACGGTTATGATGCTGCGTTTTTAATTTACTAATATTATTACACCTATTACACAGACTAAATATTATCGAATAATAATCAAAAATATATAAAAATATTACTATGAAGTGCTTACAAATTAATTAGGTAGGTACCATAATTAAAGTCTATTTTTATTTGTATAGTCATCGTTCATGATTTGTTAATTTACTAAATGTTTAGACTTGCACATTTTTGGTTTGTAGATTTTTATGTTTTGAATTTTTTATTCTTTGACCACTTTATACTATTATAGGAAATCGATTAATCAACTTACTGGCGCAAATCGGATTATCGGTGTCCCATTGCCCTCGAACACAATTCGCCACCTCGTTACCACGAACCAGCTTGAAAGGCGGTAAGCAAGTAATCCTCGCTGTCCGTCCAGACGATCTCAATCGTACTCGACCGTTATCCAGCTCTATGGTCGGACACCGACTTCTTGATAGAGAATCACATTCTAATACTAGAATTACACACAAATGTTTACTTTTAAATTTGTCAAGTTCAAAACTTAATTATTGCTGTAATTTACCCTCCTAGTCCATCATAATAACAAATAGCATAATATTATATTATAGCCTATAGGTGATGATAATTTATATTTTTATTAAATACTGTCAAAAATCATAAATAGATCATAACAATATTTTTCAAAATAAATAGTATTTAAGTCATATATTAATTATGTGAACAAAATTAAAATTAAACAGATGCCAAAATTAAAATGTCTTTTAAAATGGAATCAAATAGATCTTTATCATTTTGCTCAAACCACTAACCTGTAGGTATAAAAATTTTGACATTTAAGAATTTAAAAAAAAATCTCTTCCTCAACGTTTTTTGTTGCCTTCTTTTGGCTGAACCTCGGTTATTATATTCAGATTTGATGTGTGAGCCCCCAATGACACAGGTTACGAAATTGTATCTATGATGAATTTATTATACTTATTGAATTCATTTTTGCTTAGTGTTAAAAATTAAGATACACTTTCTAGTTGTCAGAAGTTTTCTAGTTTTTAGTTTAATTTTCGATGAGAATATATAATTTGCTATGTATCGATTATAATATTGGTGGTTGAATGATAATAAACCAGAGTTCCGGGGCATAACAAACCAGTACTAATATTTTATGTGTTTGATAAAAAGAAATTCAAAATTTACTTAATTTAAACATTCAAATAGTATTTTAATTAATTTATATAATAGTTACACGATAGTGACCAATATAGAATGTCAAATAAGTTAAATTTAAATTAAGTTAACAAAAATAAACGCAAATTATTGAGGCAGATTTATAATATATTTAAATCGATTTATTAAGTACCTACAATAATTTATTAACTCGTATAGCTTTGCTCAAAACTGATCAACCCAGTCGGCTCTGGTCAACAAACGTTGCAGGGTCGAAATCAAAGTTTTTTAACCAACATTTTGTGTATTAGCTTAATATTTTTTAATTGTTATGTTTTTAGCGATTATACAGTATATACTGTATGGTCTGTATGGTTATTGTAAAATATACAAAAAAATATTTGGCGCACAACACGCAGAGTTTATTCTTAAAACATATATATTGAAATTAGACCTGTTAATAATTATAATAATATACTAACCTTTGCTCAAATACAAGTAAAAGGAAAAGACAAAAATGACACTGAATCCGACCATTGTGAACAGGTTTGTGAACTATTCACACGATAACTGATTTCAAAATTGTCGTGTATGCGTACTGCATACATCACGACATCCTCTTTATCGCGAACCGGAACACCATCAGTGATAAACAAAAATAACATTAAAGGTCAATATTATGGATTATATTTTATGTTAATAAAGAATTCACATTCCGTGAAAATACACTTCTCGATTGTTCAAAGAAAAAATCTCAATATTTTTTTTTTTTACTTGTCCGGATAATTTGATTTGCGTACGGTTCACTATAATGCTACCTATATCATCAGTATAATATTATATAACATTAAATAATTTTTCGCTACTCTCTGTGAAATATTATACGGTTTGACGTAACAGTATGGTGATTGGCGAACGCTGAGTGAGTTCATAATATTATTATTTTGTATTTCATTCCCTTTTAAGAGTTACTTTAAAAATAATAGGTAATAGTGTAATACCAATAGGGGTACTGGGTACAAATCGTATTGAATATATAGGCCTAATAAAAGTTATACCTACCTAACAATAATGATATGAATTTATCAATTATACAATATTACAATGTTTGTGTTATGTAAGAACATACCAATATATTGGTATTTTCAATTCTGTGTGGTATACAAGAAACGTATACGCTTATACCTACATAATACCTATATTTTTTGTGGAAACTTACAGTCATTCGATAATTTTACCTAAATAATCTCAGGCATACTTGCACAAACAAACATACATCAAAACAGTCTATAGGCATAAGTTTCAGTTATATAGAATATTTTTATAAAAAAAAGAAAATTTTAAAGAAAATTTCTAAAATATTATTTAGTACCGCCTATACCTAGTTGAATGCAGACAAACTAAAGTGGACGAAAAGGAAAATGTTCCTGTATGGCTCGACGTATCACCAATATAAGTAACGCGCTCTAGGACCTATGCTCGTTGTGTGGTCTAAGTTTAAATTAGTTAGGTAACGACTTTCACCAGTCATCAGAGACAATTGGATCAGCGCTGTTCCATACATTGAAGGTTTATACCATCAAACAGTCTCAAATAAAACATGACTCACTTTTTGGTCGGAAACGGCTTTATTGATGTAAGTATAAAAATAATCATATAAAAAAACGCTTTGTCCGTAATACGACCGTCGCTTCACTCGCGTATAATCGTCGTACCTACACGTTTCCCAAGAACAGCATGACTGCCTGTGCCTGTGCATTCGGTGGTCTTATATATATAATATATATAGTCAAATTTTGAAATTGCTTAGGCACTTTTTTAGCTTCTTTCGCCTGACCTAATTATTTACTTATTCGCTAGAACATATTTTTACATAAATATTTCAGATATAATATTAGTTATATATTATAATTTACGATTGCCATGGCTGTCTACAATTTTTGATAGGCTGTATTCCTCCATTAGAAACAGCAGGCGACAGGACCAGAGCAAACGATCTTATACTCAACTATGAAGTATTAAAAATGTAAAAATTAAATTTGTTTACCCAGTGCATTGTAATATATTTGTAAACAGCAGTGGTACCGGTGTACCGAGAGAAATGTCTGATATTTATAATTATGCTAGTAAAAAAATATTGAAAACAGTATTTTATTCCATTACATTTATTTTTTTTTTTGTATAAAGCAACAAAATAATATTGTGAGGACCAAATTATTTAAGCAAAGGAATATTATATCATAAAGAGAAAATATTTTAAATTATTAGTGAGAAACTTGAGCTTGTCGTTTCGTACATAAAAGTTAGATACGTGATTGAATTGAAAACAAGCACACACAAATTACCTGATCAGTAGAAAGGAGCCTCTCCCGTTTATGTTTGTTTGTGCCGAAATGCCTAACTCGCATAAGTAGGTGGTTAAAAAATGGGAAAAAATGTTGATTGCTTATTCTGTTATTACAGGATATTCTGTCTTTGCATACATCTAAAATATAATTAGCGGTAATTCATTATATTTCATTCATAGTGTTCTGTCCTCCTGAATTTCTGCCAGCTGTTCTTCTTTCTTAAGAGATAGGTTACTTGTTGATTCTGACGAAGTGGCGTAAGAATTGCAGATAAGATGATACTATATTATGTAGTATGTATAGGCCCGTAGCGATTACTAATGCCCTCGGCGAGGTTACCGAAGTTATTGTTGTTGTCAAGTGTGTGAGTGTCCTGCAAAAAGTATAATAGTGTGCCTTGACCCAAAAAAAAAAAGTTAAGTGTAAATTCACAACAATTTTTTATGTGTGTTTGAATTTTGAATTTTGATCAAATTCATAAAAATCACAAAAATTTGCTACTTATTTTGAGTTAAAAATTCATAAAAATGTTTCTTTTTAATCTAAGATTGGAAAATTTAATACAAGATTGCCCTTAAGTTTTCCCACATTTAACAAGAAAAAAAAGTTTACTGGATAGTCAAATAATTTTTTTAAGAGCATTTGATGTTATACATTGGATATCCATTTGTAAATAAAACAAATTCTCATACAAAGATTTTTTTTGATTTTTTTGTTATTCAAAAAATAATAATAGTAGGTACTTGAAATTGTCATTAAATGTTTTGATCATCACTTTCTTTACATGATACAATTTTCGAAATTTTTTACTCGTTTTGAGTTATTTAGAGACATTTGAAATTCGATAATTTTTTAGTTTATTATTCTATGATTGTTAATAAAATTGTATTTGTTGAGTCAAAAAGCTTGAAATTGTAATACAAAATTCCTCATAAGTAGTTTTAATACAAGTTGAGAAATTTTAAGGACCCGTAGGCACGATTTTTTTCATAAGTATTTAAAGTTACATTTTTTACGAAATTCATCATAATATCGATAATTTGCAAATTATGTTGATTTAAAAATTCATATAAAAAATTTTTTTATCTTAGATTTGAAAATGTGAAACAAGATTTCTCATAAGTTTGTCTTATGCCAATATAATAACAACATTATTGTTATTTGTTTATTTATTTTTTATTTAGATGTTAATAAAATAGTATTCGTAAATTCGTTGATTGCAAAACCTTTAAAAATTAATAAAAGACTTCAAACACTTTATTACAATATTAGTTTAAAAATATAAAAGTAAACTTTTTTTTTTATAAGCATTTAAAATTCAAATTTTGACAAAATATCTCAAATTGAAAATTTACTAATTATTCTGTTGTTAAAAATTTATAAAAAGTTCAATTTTTAATAAATTATAATTTATTAGGTATTTAAATTTTCTTAAATTTTACGAAATTACATATTAAAACCAAAAATAACAAATCTAGTTATTTTGTTGTAACCTATAAATATTATTCGTAGGTACTTGAAACTTTTAGAGTAAGTACAATGTATATTATTGTTTTTTATAAAGATAATGACATTTTCAAATGTAACTTTTTTGACAAAAATGAATTTATCTTCCTGTAATAACAATTGCTAATAGTAAAATAATTTACTTGAATCACAATAATATCATAACATACAGTATACACCACTTAGTAATATTATAGGCTGACAGATTGTCTTCACTTAAAATCATTTTTCGTATACAATAATTGTATACCATTGAATTCAAATCGAACACAATAACACATCCATGATGGTGACTATCTCTAGACACTTAATGTACAGCAGAGCGTAACCCATTTACCCGCTTTTCACTATTTAATGAATAATAATAACATAATATTATTTACAGACGTATTTAAAGAAATCTATATTTTATTAAATATAAACATAAAATAAAACCATAAATGATAATATTTTAGGTGTCTATGTGAAAGTTAGTACAAAAAGACAAATGTATAATAATAAGATTATTTAAAATTATTGGTAAATAGTTGAATAAATATACTATAATAAATCAATATAGGTAGTTAATTAATATTTTTTTTTTTTAAAGGCAGCCGGTAAAATTTAATATTCATTTTTGTAAATTAGATGCCAATTCAATACTTCTAGATCTTTCATTTTTCGTCTCAACAAACTGGTAATTTGCTTCTGTTCGTTTCTTGATAAGCGACTTTATAAAATAAAAAGATCGCTTAACAATGAAAAGTGTAACACCTACTGCAGCGAGATAACCAATAATATAAATAGCATCATATACGTAAGACAATCCCGCGATATCTATATAAACAGGAATTATACTACAAATTAATACCAAAACATTTAAAAATATATGTTAAACTGATTTTTTGAATACTCACTATTTACATTCAGGTTCTCTAAAAGATTAGTAGACTCAGTTGCTACAACTGGTAGACCGCTATAATTGTTTAATGAAAATGCGTTTGTTTTTAAAGTTTGATTATGTTGTAAAGGTATTACAGAATTTTCAAAATTTGCTTGTATTATATCAGTCAAATTTGTATCAGAAATGGATTTATTATTTAAATAATCGACAATATTAGGTGAACGGCGAGTTATTAAACCGTTTAATGTTGGATTCAATGTAGGAGCAATATCGGTTGAATTAGAGAGGGTTTGATGCATTGATACCCTAGAACCAAAAACTAAAGTAAGTCCACCAATTGTTATTGATTTGTTATCAGCATTTTTGGGAATTGTTGCATTCAACATTTCATTTTTTTCTGAATCTATCGTTGTGGTCGGTGTGGTAGTAGTTGTAGTATTAGCTAAATATAAGCTCGCAATATCGTCCATTGATTTGACTGAAAATTAATACATTTTATGCATATAAATTATTGTTAATATATTTACTATAATGAGAACATGAATAAAACGCAATACTCACTATACGGACATTTTTTTTGTATATCTGGGCAGCAGTTATTATTATTATGACACGACCAATCACACGAACAACCAACACCATGTGATATTTTTCCACAGTTGTCATGACAACTGTCGATCTCTATAATATACAATCGAATATTTTACGTTATGATAATATTGTATATTATTGACTATTGTATGTGACTTACACTTAATCAAAGTTTTTATTATTTTTTTCATTCAGTTTTTAGTATAAACTATTAAGACTCAACAGTTACACTTATATTAACTTAAATATGAAAATACAGAATACAATTAATAAACTAGTGTTTAAATATTAAGGTCTCAGTTAAGTAAATCATCAATATTTAAAGCCATTTATTTATATTTACCTTCTACGTAAGGTCGTTTATTACAACTATTACCCTCTGCAATAATTATATTATCAATGGCTGCTTTACAACTTTTCCCTTCAATTACAATCTACAAAATAACAAAATAATAATATTAAACATACTTTTTTTAAACGCAGTTCGAACCTACTCACTCTAGTTGTAATATTAAATTGATACAACCCAATTATAACTCTTCCTTCTCCCTCGTGAGTTTCCCAGTGAGGTATGCCGCCGAAAGTGACTTTTAGAATAGGGATATCGTTTGAATTTCCTGACGTTACTTTATAAGCAAATATCAAACATCTTTGATTGTTTTTAACTGGGACAATTGGTGGAGATAATAGTCGCCCGGTGAGAGTGGGTCCCTCATTTCCAGCATCCAAAGATATATAATTACCTGATCAAAATAAACTTTAATTTTATCTCAAATTAATTATATTTTCACTTAATTACTTGAAAAATAACTAGAAGATCCAGGGATTACGTGATGATTAAAAAAAATGAATGAAATTTGATCAGCCAACCAATCAACGTTGTTAAAAATATCGTTTTTCCAACCACAAAATGTTGCAACTTCCGATTCGAAAGTACAGGATAAATTATGAATACTATTATTTTTTACTGTAGTCGACACTGTGGCAGTAGGAGTTAAATATAATCTAGTGATGTCGTCTATTGGTTTGACTGTAAATTAACGAATTTTATGTTGATAAATTATAAACATACTTTAATAAGAACACGAATGAAACGCAATACTCACTATACGGACATTTGATTTGTATATCTGGACAGCAGTTATTATTATAGTGACATGACCAATCACACGAACAACCAACACCATCTGATATTTTTCCACAATTGTCATAACAACTATCAAGCTCTGTAAACAATCAAAATATATGTCACGTTATGATATTCTTATTGTATGTGGTGAATCAAAAATTAAGTTTTAGACAAAATAAATAAAAATTATATTCATGTTTATTTGTGTTTACCTTCATCGTACGGTCGTTGAGTACAACTATTATCCTCCGTAATTATCAAATTATCAATAGCTGCTTTACAACTACTCCCTTCAATTACGATCTTCAAAACAAAATAAATAATATGTAACATACGTTTTTAAAGAGTAAAGACGATTTGACTATTCAATATACTCACTTTATTAGACACATTAAATCGATATAATCCAATTACAGCTCTCCCTTCCCCTTCGTGAGTTTTCCAGTGAGGTATGCCTCCAAAAATTACTTTCAATGTAGGACGACTATGTGAATTTCCTGACGTTACTTTGTACGACAATTTTAAACACCTTTGTTTAGTTGCAACTGGAGGAAGTGATGGAGATAACAGTTGTCCGATGGTAGTGGATCCATAATCTCTCGTGTCCAAGGATATATAATGATCTGACGTAGACAAAAACTTATATGTAGTTCAAATTTATAATCTTAGAGCCACTATGTGCTGAATTTCTAAATCAAATCTACCTGGTAATGTATATTTAGGGACGTATACATTTTTTTTAATTGCTGCAGAAACGATTCTAATTTAAAGAAGTTTTAAGTTTCTTTGTTTAGGTTTCGGTTTAATTTTGATTATTATTATTATTAAGATTATGTATGATATAATATATATTAATAAAAAAATCAATACTGCTGTTTAATTTTTTTAATACTACACATTTCTTCTTTATTAACAATCAATTGTAAATAACATTGAATACAATTCGAAATTAAGAAATATCGGAAAGTAGGAATAAAAGCCAACTATATAAATTTACTTAAAAATGTTCACGAAAATTTTAATATCGTAAAAATATAATTTATAGTGTTTAAAATGTTTAAATAGGGTGTATTATAATAAGTTCTGAATTAGCTACCCAATTCTGACTTGTTAAAAAAACATTCAGCATGCAATATTTAAAAGCGTTTTACCTTTTACAATTTAAAGGTATTGTTAAATACTTGTAAAATATTGAGAAGAACCCGGTGTTACGTGACTTCTGGCACTATTTGGCAGTACTAGCGTTTTATCGGCTAACCACTCAATTTCGTTGTACATATAATTTCTCCATCCACAAAATCTTTCTTCGGGCGATTCGAAGTCACAAGGTTTATGTATTGGATCATATTCTGTAAAAATGTAGGTATATTCGATTCAACTGTTAAAACCGTGAAATATTATGTGTTTTGGTATTGGTACTAATAATTAAATTTCCAAATGGCTTATAAGTTGAAAAATAAAAATATGTTTTAAAAACTAAGACCTTAAAAGTTCAAATCATTATAACTTTTAATTTCAATCTAAATATTAACTGCAATAGGTAAAAATAAAAAAAACGGAGCATCATCCATAAAGATGAGTTAACGTCACTTCTAATTTATCTCCTTGAACAATTAATGAATACTGATTGATTTTTAAAATTTAAATCAAACTGCCGAGAATTTTATATTTTTAACACCTAAGACTTCAACAATTGATACAATATAGTTCATGAGTTTATTTTCTTGAAATTAAAAATTTAACACTTAATGTTGAGTAATTAAAAACATTTTATAAACGGTTGAAGTTTAAATGTTGACAACAATGGATATTTAACAACAAGTAAAAGTAATAACATTTATTCTCAACTAATTTTTAATATTTAGTAAAAAAAAATTACCGACGAAACTTGAAACATTCCACTATTACATATGACTATGAATTATCATTTTGTATACTCAACAAAATGTTCAAAATCTTTAGGTAATGTAATGCCATTTATAGGCATTTGAAATTATTGCATTTATGAATTTTTATTTTTAAGCATTGATAAAAAGTATAAGTCTTGGTCCAAAGGCTTAAAAATACAAAATCCCACATAAGTTGTTCTTATAGCAATTTAAAAATATAAAATATACACAAGCATAATTTTATAAGCTTTCGATGTTCAACTTTTGACAACATTTGTCAAAATTGCGATAATTCAAAATTATTTCGTAGATGAAAAATAAAAATAATTGAATTATATAGTAATAAGGATTTTAATAGTTTAATACAATTAAGTAAGAACTAAGAATTAATTTACATATACTGAAGTAATTACTACTAAAACTTTTACATAATATTATATATTAATTAAATAGTTAAATTTTAGTACCTATCTTACTACTTACTATACACGATGACATTTAAAAAAATATACAATATTAATATATACTACTATAAATTATAATAAAAAAATAAATAAATAAATAACTGATACCTTATATAATAAATTATTCTTCAAAAATTAATTCAATCTACTTTACTAATAAAAGGTATCAAGTTAATGAGGTAGTTAAATAAATTACTAAATTAGCAATGTAAATACACAATAAAATATACTTAATAATATAAGCTTACAAGCCGTTTCCTTTCAGAATTTTTTTTCCTGTGCAATGATTCACCATTGAATTCAAATTTAACACATCCATTACAGTGAGTTTCTCAATGACGAGGTACACTCAATACAACTACTGTACATCAGAGCAGTTACCTACTTGACCACTTTGTATACATTTATATTTTTGATAAAAAAGCTTGAGAATATAATACTGGGTTCCTTAGGTAAGTTGTTTCACAATACTTCATTCAAAGATATTGAATATACAATTTGTATTCAAACAAAAAATGACAATGTGAGCTAATTTGATGTAATTTAAAAATTATCAAATTAATAATTACATTGTCAAAATATCAAAATAAAAGATGTTTAAACCACGAACCTATTCACTCATATTATCAACGTACAAGTTAATAACAATAATACTATTATAAGATACTTACATATTATGCAATATTCCTGATAAAAATTAGTTCAACATTCAAACTACTATATTATAATAATACTTAATAGTTATATAAAATATGAAATATCCTCAGAAATAGAGGGGTCAGCCACACTGTTTCGACTGAAAATTGTATTTTTTGTACTGTGGTCTACTCTCAATAAATAATACTATCTAATATATATAATATATCTTCTATAACAGTAACTCTTGCAGAGCACGTGGCCAAAGTGTATATTTATTTATTAGCAAATGTTAAATAATGCGTATCAAGCACGAAAAATTAAAAACAAATATAATACCTGATTTTTCATTTACTTTTTATATTGTTCTAAATTATCATATAGAGAAGACTTAAATCACTATAGTTCTATATTGTAGAACCTATTAATTCATTTACTATAATTATCAGTGTTAATTTAGACAAAAATATTATAAATAACAAATCAAATTGTCAGAATTTTACCATAAGTCCATAAAAGGTCATTCAAAATCAACCATTGGCAGTTTAAAATTTAAATGTAAAATAAATCTAAATAAATATTTTTATATCTAATATTATATAATTATTGAAAAATTACTAAACAGAAAGCAATTAAATTTATTAGAACAAACTTCTATATTATATCCAATATCTTAAAAGTTAAAACTATAAAGTAATCAAATAAATCTATTTTGCTATTAATGTTACAATTATATAAATCTAAAGCAGATATTTCTTCATCTTTAACTACTTTCTGGAAACTATTGATGCTTAATATATTGCCCTTCTTTAATAAGTTTTATCAGTACATCAGAGAGATGAGTTACGAGTAGTTCATCTAAGTAATATTAATAATTAATGAATAACTAATGACAATATTTTCATCGAATCGGTACCTATTTATCATTAAAAAATAGATAGGTAAACTTAAATAATATATTATTAAAAATAATTAAAATCAAATAAGAAGTGCGTACATCTTTAAACTATAATTGTATTACAGCCTACAGGTCAGCAGTTTATTTACTGGGTAGGAAAGATAGGTCTTCTTGATTTTTTCTATTTATTCTATAGTAGGTATTAGGTAAACGTTTTTAAGAGTACTATCTATTTGTTTCCTCTCTCTGGCCTATGGACAATTTTCGTTCGGCAAAAGTCTTGTCAAAAACTTTGTCTCCGCAGTATTAAGAACATTATCTGCTTTCGTGCTTTGACTTTTTTACGATACATACAGTTTAAAACAACACATGGGCATTTTTAAATTGTAATATTTTACTTACTCAATTTTAAAAGTTCAAATATTGTAAAAAGACTAACACACCAATACAGAAACTGTTCTTTATTTCTAGTCTGATGGGTCAATCCACTATATAGATATAAATAGCCATTTATAACCTAGGCAGTAAATAGTATTTTATAATATTCAAAAGTACCTATTTGTCAATAAAAAAAGAAGTAGCCATATTGGTCATACTTCCTATTTGTATATTATGATATAATATTATATGTAATAATTTAGAATGAATGAGATTTTTTGTAGTGGTTTTGTTCGATTTAGGAAAAACATTAATAATAAACATACATTTTGAGTACCACTGAAACCTTCAACTTACAGTATAGGAGTAATATAAGCAGGCACAAGGCACACTTTCATCACAAAATAAATATTATAGAATTGTATAGTAATATAAATTTTGTTTGTACAAAGTGCATTTGTATTTTTAGATGAGTCGATTGTATTAGATACTTACATATTAAGTAAAGTAAATATATTTTTATCTTAACCAAACAGTGAATATAATATAATTGTATTAACGGATGAAGTCGCATCATATTCGTTGTTTGCTGTTTGTCGTGTAAATATTTTAAAATGTTACATATATTTCAGTGTCCGAATTATCAAGATGCCTGAAGTACCTTGTACCTATAATGCACCTACTGAAAATAATCACTTCATTTTTGTGTTTTGTTTAGATATATTTTAGGTGAGTTGATTGTATTACATATAAACATTAATATTTTTATCGTACTATAGTTGAGTTGGTTGATATTCTATAACTTTTAAATAACAATACAGAATTGAAAACCTCGAAAGGTGGTAATATCATTCATTACCTCAACTCATCCATCATCCCTCATTTGCAAACAATAAATGTATCATGGGTGCGAAAGGGAACTATGTAAATTGTGTAAAATTTAGAAAACGAGTTGTTCAAAATGTTCAAATACACAATTAAAAAACAAAAAATATTCGTAATATACGAATAAACAGTATTCCATAATAATTTTCTTTTTCTTTTTTATTGTTCGAACGTAACATTGGCAACAATGGCCATGATTTGCATTATATTTGCATTTACAAATACTATTTATTTTTCATATTTTTTTATTTTTAAAACATTTAAGATTTATGTAGTGTCTGATCATTTTCTATAACACTGTAATGTACGAAATATTGTCTATAAATGGATAATATTATAGTGATCAATGTTAATTGTTTTAACTCCATTTGATATTATTATTTATTTGTATATGCTTAAAAGTTAAAAGTATGTGAAAATTAACAAGGACAATTTTTTTTTAACGTTGCAGACATCATAACTTCTTTTTAGTTCTTAGAGTCTAATAAGACTTAATTAATTAAATTAGTCTTAAGACTTAGACCATACAATCAGGTGTTCTAAAACATTATCACAATCTATTATAGTTCTTTATTTTTCTACGAGACCTACTCAATTCCTAATAAGTCTATTACAATTTGTAATATATATTCCATGACTTACTCAATACATTATTTATAGGACTAACCTACTGAATGTCTGAATAGTGTGTGTCGAATTTGCAATAATAATAGCATTGATTATAATATCGATGATAATATGTATAAAGTACAAACTATTATAGATTTATAGATACCCCACTATACTAGTGCCATAGCCAGAAATTTTAGTTTTTTTTATTTTTTTCTCTAATTTTTGTTATGCTAGAATATCTGAACCTACTCATCACCCACTACGTTATGACCCATGGTTCATAAAAGTAAACACACGTCTACCTACTTATTTCTATTGGCTATACAACTCATACCACGTATTGACATTATTGTTAAAATAACAATTCATTTTTTTATTGAAAAATTATTACTACAAAAACCGTAACTTATAGATTTTATCAAATAAATAATATAATACAAATCAATATATAGCTAACAAGTGAGATAGCTAAGAAGAAATGAAATCATTAAGAAGCAAATAAACAAATTTAAATAATTAAAAACTTAACAAAATATAACTTTGTAGCCGAATAGGGAAATATACTTGTATTTTGTTATCCTAAGTCCGTGCTTGGTGCTTATCATTACTATTTGATATTTAACAATACTGTAATTTGTAGTTTTTGGCCTTGTGTATTTACAGATAGATAGTAGGTATGTGGTCGGAAGTTACAAAGTTTTAGAATAAAACCAGGTTAATAAATTGTGCCCTATATATATTAAATAAATAGTCACAAAATTCAAAATATGATGCGTGACCGAATTATAGCTGTACATAGGTAAATTATGAGATCGAAAGTCAATTTGAAGTGAGGCATTTTAATATTTTACATATGTGATATAAACAAGGCCGCTCTTATGATAGGGCAGCGCCCCCCCCCCCCTCCCAAGGAATTGTGCATGCCAATAACTAACATTATATTTTTGCAAAACTGTAAAAGTGGAGCCCTCACGATGATATTTGGCATCATAAATCCGAAGAATTTTATAGAATATTTGGATCTGTACATAAGGCTCTACATGATTTATCGTCGTATAATGCATTAATAATAATTAATTATTATACACAGGACTTACTACTTACTAGCACATATCGGATATTCGCTATCCCATTTTCCTCCGACGCAGGTCATCGTCTCGTTGCCGTTTACTAGAACATACGGCTGAAAACAGGTAATTTTGGCCATAGTTACACCGCGTACTAATAATAATCTCGCCTGGCCATTGATGGGTCGTAACTGCTGACATGGATGTTTAAGTGGTGTAGACTCGCATTCAAACACTAGAAATACAAAAAAAAACCCAGACACTGCGTAACGATATATTGCCCAATTTTCAGAAAAACGATGCTCCCAGGACTATAGTGTACTCATAAATGGAAATCAGGAATGCTTGGGAGGCTTTCCTTCCAGAAATATCCCTTTAACCTCCTCCCCCGAAAAAATATACAGTAAATATTTAACAAAAATGTTTTGTATTCAATATTAATTATTGAAATTTTAAATATGTAAAAAAAAAAGTACCTCTCTACTGAGTAATTTACCAAACAAACACAACTATATAGTCAATAAAGTACTAGATTGTATAAACCATATTTAAAAATCATTACTAATTTTATCTCATTTACTAGATACAAAAATAAAATTTATAAAGTCTATAACAGTTTACGATAAATTGAACATATTTCCAACAGAATATTTATTATTGTCAATATGTTTGAGAATAAGTAAAAAAAAAAGGAATTAAGAATTTAAGAATACGCATTTACTCGAATATATGCTAAAAATTGAAAAATTAATTCAATTTTATTGAGAGAATTATGAAACGTGCTCATTTTTAATCAAATTAAGAAATCTGCATTTAATAAAATGATTTATTTACAAAACAACCCTCGTCCTAATTACTATTTTATTTACTTTATTTACCTAGTCGTTTAAATTACAAAACTATATTATGCGTTCTTCAACCTTTAAGTCTTGTTAATAAGTATTTCGAAACTTTTGTAATTTTTCTTAATGCATTATAGTTAGAAGAAATAATAAATTAACTACATTTTTAGATCAACGTAATCAAAATAATTATAAATTAAAATCAAACGTAACATTTAAAAAATTCAAAGTCTAATTATATTATTATTATTTTGGATTATAATACATCGGGCATCGATTCAGCTAACTTTGGACACTATAAAATACTCTAAATGTTGTTAATTATATTTTCCACTGCTCTCACATTGTTAACTATTGACTAATAGCAAATAAAAAATCGTTTAAACTAATTTCTCGATATTCGTTAATTTATTTTACGTATTCTTTTTTAGTGACGATTTTAAGTAAAATGTAAATAATAAGTTCACTAAAAAATGTAATACAAAACATCATATTTAGTCATTAAACTTAACATTTAAAAAAGTATTTTTGTATAACTTAAATTATTATAGATTATATTATATATTATATACAAACCTATGCTCAAATACAAGTAAGTAGAAAAAACAAACATAACATTAAATTCAAACATTGTGAACAGATGTATGAACGATTCCTACGACAATTGAACTTAGAATGACGAAAATACGTATAAGACCTTCATGGACGTATATTAGGTACTAGGTAGGTATATATTATTTCAAACTAGGAATCTTCTTTATCAACTATTTTGCGCAGGCGCGCTGGTAAACCAGTGATACACAAAAATAACATTAAAGATCAATTATTTAAATCAATATTTATTTAATAAACATAAAAAAAACACCTCTATATGAAATCATACATAATACTCCTCTATTAAACATCACATGGATTAATATCTAACCTATTTACATTTGTTAATTTTAAAACATTTTTTTTCTGTAATATTGAAAACTATCTTCTGAGCTAATCGAACTTGACTTTAACGTATCTTTTGATTTCTAAAACACACAAAATAATATATTTAGATTATAGTGTTATACTTATAAAACGTACCTATTTGTCGATTTTGTCATAAAATATGTATAACAATACCTATATTCTATATTAATAACTATCTGATACTCGCCAGAGTTACCCAAAAACATTAAGAACAAATAATTGCCATTAGATTTACTCCTTCTTAAGGAGATTGAAAACTGTGCTTTTCTGTCTTTAGAGTCTAACAGACCAACAAACAGAACATTGAAATTTATACGTGTTTTACTGTTTTCATTCCAACTTACCAATTAATCTATAGAGAATAAGCTATAAGAATTCTAAAGACAATTTGAATTTGTTTTCAAGTCAACTTTCCTAAATCTTAAAAGGTTTTACTTAAAAAAGAATAATTAAAAAAAATAGAATATTAAAATTTTTGAAGAAGTTAAAATCCAGAAATCAAAAATATATGAGAAATTTAAATCTGTTTTTATAATTCATATCACTTTACTAGATCTGGTACATTGGGTTGAAAACAGGTCTACATACCAATTTCAACGTTATTTGATTTACCATTTTAGGCCCGATTGAGCACAGACGTTATCAAGCAATAGGAATCCAAAATACGACACTATAAAATAACTAGGCTACTTTGTATTAGGTACTTAATTTTTCCTTTTAACAATTAAATGTTGAATTTAATTGACTCATGAAAGACTATAGTATATTATTGTATTATTTCGGGAATATTGTTGGAATTGGTTGCATAAAATAAAATAGTAATCTGATTAAAATTGGATAATAATTTTAAATACACGGCCATTTAATTTGTCACGGGCTAAGCAGTGCAGAATCAGCTGGTATAAAATATAAAAAATTATATATAACATAAATAATGCGATTGTTGAAACATTAAAAATAATACAATACTTGTCAATAAGTTTATTATTTTATTTTTATTTTTAAGTACTTTAAGTACTTGAACGTTTTTTTGATAACTCTTCAGACTATTTTAATTATAAATTTAACAGAACTGTATGACAATTATAAAATTGTAATATATTTATATGAATTTACAAATTGTACCATATTGTCACATGTATGGTATCACTATTGTGGTGAGTGGTTTTTAAATTACAAAACTCAAGAACCACTTAATGTATCAACAACCAACATATATGTATCTATAATACCTACACTACAAGAATCAACGTTTCAAGAATGTACAGTGAATATTTAATCTACAATGATACTTAATTACTTAGTAGTTAGTATTTAACAACAATACCTACTAGGATTATCAAATATTAAAAGATTAAACATATTTTTTACTTATTTATGATAATCATTTGCACGTACTTGACTGGTTTTTTCCAAGGACCTGTGAAATGACAATCTTGATTGATAATCTTTTATTTTTATTTGACACGTATTTTTTGAACTTTCATGTAAGCAGACTTCTGGAGAAGAAAAGTAATCATTAATCGGTTCTAACGTAACTTCATTTATATTCATGGAATCGTCGGAGTTACTTAATGATATTTCTTGTGTTGGACAAGCAAAACTGTCTTGAGACAATTTTGAGGTATATAAACCTGTAATAATAATATATATTAGAAAATAAAGATGATTTATGATATATTTTTTTTCATGGCATCGTTATTTGTTAACATTTAATACACATTTTAAATGTCTAATGTACATAATACGCTTAATAATATTTACATACTTATATTATTATACTAAATTACTCATATTATACAGATGTAAGCCTGTAAAACTCCTATAATTTTAAATTATAATGACTAATGGAGCCATACATCACAATAAAAAAAATGTATTAAAAACTATTTAGGTAGGTTGTGTGTAATTAATCAATATTTAAAAAAACTGTATAAATACTCGTACTCTTATAAGTACTAAGGGATCCGTTCGACCGTTCATATGTCTTCTTATTAATAAAAACTTCTTAATATACGATGATTATAGACTTATCATTAGATTCAATGTTATATTATTTTATATTTTACTTGCATTTTATATTTGTATTTACCTAACGTTCAATTTCATAGCAGTAACATTTTGCTTAAGAATGGAAATATTATTATTTATTCCATTCGGACCAAACATGTATTACGATTTTAAGACAATGTAATTAACTTTAATTACACTTTTTTAATTACCTGGACTTTTAAACAAGTTAGTAACTGGTTTAAAAATAAAATCACTGCCACTAGAAATTGATGACATATTATTAAAATCATTTATTGATTTATTATTGTTAACTTGGTCTTTACAATCCATCAGTTTCTTATTTTTTACGACTTGTTGATTCTGACTAAAATATATACATATTAAACATTAATAAACACAACATCAAATACAGTTTTAATTTGTTTAAGTTTGTTTTACTAAAATGTAATGAATTACCTACACAAACTACAAAAACTCACTGTTTAAACTGGACTCGTTGAAGTTGTTTTTTTAAATTGACACTGTAATCTAAAAATCAACACGATATACATTAAACGAGCTTAAAAAATAATATAATTTATTAATTTAATTTTAAAATGTTTTATTATTAATGTATTTAAGTCCGGAAATGTATACAAACCATTATTTGGATAAATATTCTTGTCTATATTTATGATTTCATCACAATGTGTGTGAACAAATTCCAAATATAAACAATAAGTTAAATTTAATCTAGCTTTCTCCTCTATACTGATACATTGGTTTTTATTTATCCCTGGATCCAAATTCGTACTTGTAGTTCCTTGTATACTACTTGTAATAATCTTTGATGAAGTCAATGTTGATGAACTTTTAACATTAATGAAGTACATAAAGATTATCATTATTTTTTGTACAGATTACATGCATGGTTATAAAAAAATATTATTGAATATTAATTGTACCTACCTGGAACGTTCGCTATCATGGATTCTTTTACTCATTTCATATTTAATATTTTTAGTGACTGCAGTTGGCTTCAGAATTTGTATTTGTGAACTTAAAAAAATAAATGAATGTAGTACCTACTAACTATCCGTTTATATTAATTTTGTATATGATATTACATTAAGTCAGATTGTTTTTGTTTGTGTTTTATTGTGGAAGTTGCATCTGGAGGACCAAATTTTATTTTAGTATCTGGCTTATAGTTCACAAGCTTCCGCTTTGGTTTTATGAAAGAAATTACGTTCTCTAAATCTTGTGCATCGCATGACTTATGTACAATATCTAAGTTATCTAAAAAGAGAAAATTATTGTTATTATTAATCGTACAGATCATACATAATTAAAATAAAATATATGCTAACTTCTATTTTGAACATTTGACACAAACTCACGTTGATCCAAACCTCTCTTGACCTGAAATTAATCAAAAATTTGAATTGGTTATTTATTATTATATTAAAAATAAAAATTACAAAAATCTTACAGTGAGACGATTCTTAGTAATATGAGACGTTGGATTTGCTCTAATGTAACATTCAACTTTAGCCTGATTTGTAAAATAAATTAAAAATATTTTTAAACAATAATGTTGTATTTAAACTACTTACCAACAAATCATTAGGTTCACATTTTGGTTCTACGTATTTTTGATGACTTTCATTAAAACATAACGAATTACCATTTTGATTATCCTATTACATTTATTTATTTCAATATATTAATTATTAATAGTATTGGGTATTTAAAATTAGATAAAATAAAAAGCAATACGCAATATCCATAGGTATTATAATTGATTATAAATACTATTTATGTATTTATAATCCAACGGTATTATTAACAATTTACTGTACATGGTTATTACTTTTTACAAAATAACGATTTAAAAATAAACTCACTACTACTCCTGTGGAATGGTATAATCCTTTTGATGATGTTTTTTTCAATTTATCAAGATATTTTTGTTTACTCTTCTCATACTCCATCCCCTATAAGTAAATAAATAACGATTTGTATAAGAATATTACCATTTCCTGGTCATTACATATATACTCAGGGCTGTCCCTAGGGTAAGGTGAGAGAGGCCCCGCATTATCACCGCAGTTGGACATGCCCCGATATTATAGATTGGTACAATAAAAGTTGATGAGCAAAAAAAAATGTTTATTTACATCGAATTTTAAACGTGTTAATGATTAACGGCGTCGGAGCTGGTGCGTTTTTTGTACAAAAACGTGTCTCACAGGAAAATCTATTACACCCTGTATAATAGTCGGATTCCATAAATTTTTTTTTATTTAAAATAAAAGAACATTTTGCAGGTTGGATCAAAGCCCGGTTTTTAATTTTGAAATTTTAGAAGCTAAATTATGCATTTGAATAATGTATTTCTGTTATTTTTCAAACTTATTTTTCTAACACTAAAGTAAAATGAAAATTCGGGCTTTGATCCGATTTAAAAAAGTTCCCATCTTTCAAATAAAAAATAAATTTTCAAAATTCGACTTTTAAATAAGGTATTAGAGTATTACCTCTATAAAGTCATTTTTGTTGATATAATACACCGTATGACCTAAAACATATATAATCTCCCTTAAATAGGAATCAGGCTGTAGATTAGTGGAAATTTTAAAATTATTATAATTAAGCTAAAACGTAGCAACTGTAGGATAAAATATAATTTTCAAATTATTAAAATTCAATTTTTAAAGCTGAAATCGATAAAAAAAGCAAGTATCAAGAAAAAGACACCAACTGAGCTATAAGTTATAACTAATAGGTATATCTATTGAAACAAATTGCTGACCAACTAAAATATAACAATATTATTGACACATTTGATGATTTAAAAAGTATAGGAAGGTTAATTTAATAATACCTATATTTTTATAAAATTGTTTCACTTTATTTATCGACTTATTTTATCAACATAATTACCTATATTAAGTTTAAGTAAATGATGTGTTGTGTTATTAATTAATTTACCTATTCTTATTTTTTAGGTACAAAGTACCAATTTGTTTAAGTCTATTATTCTTTGCCCCATTACAAGGGGCACTTGACGATATAATGTCATTTTAGGCCCTGCAATTTTACTATGCCACGAACCCCGCAAATCGTCAGGATAGCCCTGCCTATACTTATTCACCAACTCATAACTCTTAAGTAATTTCTATAATAACTTTTTAGTTAATAGTATTATTATTTTAGTATTATATTATACTATAAAAAGAACGTATGCGAAATAAGCCACAGAAGACCAAAAAGGTTTTACCAAAAGTAACGTATAGCTTATATTTTGTATTTATATTGGTTATCAGTTATCACCTACTTATAAGTAAATACATTATAATATATTATAGGTACAATTTGAACATTTTATAATTTATCTAATTAGCAAATGTAAATATTGCTTATAGTTCAGAGAATAAAAAAAAAGGACTAAAATTAGTAATATATATTAATATACCTTATACCTATATCTATGTCATTTAGACACACTAACTTTTTTCAGTTGAATATTAACAAGTAAGGGGATACAGACATTTTTAGGAAGAGTTTATAAATTAATATTGATATGTATTTTGTTGGCCAATTATAACGGTATATTAATATACCTTTATAACCCTCTCCAAAAAAATACTACTTAAAAAAAAAAAAGAAACCGGTAACTTTTACACGAAACAAATTTTCGACAAAATCAATTTTGTTATATTGTTGGGTATTGCAATTTAAAAATGAATAAGTTTATATAGGTAGCCAGGTAGGTACTTACAATGTTCACCAAACATATATTCAATATACATTCGGTGTTCACCATCCTTTATATTAGTATTCTATGTAAGTATACATTGTATAATTATAAAAATTTATAATTTTTTGAGCTACTTATGGACATTTTTTTTATTGTATATAATCGATAAAATAAATACAAGTACCTACCTACAAAGTATTAAGACAATTGACAACTGCCAAGTAGTAGGTATCTATAAGGAATATCAGAATATACATTACCTATATATAATATTGTCATTCGTTATATTATTTATATGTAGGTACCTACCAATGAAATATCGAGTTTGATTTGGTAAAGTTCTTTTAACTTACGAATGATCCGAAGTTAATTAATTTTCAAAAACATTTAAATTATTTGGATTCTTTGTTAGTAATAAATTACAATTACAGAAACGTAGAACGAGTATGAAACGGCCGTTTTCTGCACAAAATGTAAAATGAAGAGACACAACAAAGAACCAGGCTCAGAAGTCTTGCAGTAGGTATTAAAAATAAGCAAAAACCAGTGTAGTTATAATACCAAGTTTTTGGTTCAAGCGTGGTTAATTGTTTATACCTAATCGACCATTTTTTAACATAATATTATAAAAACTCTTATTAAATGAATCAATGTATAATGAATTTGCAAATTTTTTCTTTTTCTAGCCAGCCATTTAATGCGGGTTTCCATTAAAAATGTTTAGTCTAACAACGCGGTAACGTGGTTAATCGTGTGATAACTTAACCTAAGCAGCCAACCACAGCAAAGAATTTAAGCGAAAGTGTATAGTGGAAACCCGCCTTTAAATGGAAATTGCGCCAATAAAATAAGTACCTTTAATTACTTACTAATGGCTACAAAAATTGCTCGAAGAAAGAAACTTCATAAATAATATTTCGTAAAAGGAGATTTTTATCTTAATAGTTATGCGAGTTATGAGTAATTACTAATTAATAAATTACTATTTTTTATTATTTTTAGCGATGATTTATTAATTACCAACATCAGTAACATCACAGAATAGTTTAAATTGTATCTTCTCTGTGGTATCTAACATCCTTAGATCACGGTCTAACCTGATCTTAGATAGTTAGATGGATAGATCTTATAATATTATGAATTATGGTCTAAATCAGAGATGGCAAACCTTTTGAACCCTGCGTGCCCACAATTAGTAATTACCTTTTTATTTTTCAGAGCGTGCCATGAAAAAAATATTAAAAATATTATATTTTGTTATGCTATAATTGAATTGTATAATTAATGTATTAATATAAAAAGGTTAGTTTAGGTTATTATATGTCCTATAATATTATATATTATTATACAATATATAACAGTAAAAATTGTGCCATGGATTGTCATCCTGGTCTAAATTCTTAAGTCATATCATTATTATTTGTTTAGGTATTTTTTTATTATTGATAACAAAAGTTGATAAGAATTAAGAAACTGTCTCACTGCCGCTGCCGGGCGCCCGCACCAGCCTGCTGTGGTCACACTTGTGACTTCCTGCATGCTAGAATAGATGTTCATTTGACGTTTTTAAAATTTTAGTGCTGAAATCAAAAAAAAATTGCTTCAAGTATGACTAATAATCCAGTTATTGATTTATTTGACGATCCAAGTAAAAAGTTTGTTAAAATATGTGCACCAATGGTCCGTTACAGCAGGTAAGTGTGTTTAGATATTTGTTTTAAACATTGTGTAACTTGTAAACTTAAAATGTTAATTCATTTTTAATATTAATATCATATTAAAAATAATTAAGTAGTTACCTATTTTTTTTAGACTGCAATTCCGGAAATTGATTCGTTTGTACGAATGTGATTTATGTTTCACACCAATGATAATGGCTGATTGTTATGTTAAGTCAGCTAAGGCCAGAGCACATGAATTCCAAACTGATACAGGTTTGTTTAAAAATATTGGAACTTGTTGGTCAAGCTCAAAATAAATTCTTATTTATAAAATTATATTTTTTTCTATATTTTTAGATGATAGACCACTTATTGTACAATTTGGTGCCAATAATTCATCTGATTTTGTAAATGCTTCTAATTTGATCATTCCGTAAGCCTTGCATATATTTTGTTTTTAAAATTAAATTACAATTTTTTATTTTATTTAGATATTGTGATGGAGTTGATCTTAATTGTGGCTGTCCACAAAGATGGGCTCTAAATGAAGGATACGGAGCACACCTACTAAAAAATCCAGAAATTATCAAAGACTGTGTACGTCAATTACGGAATCATTTACCCTCCAACAAGACTATATCAGTTAAATTAAGATTACTTGATGATCATAGGCAGGTATTAAAACAAATAACTCGACATAATAGTATTGAATAATATATATTTAAAATATTACTTTTATTTTTGAAACTTAAGGTTCCAAACCATCACTAGATAAGAAACAATTTTTAGATACCCACATAACTCAAAAATATTCACTATAATTTGGAATTATTTAAATCAATGGTTATGTATGGAAATGTACAAAGTATATGCACCACGGTATTCGGTTTATTTACAATCAAAGATTAAGACATTTACCACCAGGTGGAAGGCCATTTTAAATAACACTTGAACGGATTTGAAACAGATTGCTTTTCATGCTAAAAATACCTTTTTTTATTCCAACCTAGATATCGTATATTACTCTGTATACTGATCAAACTAATTACTCAATATGAATTTTTTGAATCAAGTTTAGATTCCTCTTCATGTCCTTTTATTCATCTTATTTACAATTTTTTAACTAATTTGGACATTCACTTATCAAAATTTGTCTTAAAAATGTTGCTTACATTTTTGTATACTTAACAGTTAATTAAAATACTTTTTTGGATAAATAAATAGAAAAAGTTGTTCATAAAATCTAAAGTAAACATAATATTAAGACATTCAAATCTGTTTTCAATATCAAAATATATAAAACATTTAGTTTTAATACCGTGACAATTTAGTTCAAGATTCCTTTTAAGTTTATCTTTTGCTCATTTTAATAAACTATAGATCCCTATACAATTGGAAATTATCAAATATTCCTAAAAGCCAATAGTTGAAAATTTACCCAAATTCATGCATTACATATCTAAATGTGTATTAAGATTATAATAAATGTTCAAATAATGGAAAAAAAACTAAATCAAAAATCATTGCTTTTCTAAAAAATGGTATACATTTCTCATAAACTTTCTCTAATAATTACTATTTCTATATTTTCTGTTTTTTTTTTTAATTGTTATTAGTATAAACTATAAATTGTTAAATATTATGTTACCTAACTAGAACTTGATAATATTTTTAAAAGTAAAATAGTACAAGATGCAAGTGACTTATTCCATTTTAAACATTATGATATTGATTTATTACCTTGTTTCTACACATGAATTTTTATCATAAGTAAACATATAATAAAAGTTAAACTAATATATTTACTAAGCATATTAGTAGTATTAAATAAGTTACAACTATACATATCATAATAATTAATGTTGTATATTAAATAAGAGTAATTCATTATAAACCAACACATTTTAAAAATACTTCCTAAGTGTAATGTTCACCTAACCACAGAAAATCTGATGATGATACCTAATGTAAAATAAGTCAACTTTTACAATTTTACTTTTACATCAATATTATTTATTGATTACAGCTTTTTCGTTTACCAGTGCATTGAAAATTATCTCCAAGATAAGATACACGGATACGTTGATTATCACTATGACTATTTAACTTCTCACAGCTTATAAGATAATCATAATTAGGGCTGTAAATTTAACGCACTAAAGAACCTTAAAAAATGTCAAAAAATGCATTATAAAATGCTAAAAATTATGGTATAATATTCATTTAAAATGGTTTTTAATTTAATTTTAATATTTATATTAATATTAGGTACAAAATATTATACATAAAAAAGTGTTTATTTAATAAAAATAAATAATAAAAATGTTGATTGAATTTGAATTTTCTATACTTAATGCTATTCACCTGAAACATTTTTTAAAAACTTTAGAAATAAATAACTTATGTAGTTATCTAGCAATTGCCTTATTTTATCGGCGTATGCTTTTTTTTCAAACATTTTTTCCGTCAACGGAATTTGATCAATAATACTGGAAAATGAAATAATAAAAGAAAATATGACTCAAAAATGCACCAAAATGACCTAAAAAATGTATAAAGTTGCATAAATAGATTCATAGCTACATAATTCAAATTATGTATTTACAAAGCTACGTTTCACAATCACCAAAAAAAATGCACTTTCCTACAAATTCACAACCCTAATCATAATGAAACAATAATCTTTATTTTAGTAATACAAACAATGTTAAATAATTTTTACAGTGTAATGTAATAATTTGAAAAACAACAATGATTAACTTATTCCCAGTTACTTACACACCTTTCAATTGTATTTATTATGTATTCATGTCTAATTTATATTATAATTATTTTCTAATTTATAAATAATAAAATATTCAAATTACTGGGTTATTTAACCAACATAAAAAATACCTTGGATCGAAATGTATACTCCAGTACTGTTTACAAAAAAAAAAGGGGGGCTATAAGTTGCCTTTAATAATTTTTGTTGCACATTTATCCTTCTTTCAATAATCGTTTTAATGGTTAGAATATGAAACAATACATCTGGGTAAATTATTGAAATATGTGTAGTTTTACAAAATATAGATTACTTATATTATAATTATCATTATAATGATTAATGATACACCTTGTAAAGTTTATCTATTTAATACTATTTTGTTTTTTTAGAAAGAGTGTAGATCTTTGTCAACAAATTGAAGCTACTGGGGTGTCTTTTATTACAGTCCATGGACGAACAGCTATTCAAAAGAATGAACCTATTGATCAAGAATGCTTGAAACTTATTAACGAATCTGTTAGTGTTCCAGTAATTTTAAATGGTGATATCAAAAGTTTATCAGATGCTATCACAATGCAAGAATATACTGGTTGCAGAGGTAATAAAATAATTTTAATAATATGTGCTTATTTCCTGATATGTAATATGTATTTATTTGTATATTTTAGGAATGATGAGTGCAAGAGGCATATTACACAACCCTGGTTTGTTTGCTGGCCATCAAAGTACTCCACTCTCGGCTGTTCAAGATTGGTTAAATATCAAACATACTAATTTCTTGTGGTTTCATCATCATTTAGTATTTATGTGTGAACGTTTACTTCCTAAAACTGCGAGAAAAACTTTCAATCAGTTACGTACAGCATCAGATGTAGTATCATTTTTAGAAGACCAATTGCATATATCAAATGTTCTTCCTAGCAATAGAATATTAGGGAAGGAACTTGGTGGAACTAGTGGTGCGTATTATGAAAATATAGCTACCGAAGAAACAGTTTCTTCTCAACCTGAAGATATTGTAGACAGCATAATCAATTTATTTGATTGAATATATTCTAATTGTATACACATTATTAAATAGTTATTACATTAAGCAAAACATATTTTTTGAATATAATTGTATTGTAATATATTATATTATATGCTTATAATTAAAAATAAAATGTATATTTTGTTGGGTAAACTTTTTATAATAATTAACAATAGGTTTCTTACAAATGTATAAAATATTTTTTTATTGGTGTTATAAGCGAAAATTGTGAAAATAAAAAGCATAAAATGTTAATACTGTTTGAGTTGTAACATTATTCTCATTGGCGTAATTAAGGGGAAACTTTCCCCTCCCCCTGACATTGTTGTGGGGTAAAATGATACTTCTGCCCCCTCCCCCTGAGATAATCCAACAATACAAATCTTTGAATCTTTTAAGTTAAGAAAGAATACAAAATACCTATTTAACATACTTCTTATGTTGTATAATATTAGATATGTTGGCGTATCATCAATGAAATGGCTAAAGGGCCAACTTCATAGATACGTCCATATAATCACAATAATTGCAGTTAATAAAATCATTAAATTTTTTATTGGTTATCAATATTATTGTTCATCAATTATAAAATATGTGTAAATAATAAATATATAAATTACTTTTTTTAACTACTTTTTAGCACCTTATTATTGAACTCTTTATTCGGGTTCTATATAGTATTTATTTTTTAATAATATGGGAAGGTACCTAGCAGGAGTTCTAACACAAAACCTGGGGGGAGTCAGGGTTTTGATTTTGGTGAATAAATTATTTTGCCTCAAGATTTTTATCCAGTTACGCCACTGACTATTCTAAAAAGTGTAAAATTGTACTAAACTAATAGCAGTACAATAATTGAAAAAACTAAATGTGTTTTTTTACTTATAAATATATAAAATATTAATTTCATATAAATATAAATGCCTATACTGATTGTAGAAAAGTGCCAAAAAAAACTATGCACAAGAAGCTCTGTTATGTGTGTTAGTTTTATGTAACCATAGGTAGGTTGTAACCAGTGCTGGATCTACAAATGATGTAACCCAGGGCACAGCATAAAATTAGCGCCCCTAAGAGTTACCAATAAAAAATTCATGTGTCTTTAAGTGTGTCAAAATATAGATTATCTGTTATAAGCGATTTAAATATTTATACATATTATTTATATTATACTATGTAAATGTTTATTTTGAAAAACAAATAAAATAAGACTTAAACCTACATCATAAATTAATGAAGCATTAGAACCTATAAGAGTAAACTAAACTATTATTTTTCTTGATTTTTTTTAAAGTGAATTTGTTAATGTCATCTTCATAATTTATGGACTTAGCAACTTGGTGCTCAATGGATATGATTGACAGGTCATTTAAACTTCCTTGTTTTGTAGTTCATCTTAAATATTATGATTCAATTAGTTTCAGCTTACTAAAACTGTATGCAGTGAGATTTCACGGGTAAGGAAATATTTATTTGATATTCTGTAGGTACCTCTATATGTTGGGATAAGCGTCTTGAATAACACTTTAAAGAATAAAATTTAAAATTTCATGTAAACAATCATCTATTACTTTATTATCTAATTGAATTACATGTTGAGTTAAACTATCCAACTCCAAAATTCTAAGTCTATTGTCGAGTGTTTAAACAGATAGCTTAGAACCTTCAACCTTTCTATTTCCCGGCCATATACCTAAGCTTCATTATCGTATACTTGACTGCGACAGTATAAGATAAATCAATACCATATTACCATGGACGCAATTTAAACTTTTGACTTGGGGGGGGGGTATATTAAAAAGTTATTGAAGGTGAGTATTGAGTATACAAGATTTTTTCTGTCAGTTTTTGACTACAAAAATAATGATTTTATTGATTACTGACATCGAATACTTTATATTTGTAATGTTTAAATGTTGGCTAGGTTTTATTATTAAAAATATTCCACTGGCGCACTCCTACTTCATTCCTACCAACCCTACCATGTAGATACGCACATTTTAGTATTTACAGGGGTTTGCGCCCGGTGGTCGAAATTCTAGAACATTCACGAATTGTCTGCTCTTTTCTCGTTATTTTAACTGCGTTGGTTCAATGTCTTAAATATTATCAAACTTCTCTATATAGGTATTTATTTTTAATACTTTTTTATTGACAGGTTTATTTTTTCTATTATTTTCTATCGATAATGAAATTAAATAATTAATTTTTCTGTAAAAAAACATTCTGAACGATTATTACTCGTTAAATGGTAAAAAATGGTAAATAACTAAAATAATCCACATTACCGTTCATTACATAATACGTATATTACGTATGCAATATACTAATATGACATTTGAACATTCATTGTAATTTGTTTGTTTTTATTATTTTTAATTTTTTACAAATATTTAATCATTCTGTTTTAGTAGAAATATGATACTGACCTACTTAATATAATATACAATATAATAATGTAGTAACATACCCATCTTGAATTGTTTACCTACAACTTACAAGTAACAACAGGATCTAAGGAGCGATCCAAGCCCATGTCTTCGGTACAAATCATATAGTGGAGCAAATTTAAATTTTTTAAACGCATCATTTTATATTACTAAAATGTAACAAAAATTTAAATATATTTTTTTAAAACAAATTGAATCTTTTATTATCAGATTATTATTACACAAGTATTTCAAATTAAATAGTTTTAAATGTTTTGATTCAACGTAGTCACACTAGCAATGATTACGGAACGCCCAATCTATCTTGGCTTATGAGAGCCGAGAGGTACGTACGAATTGCGGCTATACAATAATGTACATATTATATTATTTATATATATAGTATATACTATTAATATATAATATACAGTATATACTATTAATATATAATATACAGTAGGTGCTATGTGTAGTATATAAATATCACATTATAAACACAAACTATATGATAGTCTATGATATAAATTTACCAAATTAATTATTTATACTACTATGAGTACTATACACAAATTGCATGACGAATTATATTCAAATATGAAATAGGAATGTATAATATATTATTTACAAATGAAGGTTGATTTCGGACTGAATACGCATTGACAATTTTTAGTTGGCCATTTGAAATTATCCGATTATCGTAGTTAATCCAAGTCATACGGCACTACGGCAGATAATACAATACAACGATCTTTATACCATCTTTATCATATTATATGTATGTTAAAGATTTAACTTTCCATCATTAAACTCTATATGATCAATTAGATAATATCATATAGACCATAGAGACATAGAATTCAATACTCCCCATACATATCGAACATTTCGTTTATCGCGTTATTCGTTCGTAAATGCAACACCGCATCTGCCACGTTCATAGGTAATAGGTATAGGTATATAATAATTTATAGGTACATAGGTAATGACAATTACCCGGGCTGCAACTCACCTAATACACCTAAAATATTATTGGGCCGTCAACTCACCCACAGCTATATCATACTAGCTGATCCGTCGAAATTCGTACCACCCAAAACAGTCAACAAATGTAGTGATGCCTTTAAGCTAAACTTAAACTACAGCGGTAGCGGAAAAATTCTTTTGTCTTGGCGGTGCCGCCGCGGTGGCGGTAAATTGTGTCCGGACTCATTTTACCGCCACCGCCACCGCTACCGCTGCAGTGTGTGGGGACCTTTAATCTGTGATTCAAATTTACGTAACAAAATGAATACAACATTTTCAATAGTTCATTAGGATAATATATAAAAAAGATTTATCCCGATTGTGACGGTTTTGCGTCTTCTCTGGTCGGGCGGAAGGGCTGTACAAGGGCTATTAACGGCGGACCCTACCAACATTTTTTTTTCCAAAAAACATTATTAACACACGGGATTTCGGCAATGTACTCGACGAAAACGACATTCGCACGATTTCAAAAATAATTTTTAGATATAGCCATCTTGGATTATCATTGGTCATGAATCATGATAATGTGCAGCCGTCGATCCCGCTCGTTTCCTACAGGGAATCCCGTCGCTATTAGGTCGTGTTTTTATTTTCGAAGAATGATTATCGCGTGCTGCTCGGTGAACGGAAAAAAAAATATTATTACGACTTTAACACGATTATTAAACCGTTTAATATTTTTCTAGATCATTATTTTGCTAACTTTTTTTACGTAAAACATTCCGATATATTTTAATAGTTATGTGGTCTGTTCGGGGTGGAGACGAATATTCAACAAATCAGAGATTATCAAAATCGGTCCAGCTGTTTTTAAGCTATAAATGGTGTAACTAACCAGACTTCGGTTTATTTATATAGATTATTATATTTTCGATTTTATAATTTTGCTACAAATAGCCAAAAACACAACTGGGGGCCATCTACAATTAAGATAAACCAATTTTGAATAGGTCTGCTATACATAAATTAATTGAATAAGCCTATAACCACAAAACAAAAAATAATACTATAACCAAGCATTGCGTATTCGTATGTGTATTATTCTGCTATTTAACAGTTGTACAGATTATGTACTTATTATATTGGCTGCATTCAAATTGCGTCCTTAAATATGAAAATAAACATTGCGAAGTCTGACTGTGTGAGTTGCGTGTTGCTTTTTGATTCTTTCACGAAATGTTCTATAATTTAATTATAATATTGTTGCGCCCGGGTTAATCCTTGCTGTACGCCTGTACCTATACATATTTTCCTTCCCACATTTACAGACTGAGGAGTGAGGACTGTTATTTGTGTAAATGGTGTGGTTAAACATTTCAATTACATAATAATATTTGAATTATTCATTGTTTAAAAATGGGTAAATTGTTGTACTCAAGACGACAAGACATGATATATTTTTGTTTTCAAACTGAGTCATATTTTTTTTTGGTAAATTATTCTTTCTATTATTATATTTTTAAAGTTGGAAGTGTTATAGGCAATGTTTTGTTTAAATTGATTAATATTTAATATTAACTTTTTAATACATTTACATACTTATATATAATTGCATGGGATGTTTTCATGTTTACATGAGGTGTTTCCATGACCGACCGCCATACTAGAACCTTCTAGAAGAGATAAACAATATTCAATAATACAGTCTATCCCAGAAGTATTTGTCCCTTATTAGGCTAAATATCTCCGAAATTAGCAATTACAATTTTAATGACATTGTCTTTATTTTTTTTTCCAAAATTCGAAAAATGATTGCCTTAAAAATTAAAATTAACTTAATGAAAATTTCAAAAAAGATATATTTTTATAAATATATCGGTTAGTGAAAATTGACTAAGTCTGAGGTGGTTAAATTTTTGATTTCATGAGAATTTTATTTTTTAGCAAAAACACAACCGGCTCTAACTCAATCAATTATTACTAAATTTGGATAATTTTTTTTTTTTGATCATTAAAAAGAAGAAAACTAAATAGATGGTTTTTTTAAAAATTTTAAAAAGTTACTTCAAATAAAAAATAGTATTGAGTTTTTTTTTTAAATTGTAATTTTGTAGTATTTCCATTTGAACATTAATATTTTGTATATTAGGTATACAATTCTAAGGTCACAGTGTTTGTAATTGAACTCCTCCGAAACCTAAACGGCTTGACCAATTTTTATGAAATTGTTTGTGTATTTTTGGTAGGGGCTGAGAATAGGTCGTAAAGTATTTTTAACCCTCCTACCCAGCAGTTCTTAATCGCGATTTTAATATTTTTGTAAATTTTTTTTAAATTTTTTGTTTATAAATGGTTGCATTATCACAAGCGAACCTCATAATATTGCAATATCCTATAATCTATATTCAAACACAAAAAAATACACATTGCTCTACTCAGAATCTAAAATGATTTACAGATAACAGAATTCAACATTTGAATAGTTTTACACTATTTATAAATCTATAAAATGTGTATAAATGATAAGTTATTTTACTTTCAAGAGTGAAGACACTCAACCACTCAAGATTCAATATTTAAAGTTTGATACTAGCCCAAAGCCCAAATTAAACTTCCTAATTTAGTTACCTACAATAATATATAATTACACGATAATTAATTTCAATTCAAATTTTTAAAATTTAAAAAATAGGTCACATAAGTAAGTAACTCATAACTTTTTAATCAGCGAGAATATTCTAAAAATATGTTTTAATTAAGATACAGAGCCGTAGAAATAGATACCTACCTACCTATAGTTACCATTATAGTTATGATAATCATAATAAGGATTAAGTTGATTATTTAATTAAAAATAAGAATTTAAAAAATAAATCTTATAATATATTATTGTGAATCTAGGAAAAAAAGCCCCAATATCAAAATACGGTAAAAAAGCCTTGCCTACAAGAAAAAAACTCCCGTACTAAATACCTACATGATTTTTTTTTTTATTCACATGATAACATATTATAATCATAATAATCATAACATAATCATTACGTTTATTTTATTAATTATTAAATTATTTTATTACATTATTATGCATCTAATATTTTATAGGAGGTGGTACATTTACTTGATTAAAATGTAGTTATTTAAAAAAAATTATATTTAGTATACACCATTAAACAATAACTAATTATATCACAGTTAAAAATCATGCCATAAATAACATTCCTTAACATGCATTACTCTTATTACAAAATATACAAGTATAGTAGCAATCTGCAATAATTGTCTTTTGTCATTTGAACATAATAAAAAAATTTTTTAAGTTAAAACATTTAAAAAATGTTTTAGTAAGCATTGATTTCTAATGTTGTGGCTAACTGCCATTAGAAAATCTAATATACTTACATCATTATTACCATAACTACAAGAACAAAAAAACCACATTTTTAATGATACTATGTTGTAGATACAACATTATAGAGTCTGCAATAAAATATAATACCCTCATTTTTAAGATAAAGTCAAATGTTAATTACTTTTATTACTATATACTCTAATAGTCTAATCTCTTCTATTTCAAATGTATGTTTTTACCTAAATAATTTAAAATATTGGGTTTATTATTTAATTAAATATTATTATATTGATATAAAAGTAAATAAAAATTATGTATTATATATATATGGTTATAAATATATGACTATAGATAAATAATAATATATTGTTTAAAAATTAAAAATAATGAAAGGTATACTTTAATAAAAAAAAGTATTATGTATTTAGTTGATACGGGGATTTTTTTCCCAAAGGCGGAGCTTTTTTACAGTATTTTGATATTGGGGCTTTTTTTCCGAATACCATAATTGTCCATATTCTGTAATAATACTTAGGTAAGTAAAAAATCAAAATTAACTGTATAAGTAGACAATTAAAAAAAAAAAAATAGATATACGAAAAGAAATATCATTAGCAACCCATTGCAGATTATAAATATTTACTAGTGATAATTTTATAATCAATGGTACGTCAGAAAATATATTAAATACGTTCCTATTAAATACAAACGGGTAGACATAGTAGGCGGGTACCTATGAAATACATTATTCGTCAATACGAAAGTTATTGCGGTATTGATCAATTTTCATTACGTAACGTTGGACATTTAATCAATAAAAACAGATATCTATACAGTATAGATAAGTTTGATGGTAAACAAAAGCGGTGAAAATAACGAGAAAGGCGTGGAAAATTCTCGAACAGTCTACAACATTGTCGTAAAGGTATGGTATATTGGGGAGCAGCGACGAAAACAAAACAGTGTCACAGCCCACAGGTAGCAGTGTTGCAGCCGCGTGCGTTGCGGTGCGCAGAGGCACTTCACGAAACGTAACGAACGTTCTCGAACGTCGACTCGGCTATATAATCGCTGACGGCGCGCTGCCCGGCAACAGTTTGAATTCGTATTCCGTGAGCGACGACAGTGCGGTTCATTCAACGAGACATTTCGATATTGCTATTGCAAGTGCGACTTTTTTCGGTGTGATACACATTTGTTATTTTACTGCGCGTGTTTTCTAACACAAGTCAAAGAGTAATCTTCAATCGTTATTGCGATCGAATCGCGGTGCCGAAATATTACACTCTCGTATTTACGTGTTTTAATATTGTGCGTGACTAAAGTCGACAGTTGACGAGATGACCGGACGTACAGCTATTGGTATCGATCTGGGCACCACATATTCATGTGTGGGTGTCTGGCAACACGGCAAAGTGGAGATCATCGCCAACGACCAAGGTAACAGGACCACCCCGAGTTATGTGGCGTTCACCGACACCGAACGGTTGATCGGCGACGCGGCCAAGAACCAGGTGGCATTGAATCCCGTCAATACGGTGTTCGACGCCAAACGGTTGATCGGCCGTCGTTTTGACGATGACAAGACACAGGCGGACATCAAGCACTGGCCGTTCAAAGTGGTTAGCGACGACGGCAAGCCCAAGATCCAAGTGGAATTCAAAGGCGAACGGAAAGTGTTTGCGCCCGAAGAAATCAGTTCAATGGTACTGACTAAAATGAAGGAGATCGCGGAAGCGTACTTGGGCCGTAACGTTACGGACGCCGTTATCACCGTGCCGGCGTACTTCAACGATTCACAGAGACAGGCGACCAAGGATGCGGGTGCCATAGCCGGTCTGAACGTGATGAGAATAATCAACGAACCGACGGCTGCGGCTTTGGCGTACGGTCTGGACAAGAACCTAAAAGGTGAGAGGAACGTGTTGATATTCGACTTGGGCGGTGGCACGTTCGATGTGTCGGTCCTGCAGATCGACGAGGGTTCGATATTCGAAGTCAAGTCCACGGCGGGCGACACGCACTTGGGCGGCGAGGACTTCGACAGCCGTCTGGTATCTCATTTGGCAGACGAGTTCAAGAGGAAAACCAAAAAGGACGTGCGATCCAACCCGAGGGCGTTGAGACGGCTAAGGACGGCCGCCGAACGGGCCAAGAGAACTCTGTCGTCCAGCTCGGAAGCCACTTTGGAGATCGACGCTCTGGTAGACGGTGTCGATTTTTACACTCGTGTGTCCCGGGCCCGTTTCGAGGAACTGTGTTCCGATCTATTCCGTTCGACGCTGCAACCGGTTGAAAAGGCGTTGGCGGATGCCAAGTTGGACAAGGGAGACATACAGGACGTGGTACTCGTGGGCGGTTCGACTAGGATCCCGAGGATCCAGACTCTTCTGCAAAACTTCTTCTGCGGCAAGCCACTCAACCTGTCCATCAATCCCGACGAAGCGGTAGCTTATGGCGCGGCGGTGCAGGCGGCCATCCTCAGCGGCGATACGAGTTCTGCAATTCAAGATGTGTTACTCGTAGACGTCACCCCCCTGTCGCTCGGAATCGAGACCGCGGGCGGTGTGATGACCAAGATCGTCGAACGCAACTCTACCATTCCATGCAAACAAACTCAAACGTTCACCACGTACGCGGACAACCAACCGGCCGTCACCGTGCAGGTGTTTGAAGGTGAAAGGGCTTTGACAAAGGACAACAATCTCTTGGGAACGTTCGACTTGACCGGCATACCTCCAGCACCCAGAGGAGTGCCCAAGATCGAAGTGACTTTCGATATGGACGCCAACGGCATTTTGAACGTTTCGGCCAAGGACAATAGCTCTGGGCGCTCCAAGAACATCGTCATCAAAAACGACAAGGGCCGTTTGTCTCAAGCCGAAATCGACCGTATGCTCAACGATGCGGAACGGTACAAGGAAGAGGACGAACGACAAAAAGCGAAGATCGCGGCCAAAAACCAGTTGGAGAGCTACGTGTTTGGTGTTAAACAAGCGTTGGAGGAGGCTGGCGACAAGTTGACCGAGTCAGAGAAGAACACAGGCAAAAAGGAATGCGATACTGTTATCCAGTGGTTGGATAGCAATCAGTTGGCAGAAAAAGATGAGTTCGAGTTCAAGCTAAAGGAAATCCAAAACAGCTGCGCGCCTCTGATGTTGAAGATCCATGGCGGAGGACAAGCCGGAGCAACTAACATGCCTCCCGGTGCTGGTGGTTTCCCTGGAGCTGGTGGTTTCCCTGGAGCCGGTGGTTTCCCTGGAGCTGGTGGTTTCCCTGGAGGCGGTGCCCGAGGACCTACCGTTGAAGAAGTAGATTAATTCTGTAACTATCTGATCTAATATTTTTAAATAACATTGTCAACTTTATCCTATATTATGTTTCCTACTATATAGTATATATTATCATTAAATAAGTGCACAATAGATTTAAGTTAGATTTATTTGTCATTGTACTTCTTAGTTATTAAGTTTTCGGCCAAATAAATATTTACTATTACCTTATTAGCTGTGTACATTTTGCGTTTTTATTTTATCCCGGCATTACTGCAGTAGAAATCTGAAACTAGGTAAAACTTAAGCAATTATTAATAATTAAAATATAATATATATATAATATTCAATTTGGTTTAAAAATGCAGTACCTACACGGCTATATGAATCATAAATTCATATCTGCCATGTTATATGGTGTTTAAATATGTTAATTTGTTTGTTCAAAGACATAACATTGGGAAATAAGATATATTTGTCATAGAAAAATTATTGGGAATAAATATTAGTTAATAAGACGACACTATAATCACTATTTGATCACTTATCACGCTATTACACAGTTACACACTAGTAGTTCTAACTAAGAAATGTACTACTTAATAATTGATCTACCAACTGCAGGTTGGGGTAGTACCTATAGGCTATAAGTTATAACAATTAACAATAATTACTTAATAATTATAAATTATACTTTGTTGTATTGAACTTCTATACATTTTTTTATCGAATTGAATAGGTACGTTTAATAAGAATCGGTTGACCGTTAATATTTTATGTAGTACATTGAAAAAATATTTGCAGCGCAATCTAAAACATCAGTAAAATTTGAGGTAAAAATTTTAAATATACATATTACATATTTACACACTATCGTTACATTATAGAGCATAATGATGTGTCATTATAAGCAACATGTTGGACAAGCAGTTGCCTTTATATATTAAAATAAAAGTTGTTCTTTCTCCACCTACATATTTAACCATTTAGCCATTTAGGGTACATATAACATACTAAAAAGCAACATTTATTGTTATAATAAAATTAACTCAAATGCTTTTATTATAGCTTATCAGACATTAAATTGTTTAATTTAACAAAATAAAATACCTACTCTCGATTCTTGATACGCATTACCATTAATTTTAAAATGTACTTACATTATATTTTAAAATCAATGGCATTACCTATTTTATTATTGTTTTCTAGGCCAGTCTCCTTGGCCTATGTACAGTAGAAATTAAAACGTGTAAAATAACGTCCCACTGGCCACGGCACAACCAAAGTAAGAAAAAAGTGCTAAAAATTGATCGCCCCCGGGTGGGCTCGAACCACCAACCTTTCGGTTAACAGCCGAACGCGCTAGCCATTGCGCCACGGAGGCTACATGCTGGCAAGGAGAGAAATAAATCAATTAAATCGATATAATCATATGCTTACACATTCTATATATGAATAACCAGCCAATAACTTATAAAACCATAATCGAAGCTCTTGGTACAATTAGAATATAGAAGTTAGCTCTTATAGTCTTATGGTCAGAATTTGTATCGATAGTACATTAAATGTATACATTTTTAGCGCACCTGTTCGACAAGGGCAGAGTAATATCCTAAGCCTACATCAGTATAATATACATCGGTCATCATCACCTAGTTACTACTTAAAGGCTAACCTAACCTACTCAAGTATATTGTATTATATTATAGTTATTAACAGTGGCGTCACGAACATTTTATTCTTAGGGACAAATACTGAAGCTATCCGTAAGTCGTAACCCACCCACCCACACATAGAACTAAAACCTGCTGATGCATATATTTTTTTTAATTATAAAATAAATATTGATATTATTTTACTATATCAATTATTATTAATGTATTAAGTGACCTAATATTGAACCTATGTTCTTTTAACAAATTTAACGTTGGCAGGTTAGTAAACTATTTTAACTATTTTAATATATTAAAAAATAACAATATTAAGAAAATATATATATAATATTAGTAAAACATAAATCATTCTACATAATATGACTACTAGACTACTTATGAGTATAATAACCTAGTTAACATAACGTGAAAAGTATTCCTCACTCAAAAACGTACTTGTAGGGAGGGGGACTAGTGCGGTTTATGTCTTGTCCCAATATCAATCTGCGGAAATTTGCAATCATCAATATTTTAAAATTATTTTTATTAGTTGAAAAAATATACTATTTTTCGAGTATACCAAACCCTAAAAATCAACAAGACGTTCATCTACAATCAGTTTATTGAAGAAATTGTTCAAACTATTATAGATACCTCTAAAGATAGTAGATAACTAGATACTCTTTAAACAAAATATAATAAATCTATATAGTATATAATCTATATTTAAAATTTTGGTTTTTGAACTTAACTATACTTGAAAAATGAAAGAAACATAAATATTTTTATAACCTGGGTATCATTTTATTTATGTATAAATATTGAACATTATAAAACGTGTATACATTGTGACAATGAATTATTTGAAGGTGCAGTTGTTCACATCAATACAATTGGAATTATCGCTGTTGGATTAATAATTAATTATTAGTATTATTGAATTATTCACCTTGCGAGTTCCTTAATTGATGTGCTCTATAATTAGCCACTACACATAGCAGTATTCCTAAAAAAAAAAATGTATAATATTTATGAAAAGAAAAAAATATGTGCATACTATGTAGGTATAGACATTTTTCTATTCTCTAGTTTTTAAAATGTTTCTAATAATGATTGAATAATTTCGGGAACTAAAAGATAAAAGGGATATGACAACAATTTTAACCGATATACGCCAATGTTGTTAAACATTTATAAAAAAGAAAAAATACAATAAATCCTCAATTGAGAGTAGAATTAGATAGCTAAACGATATCATAATAAATAAAAAATATGTAAATAATACAGTATAGTTATAAAAAATCTGTAGAAATAAATTAAATAAAAACAACATTTTTTACCACAGAACACAACTAATAATTAAACAATTCAGATGCATTAATTATTGTTACAACTTCTGTGTGTTCTAAAGAATTAATTAAAAATAATGATGTAGCTAATTCGTTTAGGGCTTGATTTAAGTCTATATTTTTATGAGTTTCACAGTTTAATAATAGGAGACTTTCTAGCCTTAATTGGGACATTTTGGATCTTAACCGAGACTTAATTTTAACTTTTGAAAATGTGCGTCCAGCAGCAGCAGATGTGACAGGAATGGTATATAATGCTTTATAAGTCAAGTATAAATTTGGAAAGGCTGAAATAAGTTTAAATTTTGATAACAGTTGTAATATAGATGCCGTATTTTCTTTATTGCTTTTGCAGGTAGTAATAGCTTATTAGTATTTAAGTATTTTCAATTTTGTTATTATACATCTATACATCCATATAGGTGATAGGCGACTCTGATAGCCTGACTACTGGATGGCAATTATTAGTATTTACCTATACAGGCAAATGAAATATTAACAATTATAAAAATATTCAATGCTCAAATTGAAAATTTCATTACCAAATATTGAATTTGTATATTTACTAACTACAACAAATCGTTTGAACGATAATGCTAGCGCCATCTATCGGCGTCGTAATTGTGTGTATCATGAAAATTCACTCGCTTCTGTCGTTTAGTTTTGTCGTTCTATAGCGCTGCCGTATTAGTTTTTTGTTTTATAATTTAATTTTCAGTTTTCTGACTTGGTTTTATTTTTTCGCCTAACCAAACCTGTAGGTTCGTAAAATACGTTTAACTGGTGAGCACTTATTATTATAACCACTCAAATTACCAGCTAGATTCACTTTTCTATCAAAATAGATAATAAATTAAGAAATCTAAGCAATTTTAATGCCTCAAAAAGTGATGACAGTCACTTTTTTTTTTTATCACCACTATAAAGTCAATCTATTCATCGCTCCATTTAGAATATAAAACAGGTATTAAAACATTTTCAAACAAATGTTGACGGATAAGTGAACTAATGTGTACTACTGATAAGTTAAAGTGAAGCCACAATGACATCCAAAATCGTGATACGAGTATCGGAGTATTATGTATAAAAAACAAGGTAGACACTCATTTAAATATTATTAAATAATTTGTAATCCAAGTACATCGGCCCAGAGTTTTAATACTTAATATAATAATCCTCTTCTGGGTAAATATACCTAATATGTATCATGTATGTACCTAGTTCATGAGTATACACAACACACACGTTTTGGCCTTAAGTATCTATATATTAGTATACTATTATACTATACATAAATAATTATAATAAGTTCTAAAAAAATATCTGTCTCATCATTAGCGTTTATATACCTATGTCCTGTGAACTAAAATATAATCATTATGGAAACACTTATTGAACAAAGATTTTATAGATTGTAGGATGGTGTTAGCATATGGGACGAGTTATAAACTTGAATGCATATTCAATATACCGCTATAGAGTCTATATTTACTATAAACGTTAAAGGTAGTTAAAACTGAAAAATGGGTAAGTGGATAACACTCTCATTAAATGTCTAAAATATAATAATAGAATGTCACTAGAATGGATGTGTTAAATTTGAATTCAATGATATAAAATCATTGCAGTATACGAAAAACGATTCTGAGCGAAACGGACCGTTCTCCATCTGCCTTTATATTAATAATTAGGTATATTTTATGAAAAAAAAATTGTGCCTATGTATTTTTAATATTTTCAACTGCTATTGTAACAATATACCAGGAGCCTTTAGGAGAAATTAAGCGAATATCCAAATCCAATGTTGCAAACATTTGAACTTTCCGGTAGACATTTTTTTTTTTGATGAAGGTAAACAAACTTCTGAGGAATCTTCATACAATTTTAAAATCTTAGATATAAAAAGAAAATATTTTATAAATTTCTATTTCAAAGTAATTTGAAAATTGTCTTGATTCTTACAAATTTTATCAAAATTTGAACTTCAAATGCTTAAAAAAATTATTGTGAATTTTTTTTTTATTTCCACTAACATCAACTTACGAATGACCTTGTACTACATTTTCAAGATTTTTGACACAGCAAAAAAATTTTTATAGACATTAATTTAAAAAAAACAAATAATGATCGAAAACTCCTTATGCCTATAATAAGCTCAACAGTCAACATGGATTAAAATATTTTGAAAATTGAGTGGTGTATAATAGAAAATGCTAGTATAATTAATATTCAGTGAAAATG